AAAGGTAGAATATGTGATATCACTGGAGTTTCTTTTAAGCTTCAGTCCTATGCCTTTTCAATTTTGCTTAGCTTCAGGGGAGATATCCCTTCAAACTGCAATCATGTAATGCATCTCTCATTTCCCCAATAATTCATAAATCTGCTTTCCTCCACTACCACCAGTGCTTTTCTTTTTGTGTTGTCGTGTGCAAATAAAGACCATGTGTTTCTAAATGAGATAATTCTGCAGTCTTTGATTTTGGATATAATTCCAGATCCCAGCCCCCTCACCAAGACACTAGGGGTGTGTGTGTGTGTGTGTGTGTGTGTGTAGGAACTAAAGCTAGTTATAATGTGACTATATGAGCCCTTGATTGAAGGAGACATAGTGTTAATATGTTGTATGGAGAAGTGGGACTTTGCTCCTGACCTTGTTCCCATGGCTGGAACAAAGCTCATCTGCAATGCATGGACTTTGATTGCACAGAGAGAGCCTATGCTTATGCAGTCTTTGAGATCAGCAAGGCAGCTGTTGCCTAAGTGAAGTAGCCATCCCTCTTTTCCTTGCAGTGATTTGGGTAATGCTCTCTTTCCCACAAGACTTTACAGCACAGTCCTAAGCATATCTACTCACAAGTAATTCCTATTGAATTCAGTGAGACAGAGAGGTAAGCAAGGTTAGGTAAAGGGATCCCTGACTGTTAGGTCCGGTTGCGGATGACTCTGGGGTTGCGGCGTTCATCTGGCTTTATTGGCCGAGGGAGCCGGCATACAGCTTCCGGGTCATGTGGTCAGCATGACTAAGCCACTTCTGGTGAACCAGACCAGTGCACAGAAATGCCGTTTAGCTTTCTGCCAGAGTAGTACCTATTTATCTACTTGTACTTTGATGTGCTTTCAAACTGCTAGGTTGGCAGGAGCAGGGACCAAGCAATGGGAGCTCACCCTGTCGCGGGGATTTGAACCGCAACCTTCTGATCAGCAAGCCCTAGGCTCTGTGGTTTAGACCACAGTGCCACCCACGTCCCAAGCAGGGTTAGGATAGCAGAATTTGGGACTCAGCAGCATCCCTAACCTACGCTCCCCTACCTGCACTGTAATGTTCAGGAAAGGAGCAATACCCATGGAGGAGCACCTAGAACAGGAGTTGTCAACCTGGTCCCTATTGCCCACTAGTGGGCATTTCAGGATTTTAGGTGGGCGGTAGGAGGTTCTAGGGCACAAGCAGAATCCTCCTTCCATCAAGCACTGGTGGGCGGTAAGGAAATTTTACCATCAAGAAAGATGTATTAGTGGATGGTAGGTATAAAAAGGTTGACTACCCCTGACTTAGAGTCTAACCATGACTTTTCCTGTGGCTAACAATGTGCCATGCCTTTATTCTTGGGAAGTGGGACAAAGAGTGCATCGCACAGCATCTGTGGAGGGAAAGGTCAACATTATGTTTTCAAAGCACGATACGACCCAGCAATTCCTGTTAGGTTAACTTCTTTTTGTGACTTGGAAAATTCAAGTTACATTGCACTATTAAACTTTGCATCATGGAATTAGCATGCATTTAAGCCTCTGTGAATGTTAACAAAAGTGTTTAGGGACAGAGGGAATAGAGAACAGAAGGCAGGGGAAGGAACGAGGATCCATGTAGAGCAAAGGTCCTACACTCTGGCTAAGGGATATTTTCTAGTTTAAAAGCATTTTGCATCGCCTGCCCATGTGGAAGCTAGAAGCTGGTCTTTGAAAAAAAATAAAATTTAATTCAGATTATCAGGATTCCCTGAGGGATAGCTACCAGAATCTGTGTTGGCATCCTCACTTTAAATTTTGTGATGTGATTGCAAATAAACTTGTGCTTAGCCAAAACCTTTCATCCAATTTCCTAAAAAGTTGTATTTACCCATGAAAGAGGCTGCTATTTTCAACCTCTTTTGAATGATGCTTTAGAATTTCTTTAGACTGAATTTAAGGTATCATTACCAAGTGGCTGTGGATTGGATAAGTGCTTTTCTTACATTGATCCAAAACTTTGCAGCCTCACCAGCTGCTTGGACCTCTTGATTTCAAAAATGCCTCATTTATTGCCTCATCAGACATTTTACCCTGGTATTTAATTGAAGTGTTGGAAGAAAGGGGGTTGGGGACTATTGAGCACCTGAGAGCAGAGCTCCCATTGATTTTGTTTTTAAGGGTAGCTCTTCCTTTTACCATAAAAAATATTTCTGCACTCACTTCTTTAAAAGTAAATAGGCTTCACAAAACATCATAGGAATACAGTCTTACCTTGGGTTGAAGTAGCTTCGGGTTGAGCGTTTTCAAGTTACGCTCCATGGTGACCCGGAAGTAACGCTCACACATGCGCAGAAGCTCAAAATGACGTCACGTGCATGCGCGGAAGCGGCGAATCGTAACCTGCACACACACAGACGTGGGTTGTGTTCGCTTCAGGATGCGAACGGGGCTCCAGAATGGATCCCATTCACATCCAGAAGTACCACTGTATTACAAAAGGTAGGATATGAATGAATGAATGAAGTATATTTGTCTCATGAAGAGTAGACATTTAGGGTTTTTAGTATTAGGTATGTTTCATGCATTTTCATTTTTTAAAAAAACACTGGCTATTGAATCATTACTAATAATTTAAATTTTCAATCTCTCCCCCAATTTTAGTGCCCAAGGATGGTATTAAGCTTTACTCATTCAAATTAGACCCATTCAAATTAATGCATAGGACCTCAATAGGGCCATTAATTTCAACAGGTCTTTTCTGAGTAAAGCTTAGTTGAATACCACCACAGTACTATTTTTCTAGAAAAAGAGGTGCCGGAACCCACCACAAACACCTCCCTTGTTCTCTTATAATGGCATTGGCACCTGCCTGAGAGGTGCCGGAACTGAGTTCTGGTGAATTCTGGCTGGAAAAAAAAAGCTTTATATATTGTACTGTGCCCAAAAGCAAGCAAGGCAAAAACTGATTTGGCTAATATCAGGAACCCTTGCAGAAAATTTCATTTTACAGGTCTACCTTAGGCTAAGGTTACCAGACGTCCCCGTTTCCCGGGGACAGTCCCAGGATTTACAGATCAGTCCCCATACAAAATCCATTGAAGTTGAAAAGTGTCCCTGGATTTGTTGAAAAAAATCTAGTAACCTTACCTTAGGCCCAGTGCATAAGAAAAGTGAAAAGACCTCCCTTCTGGAAGGGGAGGATCTGGAAGGATCACGTGTGGATGGAAGGAAGGGAAGACCAAAGGAGTTGCATTCTTCTCCAAGTTAAAGCAAAGATGAAAAAGAATTTTGTGGCCATTGGGCCCGGCTTGCACTTTAGGCGTGCATTGAAAGTGACATGGTCCATATTTTCAAGCTGGGAAAAATCAGTGTTGGCGACATCCCTAATTGATTTCAACAGCTCTTGCCGGCTTGGAGGGGCACCTGATTCCCCTTGTGCATATTTCTTATTACTCGAAAGCTACGCGAAACATTTCCTGCTCCTAAGAATTATCGCTGGATTAGAAGCAGAATGGAGCATACTCTTCTCGAAAGAGATAGCATTGTATTTCACTAGAAAATTGAGTGTGTAACTTTACCACGGCTAAATTGTTTTGTACAAGGTGGATTAGGTGAAGTCTGCTACAGTAAGTGACTAAATAAGACCAGCGTGGCTTATATCCTTTTGGCAGAGAAACATGAAGAAAGCCGAATGTTGCGAACAACTTTATTATGCTGGCATCTGACACTTTAGCCAAGGCTAAATGGAGTGTCAATGTACTGAACATGTTATGCTTCCCCTTCTATTCATTTTGTTTATAAATAGCTTTTCCAGACAGGCCCAGGCTGTGGCTATGTCTTGACTTAACGTAGATCTAATCTAAAAGTCTAGCAGTTGACAGGTTGGTTAACATTTTATCTCCCCCAGATGTGTGCATTTGCAGCTCTTCGTATTTCTTATACGGTATATTTGGGACCTTGTGTAATGCTTACATTAGGTGGGACAAGTTCTCATAGGCCATATATATATATATATTAATTAGGATAGCTGAGAATTAATTAACCACACATGAACTTTCTGTACAGAACAGGCCGTGCCTTCTCAAAGTTCTGTAGGGATTTGGGGCAAGATGTCTACAGTGGTGAGCCTTCCTGAAGTGTGCCAACACCTTGTGACCCCTGTGCATTTGCTTTCTTTCATTCTGCTTGCTCAGGCAAGTCCAAACAGTAGATGAGGCAAGTGGAAGCAGTTCCTCCTTCTCATTACTGTCAATGCTGTCAGGGAATGACAGCAAAGAGGATAGCACTAGCATTGGATACAAGCCACTGATGACTAAGCTAAGTGCCCAAATCAACAGCGATAACAAAAGACAAGCCAAATATCCCATCTCTCCTCAATTTTCACAAGGGATTTCCCTTTGTCCCCAAAATGGTTAAATAACCCCAACTCAGCTGGTGTTATTGGCTCAGAACTGAACCTCTAATCTTTGGGAAATGAACATGTGAGAAGTGGTTGTTATCCTACCTGCCAGACCCTCCATTGTCCTCAGTATGTTGATCCAAGTCTTTACAAAGAGCCTACGTGCATACAAGCTGAAAGCATATACAGCACTGCAGACTTTGTGTAGCAGGTTGAGCAGAGGTACAGTGGTACCTTGGGTTACATACGCTTCAGGTTACATACGCTTCAGGTTACAGACTCCGCTATCCCAGAAATATTACCTCGGGTTAAGAACTTTGCTTCAGGATGAGAACAGAAATCGTGCTCCAGCGGTGCAGCAGCAGCAGCGGGAGGCCCCATTAGCTAAAGTGGTGCTTCAGGTTAAGGACAGTTTCAGGTTAAGAACAGACCTCCAGAACAAATTAAGTTCTTAACCCGAGGTACCACTGTACAGCGGTTGACTCCCTTCTGGATTGTTTTGGTTTCCTGCTGAACTGTGTAATAGATGATAATAATAATAATAATAATAATAATAATAATAATAATAAATTTTATTTATATCCTGCCCTCCCCAGCCGAAGCCGGGCTCAGGGCGGCTAACAACAATCAAATAATCCAACATTCTAAAAACATTTCATTCTAAAAATTAATTAAAATCAAATTGACTCCTAGGCCCTTGATTATTTCTTTATGCGGCTTTCAAACCATGAAATCTAGAAGGGATTTCAACCCTTCATCAAGTTAGAAGTTAGCATGTTACATAAAAATAACATGCCCTTACATAGAAGGAGGGCTCTGTCAAGGAAGGCTTCTGGACACCTGAAGAGCTCCCCATGCTTTGCCAGGGATGGTGGTGTAGTTTGGGGGTGTGGGAAGGACCATGTGCGGGGTGCATTGAAGAAAAAACAATACATGTGTTTAATAGAAGATATGGTTCTTGGAATTGGAAAGTAGGAGTGATTACTACAAGGTGAGTAAATAATTAGTGTGTCCAGAGGTGTTTGGGTTTTTTTTAAAGCAAAAAACAAGAAAAAAATAAACAAAACAAAAAACATTTGACATTAGTATTACAATTATATAAATATAATCCTCTGGTTGCCAAGTGGTTTGAATGCTAGAATGGCCACAGTGGGAAGCGGTTGTTCAGCAGAAAATGGAAGAGTCAAGAACAAACAGCATTCAGTGTTTAAGGTGTGGTTCTCATTGAGATAGAAAACCTGTGATTAGACTGCACAACTTCACACTGTAGGTGGGGACTGTATGTTGCTCATTAATAATAATCATAAAAATACTGCAACTGTAGGTTTTGGAGAAAAGAGTTCCAGCCTAATTTCCTCACCACATGCTCCTTTTCTATGTGTGGTTTTGTTTGTTTGTTTTTATATTGAGGAGCATTCAATCATGCAATTTTCAGAAGCTGTCCCTGTTTCTGATTTGATCCCGGAATGTCCTGCTTTTCCTTAGGATGTCCTTATTTTCATCAAAGAAATGTTGGATGGGACGCAGCCCTGTATAGGGAAGGTTTTTTTAAAAAATATTTTATACATGTTGGAAGTCTCCCAGAGTGGCTGGGACCACCCAGTCAAATGGGTGTGGTATAAATAGTAAAATTATTATTAATATGGAACAGGATGTCCCTATTTTCATCAGAGAAATGTTGGGAGTATGTTCTTCATATCAGACAGTGGTAACAGGGCGTCTGTTCTGCAACACTACACTTGCTGCTTGAAATTTCCAGTGCTTACAGTAAACATAATTAAATCCTAGTCCCCTACATAACTGCAGAGTCTTTGAAAGTCAGTTCCAAATACAGGATGGAATGGTGGACAGGGAGGGGGCAAATTACTTTTAGTAGAGCAAAGTTTTCTTTTCTGAACACTGATCTATTATCATTATTATCATCATCATCAACATTATTTGCAGCCACTCTGGTATTGCAGCACTGTTATTGATAGATTTAATAGAAGGGATTCATTTCACTCAATAGGCAGAGAGTTTAATACTTAAATCTAAGCATTTATGTTCACCTGCCATTTGAATGGTCCTGTAAATTTAGTTTTTTTTTACCAAACCCTCTTGGAGGAACCGTGCGCTTCTGAAGGACTCTCTAGCTGTAGATCTCAAATAAGTTTTGACTCCTTGAAATCAGTCTGTCAGTGATTAAATTGGACATGGAGAGCTCTTATTGGAATCAAATTTGATCGTTTTATGCAAGATACTTTGCTCAGACACAGGAAATTGTGTTACACTGAGTCAGACCATTGGTCCATCAACTTCAGTATTGTCTACACAAACTAGCAGTTATGCTCCAGCGTTTCAGTGAAGAAGCCCATCTGTCTCGAGAGTTGATGGAATGTGATTCCGGGACTGAAGGCAAGCAGCTGTGTTAGCAGGACGTAAACCTGGCAGGCAGGGGTTCCCAGACATCAAGACCCCTTCTCAGCCTCGCTGATGTAGTCCAAAGGAAAGCAGAACAATACATTTGGCACCAGCTTGGCTGCAGGAGTTGCCAGAAGGAGGTTACAAGATCCCATCCAACCATCTTAGGGACTCCTTGGCCTTTTCTTCTACTTAAGATGTTCTGCAAGGCAGTGGAGGTTAAGGATAAGCGTTTTCCTTATCTTAGATGGACTACGTTCACAGGTTGATGAGACCATCTGCCCCACACCTCAGCTTAAGTACAATGTTAATGTGGCATACTACGGGGTATGTATGGATTGTGGCTAACATCTTGTGTACTCAGCTTCAAACAGCAGTGGTGGGAGCGCATGGGAACTGGAATAAATGGGAATGTGTGCACCGCCTTCATGATGCAAGCCCCTTAATTGTTTCCATGTAAATGAGGCATTGATGCACACACAGAACCACACAATTGTATCTACAGAAAGAGAGAGAAACCTTATTTTTAATCTAGCTGTTTTCAACAGTGGACACTGAGTTTTGATAAAAGTAAAATCTTTTTATTAACACTCTAATGGAATTTACTCTCTTTAAACAGCAATAAGCTAAATTATTTTCATTTCCAAGTCAGCAGGTATGACATTAATAGCAAAGCCACTCTCAGAAACAGCTTTGCACACTGGGTTTGCTCCCTTCTGAGCTACAACCATTAGCCCTGAAGAGTCCTGAGCTCCTTTAGAAGCCTTATTTGTTACACAATAAACCAGTCTGTCTTGTATAGATATGCTGTTTGTACACAATATAGTGTGCCTGAATGCACATTTAAGTACAATATCTATACTGGAGAGAAAGTAATTGATTTAAGAGAGATGACAGCTCAGTAGCTCATTTCATACTTTCACAATATAGCAATTTTTCTAAAGCCTCTCGTTTTCTCCTTTCTTCCACGGTGCTGCTCATCTTAGCTTTCCATCAATTTACCTTAAGCATCCAAAACAGCAAGGGACGTTTCTGAACAACCTAGAGTATTCATCCTGGATCTGAAATGAAAAGATGGAATGAACACAGTGGCTTATTAACAGGTAAATATATGTATTTTAAGCATCTTCCAGAGACTGTGGCTTATTCTGTTATAAAGGTTTTTACATAATTTGGCCTCAGAGAGGATTAGGGACGATGCTGAAGGGGTTTTCAGAATGCAGACTGCAGGATCTTACATAAAGGCTTCAATCCAGAATCAGATGACTATAGTTAGTAAACCTCTTTAATTATTTCATAGGATTATTGCTGTACAATCTGAAATGCATTGCTTCTTAAATTGTAGATCTGTGAGACATAAATCAGATTTCAGAGTCTTAGGACATGATTGTGAATTATGTATGTGCACGAATTATTTTATTCATCTACGGCTGCAATCCTTAATACACTTACTTGTTAAGTGCGGCCCATTTAAATAAATGGGACTGCCCAGCTAATATGGATAGGACAGTAATGTAAATCTTCTAGCTTCTCTGCCTCTGACAATCTTTTACCCTTTTCTCTCTGTTGATGCTTCTCAGACACAGAGCACACCATGCTGCCTTCTGCTAAGGGGCAGCACAATCCCCGAGCTGGGGTGAAAAAAGGGGTCAGCTGAATCAACTTCCCTTTAAATACCCTACCAGATGAGCTTTCCCATGCCTGTACCTTTTGGGATGACTCCTGTGCGAGAGCAATCTCTGAGGTTAAAGGGAGGGGGGCAGAAAACTTCTGAGAGGGATGTTTAAAAAGGAGGGGACTTTTCAGTTTACAAATTTCAAGGGAGGCTTTGGCACAGGTGTGCCACATGAAGCATTTCTAGGTAGAAGAAGTACTCACTTTTCGTGACAAAACACAAAGAAATATGAAGATGAACAGTCCTTGAAATGCATTGAAGATTGTAAAAAGGTATGCAGTGACCACTGATCCCTGGATGACATGAAGCACGCCAAAGATCCACGTTGCCCCGAGGAGGAAGAGGAGGGAAAGAGCCCCCCGTGCACAAGATCTAGGTAGAAGCAAGAGAGTTAGAATTTTCTCTCTCTCTCCCTCCCTTTCCCACCATATGCAGGAAATGATTTTTGCAGTTGAAAAATCCCTGAATGCTGCATGGCAGTTACATGGTTCCTCCTTTAGGGTGTGCTGCGGTGCTGTTGCCAAAATGATATTCTCTTGCTCTCATAACGAAATGGGAAAAAAAAGAACAGCAACAAAAATCGCAGAAGAAAGAGTAAAAAGTGGACGGTTTTTTAAAAACACTGCCTGTCTTAATCTTCAAATCTGTTTTCTCTGGTGTATTGCAGAGCCATATGATTTGATTTTAAATCTACTGTTAGTGTAATTCCCCAAGGTAAAACATATGTCTGTTATGAAGTATACCCCCTAAGAAACCTTGGAAAAAATGTATAGTATGCTCTTAGGTCAGCACATGTGCATGACATCAAAGGGATCTTTGGGCTGTTTCTCAGTTTCAGCCTCGGAGATAGTGCTGGCTGTAAAATCAGACTTTCTCTTTATATTAAAAGGATTTCGCTTTTACAATGCAAGGGAACTTTAAATTGTGGCAGGGTCAGAATACTGATGTCCTAATAGCATACAAATCAATTGCCTCTGATTCCCCCACCCTCTTTTTTTGTTAACACACTGTAGTCTAAGTACACCCAGCCCTGCTCATGGACTCTGACAAATTACACCATGTTGTCTCACAAATGAGCTCCTTGATTAGTTTTTCTTTTTCATTTTCAGTCCAGCAGTTGCTGGACTTCCTTTCCACAAGAAAGCCTTTTCTCTCCCCCCTCCTCTTTTTTTTTCTTTTTCTATTTTGGTGCTGCTTCCAGAAAAATGAATAATTTTTGACTTCATTAGAAGCAGTGCACTGTGTGAAGCTGATAGGGCGAGGAACAGGAGAAAAGTGATCAATCAAACAATTGCTAAATCCTAACTATAAATCTAACGCAGCGAGTTGAAACTGCAGGAGTGTTTCTAAGCAACAAAAACAGTAAGTTGTTTTCAGTAGTCCCTGTAGCACACACACACACACACACTCCAGCCTTGCCAGCACAAACAGTTTTCAAGGTCTCTATAAATCAGTTTTAAAGAAAATGAGTTGATCGGGAAATCATAGCAGCACACAAAATAATAATTAAACAATCCCGAGAGACAAACAAATGAAAAGGTAGGTTTGTTGAACCCTCCCCCTATTTCCCTGTCCTCCACCAACAGAGTGCATCACCCAGAAAGCAAGGGGACAGAAGAGAAGTGTTTTTTCAACCCCATTGATTTCAATGGGAGAGTGAAACAAATTCTGAGCTCTCCCTTAGTGAAAAAAATGGGCATCCTGACTGCAATCCTATACTCACTTACTGGGGAGTAAGTCTCTGTGAACTCAGTAGAATTTATTTCTGTGTTGGCATGCATAGGATTGCACTGTAAGTTGGGACTATGCCTCGAGTTTGGCTTAGGAGTTTTCCCACAGCAAAATGTATTGGGGGGAAAGGACATATGGCAACAAGTATGATGATTTTCTTTAAAATCCCCCCAAAGCCTAAAAACTTAATTTTGGGGGATAACTTTGCCCCTCAAAGAAAGCTCAACAACTTTGCCCCCACCCCACAAAGGCATTCGTTGGTCAGGGTTGTGGCAGTGATGGTCAGGGTTTTGGCCGCTTTGGGGTGACAGGTTGTGTGTGGGAATCAGCCGCGGCTGCGGTGGGCGGTTGCTGGCAGCCCTGAGGGGGAAGTTCTGCCTGCTTCCCTGCCATGCACATGTGAGGTGTCTTCTCCAGGCACCGAAGAAGTGCCAAGAGCAGTGGTGATGGGGCAACGGATCACATCATATGGAAAGGTGAATCGTGGTGTAGGGTGGCCGAGTTGCTGGGCCCTTCTTGGAGGAGAAGGTGGGGAAGTTCCGCTACATATCCTGTTGAGTTCTGTGGGGCTTACTCACAGGTAAATGGACACCCAAGTACAGTCATATGTCAGCAAGAAAAAAAGCCTTAATGCAGTGTAAAGTACACTTTCCTTCAGGAGTGATGTTAATATAGAATTACATCAGTGGGTAGCTGTTTTCAAATCAACTGGTTTTCATTTTTTAAAAAGAGTCAAAGTTGAAATTTACCTTATATTTTCATAGCAGCTAACTTCTGGCTTTAGCATGGCTGTTTGTCGAAATACTTTATAGATAATGACACCAAAAGCAATCAAATTAACCTGGAAATATATACATATATGTATTCAGTTTAACAAGATGAACGTTGGAATTATATCTGTGTTTCATATTTAAAGCAAACAAATCAAACCCCTTCTTTCTGTTGAAAGGAAAGAGCTATTCTGATCCTTTTAATAGAACAAAGAGTACTACAGTAACCTAGGTCAAAGACGAATGTAACTCTATATCCTTTCAAGTGTATAATTAACAGCAGTTTGCAAATGTTTATTGAATTTATTGGCAAATCTCTTTAGGTTCTGGATCAGAATTCTCCCCCAAAGTAGATGTATGGAATATGTATTATCGGTTAGGCATTATACAGATATTTCATTTGAAAATACAAACCCACTGTTTCCTACTAAGTAACATGAGCAACATCACGGGTGCATTGAAATTTTTGGGTGTAAAAGATACAAGTGAAAAGTTTTGAATTTCAAAGGTACTTTTGGTAAAAAGGGTAACATACTAGGGACTTGGTATTAAGCTTTGCATTTGTTTGACTAAGAAAAAGCCAGAAAAATATGGAAACGGGGCATGGAACAAATAACAGTATACCATAAATCAGATATAGGGACGCGGGTGGCGCTGTGGGTAAAACCTCAGTGCCTAGGACTTGCTGATCGTAAGGTCGGTGGTTCGAATCCCCATGGCGGGGTGAGCTCCCGTCATTCGGTCCCAGCTCCTGCCCACCTAGCAGTTTGAAAGCACCCTTAAGTGCAAGTAGATAAATAGGTACCGCTTTATAGCGGGAAGGTAAACGGCGTTTCCGTGTGCTGCGCTGGTGCTGGCTCGCCAGTTGCAGCTTCGTCACGCTGGCCACGTGACCCGGAAGTGTCTTCGGATGGCGCCGGCTCCCGGCCTCTTGAGTGAGATGAGCGCGCAACCCTAGAGTCGGTCACGACTGGCCCGTACGGGCAGGGGTACCTTTACCTTTACCTTTATAAATCAGAGAGCCAACCACATACGATCCAACCACAAACGATACTACTGAGCAGTGATGGCTTTGTCTTGGAAATAATCTGAGCTACCACCACAAAAATAAGCAATAGCCTGCTTTATCTCTGGGTCAAAGCCCTATTTCTCCTAGTCACCCAGCCCTTTGATCCCCCAATCCTCCAGTCCCATTTTCTGGTAGTGGCAACAGTAGCAGCATATAGTAAGCCCACAACTTACACCTTCCCTTGTCCAGTGCAATATATAGAGGGCACACCAGGAAAAATGGTGCTGATGGCCCTCAGGTGCAGTACATTTCCCCAAAGCCTCCAGGCTTTGGAGAAGGTAGGGAGAGACCATACCTTCTTCTCTCTCCCTGTGACTGGAACGTCATTATTGCTGCTGATGCCATTGCTGGAAACTCAGACTTGTAGGTAGAGTCTAAACCAAAGGGAGACAAAGGGTGTTGTGGAACAGGTGGGAAGGGGGGTAAACCAGGAATTCCTCCATGGCTTGGATTTTTAATTAAGCCAGAAGAATTCAGGGCCTGCAATGCTCACATCTTCTTTGACGTGAATGCTGTGAGCCACGAAAAATGTACCTGTGAACCTCTCTGATGTTTGTTGAGTGCATATATCAGGTGGAATAAGAAAAGAAAAGGTCCAAATGTATGCAATACCCAGCATAATGTAATATAGTATCCGATATAATATCTTATACCAATATATCTTAGAGATCAGGTGCTTTTCACTTTGAAAGAAAGCAGCTCTCCCACATAGGAAGTGCTTCTTAGAAAGTAGCAGGGAAGCGCTAGGTTAGGTACCTGTGAGGTTTGTTCAATAAAGTTATGCTAGTGTTTGAAGTAAGTGGAAGCGTCTGATCAGCTATTCACAAGCAGCAGTTATTCACCAAAAATATCCATGAGTAACAGCATATCAGTATTAAAAGAATTATATTGCGGAGTCCACCTGCACCTCTATCAATAACAACAGCACATTCCTTGGACAAAGTTTGCCTGAAGAAAGCTTCTGAAGTAGTCTTTGGTGCTTTATAAAAGCTGTACAATACTCCACAAAGTAAAATAGGGACAGCTGGATATGTATAATTCTCTCTAGTTGAAGAATCAGTGCCTGAGTACCCCCCATCCGGTATTTCTATGGTCCTTTGTATGCTTAAAAAGCAGAGACATCACCTTGCCAACAAAGGTCCGTATAGTTAAAGCTATGGTTTCCCCAGTAGTGATGTATGGAAGTGAGAGCTGGACCATAAAGAAGGCTGATCACTGAAGAATTGATGCTTTTGAATTATGGTGCTGGAGGAGACTCTTGAGAGTCCCATGGACTGCAAGAAGATCAAACCTATCCATTCTTAAGGAAATCAGCCCTGAGTGCTCACTGGAAGGACAGATCCTGAAGCTGAGGCTCCAATACTTTGGCCACCTCATGAGAAGAGAAGACTCCCTGGAAAAGACCCTGATGTTGGGAAAGATGGAAGGCACAAGGAGAAGGGGACGACAGAGGATGAGATGGTTGGATGTTCTTGGAGCTACCAGCATGAGTTTGACCAAACTGTGGGAGGCCGTGGAAGACAGTAGTGCCTGGCGTGCTCTGGTCCATGGGGTCACGAAGACTCAGACACGACTAAACGGCTAAACAACAACAAATTGTATGCACAGGGCTTCATCCCCCTGCCTTGTTTATGCGAAAGATCCTACACCAGGTGTTCCCAAACTATGGTCCATGGACAATCAGTGGCCATTGACTTTCCTTCAGGTGGTCTCTGACATATCTGTGAAGGACACTTAATATTTTAAATTTATAGAGTTCTATGGTATTCAGATTGTAATGCAATTAAATATGATATAACAAATAACAGACACAATAAAAACTACATCTGAAAATCACACAGCATCTAGCCTAGTGTATTTCAAGTGCTACTATATGCAGAAAGAGGTAAGTGGTCCACCAAGACCCTAAGCAAATGGTCGGGGGAGGGGAAGTTGGGGAAACTATGGCCTGCACAATCTAAATGGTATGCAAATAGACTTTGTTTGCTCGATTTGTTTGCTTATTCAGGGGCCCACAACTGTACAGGCAAAGCCCACACAAGTAGAGTTTGTATGTGCCCACAAACTTGTTCACATATTATTTCCCCAGCATGCATGGAATTGGTTCCTCAGATAAAGAAATCCATCTGGCATAACTGAAGGGCAAGTCAAAAAGCTTTCACTTGAGAACTGTCAGCTTTAATTGGAGGTGCTGCTGGTGAAAATGGTGGCGAATAATATCTATTGATATTAACCAGTTGGGACACCTTTTTATCGATAAAACTATTCAATTAGTTTTAAATGTGTTGTTTTCATTTGTTGGTGTTGTACACTCCATTGAATGCTTTTATAGTGGGAAAGTGGAATAAATATATTTCCATTAATTAAGTAACCCAGAGAGAAAATTGTGTTTGAACCACAATAATAAACAGGAACTGTTGTAGGCACATGCATCTCCAAGCCTTACCTAGCTGTTTCCTGACTTCCTACCCCACCCTGATTCTCCTTTCCAAAGAAAAACATCTTTTGAGTTTAGTCCTACCTGCTTTTTCATTTACCCAACACCACAAACCTCAGTTTACACAGTGACCCTAAGTGGGTTTGTACCAGACCAAAAGTGCAGGTAGGTGGACACATAGAGAGAGCCTGCTGTGCAGAAATGCCTGAGGACTCCTGCTGTTGTGGGCCATTGCTGGTGTCCTTCCCCTTCCCCTCATCTTTTCATTTGGATTTGTGAAATTCTAAAAATATACTGAATGAGCCACATTTCAGCTGGCTAGCTTTTTGCATTCTGTCTGTGAATTCTTGATTGCAATTGTGCCAGTTGGTTTTTATGGATTTGCATCTGCTGACTGAGTAATATTAATGAAACATCCACTTGTTTCCTCATCTATATGCTTCAAAACAGCAATTGGAAGCCCATTGTAGGGTCCATGATGGGAAGCCTAGATGGGAGATTTTGGTGGGGTGGACAATTAAGAATTTGTCTTAACCACAGTCTGGGTTTGATCACAAAGGCATTATTTTAGAAACACATATGCTTTATTTCTGAACAGAAAATCCTGCATGTAGGTGACCCAGGGCTATGTGTGCCAGCCCTGCCTCCAACATCTCCCTGTGTGCAGACTGTAAAATCTCTCTATTCCATACCTTCCTGTGTTGAGCAAAGAAGATCTGATGGGAGCATCTACCTGCAGTTTTGGGTTGTATCCACAGAGTAGGGAGGCTAGTTTAGCAGAGCTCATGGTTGTATGGTGATTTCTACTCACCTTCAAGTGGATGTGGATAGAATCCCCTTCAGACCTTCTATGTTCAACATCAAAACGTCTGAGACTAAGTGGGCAGGCATAAGGATGTTTGGAACAGTGACCCCCAACATGGACTGATGTTTCCAATTCAGGCATAATGCCCAAAGAGGGGGCAAAGCACCTCTACGATGTATTATCACACTTAACAGTTCACAATCCCTTGTGCTTAGTAATAACTACTAGGTAGTTAGTGAAGAAACAATTAACTACCTGAGACAGTCCATCTTTTCAGGGGCTACTTAAAAGACCTGAAGAAAGTCTTGGGGGTGGGGGGCAGGGAGACGAAAGAAGAGAAGTCCAGGCCAGGAAGTTTATGTCATGCATTTAACACATTTAATATATTAACTTTGTTAAATACATGTTTGCTAATGTACAATAAATGTGGAGGTCAATATGAATGTGGCAGATAGAAAAATGGGGCTAAGGCCTTTCCCATGCATACTGCATTCCTAACACCAAACCCCGAAGATGCTGTTTGGAGGGAATCTGCTATTAGCACCAATATTTAAAATTCTGATATACATAATACTTCTGAAACCAGCAGTTCTTGAAGTTAATTATACAATTAATTTGACCTTTATAATAATTATATGCAGGCTTTTATATAATATACATATTCTGGTGAATAACAGAGGAAATTATTCACTTTATCTCTAGCTGGCATAATGTGAGTTTGGAATGCTCTTATTATAAGTGGGGCAAAATGTAGTTGGAACACAAAAGGGTGATACTTGGAGGATGCATGAAGTTTTAGGAAACTAGATAGCTAATGTAAATGGCATCAGCTTAATCATCTAGTCCAGACAATGCTCTCATACTCTTTGACATCTAGGTGGCATCTAAGTGGCAAACGAGGAATTTAATTTCAACTTCATGCGTCTCTGTCCTAATTATGGATTGGTTTTGGAGTGTAGTTCTGCTCATGGAATGGTCATTCCAGGTTCCCACTCATGGAAGAGACGAGGTGAATTTCACTGATTCCCTATTTACCCATCACCATGCATCCTCCCATCTACTTTTTAGTGTAAGGATCCCTCCAGCATAGTGTGAAAAGTAGTGTGAGAGGTTACCAGAGGAAATGGGAATCCAGAAAATTGCTTCCCGACTCATGGGTAGGAGCTTCCACAGATGGAAGGCCACCATTGGATCTAACCCAGTGTGCCTCCTGTTGTATGTTTAATTCTTCTTTGCTCCATTTGGCTAAACATAGCTATCATCATCTCCCTTAATTTCCATGTCCTATCCCTCTCTTTCTGTCTTCTGCCATGCATCTTCCTTTGCTTCCCTGTTTTGAAAATGTGATTATGTCATTTTAAGTGCTTTCTCAAGATACGTTCCTGTAACAATGGATGCTATCTCTCCGTAGATTTGGAGACAGTATTGTAATGCTCACATCCCCCCCCTCCATATTTTGTGCCACACCAAAGTCCTGGTGCTTGAGATACACTATTTATCAAAGTTTCTAAGCTCGTATGGAATTTACAGATGTCCTTTGAAAGTTCTTAAGTGTTTAAGTAACAGTTTTGAATATATTCTTAGAAAGGTGGGTCCCCTTCCCACCTGTTTTTATTTTGTGGTCTTACACCATCTGCTGTAAGTGGGTGAGTAGTTGAAGTGTACTAGAGGGAGAATTAAAGTTGGAAACTATCGTCTGAGTTTTAAATACACCAAGAACACTCATAAAAGCAAGATGATTCTGGACAAGAGCCAACTATAATTCCTATTGCTTGACAAAGGAAAAACCTTGGACTTTCCTGCACAATTAAATAAACAAATACATGGCTTCTCATATACAAAAGAATGTAGCTTTCAACCCAGAGCCACCCACATGACTCTGGTCCTAATGGTGTAATTTTCTGCTTGTGAGAGATCTACTAGTATAATCATTCACTTTCATTGTGTGCTGTTCATGGTTAGGACTGTTTAACATTAATGGCTACTAGTATTTATTGTTTCCTTTTTCATTGGGTGAGATGACATGTCGAGTCCAAATAATGCTGTTAATAATGGGATGATGTTAATAGTGGGAGGTTCAGAGATGCGATCCATGAGGCACAATCCACTGGAAAGATCTCCTGCACAAGTCCCATTGAAACCATGTGTATTCCTCAAGAACACATTAAATGACGGATGGAAGATGTGCAAAAGCACGGTCAAATGTGCCCTGCTGTAATTTCGATGTCCTGTATCATAGCTCTCATTACCTCTTTACATCATTATCTGTGGTAACAAATAATGAGCTGCTGTAAAAAGATAGGTTATGCAGGAGACTGAAATCTGCAATTTTTGCATTCTTACATCAACATGAAAAGGCTTATGCTTTTTCCTCAACAGTAATGTGAATGCAAAATCTAAATGGGCAACAATGAAATTAGCCTTATTTTTTCTGTTAAGGTAGCACAGCTCTCCACTACATCCCCCCAAATGCACTTCCCCTCCAAAGCCACCCCTCTTTGAGTTGGGAGAAAGGATTCAATGAATCTATCACATATAAATGGTTAGATGGGTCAGATATGTGTGGGTCTCAAAATCAAGTGCAAAACTCTCCACTGCATTTTCCAAAATGGGGAACACTCAAAACAAAACTATATTGGAAAAAAGGTCACAGAATCAGAGAATCAGAGAGCTGGAAGGGACCAGAAGAGTCATCTAGTCTAACTGCCTGCAGTGCAGGAATCTTTTTGCACAACATAGGGATCAAACCCATGACCCTGAGATTAGTAGAATCTCATGCTCTACCAACTGAGGTCATATGAATCCATCATATGATTTTTTTTATAAAAAAACACAGCAAGGAGAGAGGTAAGAAGAGAGAAGGGTTATGTCATGATAAAGGCTGTGAACACATGACCAGCTTAAGTGCAACAAGTTTGTTCTTTTTCTCTGTTCCCATTGCAGTTGGTTTGGGGGCAAACACATCAAAATGCAGTGCTTCATAGGAAATGACAAAATAGATGTGGACTGTGGCTAATGTCATGTGTACACTGCTTCCCAAACCACTGGTGGGAGCACATTGGATGCAGATTAAATGGGAGTGTGTGCATAGCCAAAGAATTAAGGGGAGGGGGTATGGCTGAGTATTGTTTAGTAGCTCAACGGGCAATGCTGTGGTGGAATGATCCTTTCCGTTAACAAGCTGAGAAGCTTGTCTTGCACAGATATCCATGAGAGCCAAGGACACTTATTAAAGTAGGGCTACTCTCAAACATCAGGGAAACCCATTTTCAGTGTCCAACTGTGAGAATGCTTCCTGGAAGGAGATTCAGAAAGAAAAGGCTTATTGGCTTTTGAGGGAATGCAGACATAATACGATAGCCTACAAATCCGCTCCACTTCCCAGTGGGGAGGAGTTGCGGTGGACCACGTGGCCACCCACTCCCCTCCAGGAGCGGGGGACGAAGTCCCACATCATCTGGAGGTTCCCGGCCATGTCATTCGCCAGGCAGCCAATCTGCTGGCTGGGGGTGGGGGGTGGGGTGGATGGGCCCCATTTAAACTGAGGCGCAAACCAGAGAGCTTCCTCTTGACTCACTTCCTCGATCGTTAGGCATTGGTTGATCTTATGATGGGGGAGGGGAGGTGTGGCCATCACCTGCCTCTCCAAGCTTAAGGGTATTCCATTAAAGGAATCTGGGGGTGGGGATCTTGTCCGAAGCCCGGGGTAGGGCTAGGGCCATGCCACGGTCCCGTCAGGAAACCAGGGGGAGCTTGAGTTGGTTTGCATTGTGACGGGCAGTTATATATAGTTGGGTCAATTCCAATGTCTAAGCCAACCCCGCTCACATTCTGTAACCAATGAAGTTGTGGCCTAAATTTTCCCAATAACATTAACCTAATATCCATGTCCTTGTTCACCAACAAGGGGGTGGTCTCGGGGTCTCAACACACAACATTTTTTCTTTCTACTAGCTGTCGTAGAGAGAGATGGACTGGTAGCATTACAGGAACAGTGAATGGACTGAATCAAGATTCTCAAGTTATGAGAACGTGAATCTGGATTATTTCCAGGTACAAAGGATATTGGATCATTCTTGTGGTCCCCAGCTACAGCCAAGCCTGTTGTGGGGTAGCGATTTGTATTTGTTCCTGAAACCATTTCAAACTGCTTGATCCCAAAGGTATTTGACAAGGCATAGCTGCCCATACTGTAGCTTATTTATATTCTTAGCAATATCTGATTCCACAGCTTTCTGTGTAAACAACAAAAAAGTAAAACATCTTTTAAATGAAAAGCTATTGAACACTACAGTATACAAAGAAACCTGACAATGTACTAACACTTTTGTGCCTGTTTACAGATGGAAAAAAACAGCAAGTATGAATCATTGTAATTCTAAGTTCCTTCAGAGAGAATTACAAGACCATATGATATCCTAGCGTGTTAGATTTTGCATTAGGATCCATGACTGAGTTGTAAGACATCCAGACAGCTCCATATTGAGCACACATCTGAGGAATACAAGTTATTTCATCTTCTGTTGGCAGTTTGCTTAAACAGCTGGCTTTGAATGTGTTTCTTGCCTTATGCTGGCATACAGGAAGAAGAGCTGAATTTTGATTTGCCTAGCCATAGATTTTGTTGCAGAATTATCCAAAGAAAGGCCACGAGCATCTAATAGTTTTCTAGAGCAATTTTTGGTGTACATATATATGAATGCTTCACTTTGTCACCTCAGCTTCAAAGGAGAATAATTTCTCCTGCCTATTCATAGTAAGTTATGGGAAATCTGATGGTGTTGGCAGGAGGAGGGAGAAGCATGTTAAATTGCTGTGAGGAGAGTAATTAAATCCACCAGCTATAATTTTGTGGTAATGGGTGGCACTTAGCAGAGGAAGACAAATTCTGATGATGGAAACCTCAGTTTGAAGAATGAGGGAGAAGAAAGGATGGTGTTAGAATAGGCATAATACACTGTCTGGTAGTTGGCTGACTAGTAGTTAAGGATGGCTGAATCAGTCAATTCTGCTTTCTCTCATATTCTCATTTTCCACTCGTAAGTTGAGCATTCCACATTTCCACATCAGTTTCAAATATTTTGAACAAGTTCTCATGAAAATTCAGCAGCATTTTTACTGTGAATTTCTCCTGATAGACATCTTTTAAGACACACGCCTTTGCAAAGCAATATTGCTCTATATAATGCAGTTCTGAATGCTATTTTCACAAACATATGCCTTTCCATGCAGATTTTACCCTTATATATTCCTTTTTGTGTACACATTATTTTGCTGGACAACTGTATTGAAAAATTCAGAGAAGTGTGAATTTGAAAAGATGACTGGGTTTTGGTTCACCTATTGTTCCAAAAACAGCTTCACCTATAAATGTAGATCATATTTCTCCCCTGTCCCAATCTGGTAGGCATTCCCCAAGTGAAATGTGGTCTTTAGCAGATAGGCAATGCCCTATATAGTATGGCATGGAAAATGACATATGGACTAAGATGGAAGCGCTACAATGTTCTGCCTTAGTGGGTTTGTTACGGTTCTTGTGCAGTAACGTTTAGACAATAAAAGAGTTACTGTTAATCTTCTGCAGTCTCTGGCATTCATTAAATTAAGGCAGGGATAGTGGAAGCGCATACTTACTAATGTTTTTGATCCCCTTCCTTTGTTTTCTCATTCAGCCTGCATAATAATTGTGAATGTTTGTGATAGAAAATAGTTGTTATTTTTACCTACCCATAGTCTTTAAGATGGGATATAATTACACTGAAACAAATGAATGGCAGCTTTCTAAAGATATGACTGGGAACAGGATGGGAAACATGACATGTTCTGCTTTAAGTTACTAACAACCCAACAGAAGCCCATTCAATGAAAGGCAGGTATATGACATTGCTTTATAGTTTATTTCCTTTAGCAATGACAAAAAGCTTCCAGCTTCTCTCCATTAACCATCACTTCGAGCAGCAGTGAAACTGCAATCAGTAGTGCTGTAATGTCCTAAAAAAGACCCAATGGGAATGATGATATGTAATGTCATGATGTAACATTGTTCCCTTGGCCATTGTTGGGAAAAACAATGAGATATTTAAATTCAGACATGACTCACTAAGAACACCATCCTATCCATACCAGAAGTCCACCGGCAAAGTCACTTGGAACAATGTGTGTAAATTGCATTGGGCCACTCTGTGGGTCATTTCAGTGCCGTGAAGCTGCTGGCTGAAACTCTGACAGTACCTCAACTGGTGGCAAACACTTTGTTTGGTTATGGGGAAGAAACTGGAGAATCTCCTACTGCCTCTTCTCAAAATGGGTAAGTCTCATTTGCCTCCTCCTAAATTCCCTCACAAAATGGCTTTTCTCCCTGCACACTTTCAAATGCACCTTTATAATATACTGGTATGTTTTTAAATCTTGCAAGGGGAAAACATAGCTTGGAGGATGCAAGGCAGGACTTGGAGCAGAAGGGTAGTTTGTGGGAAAAGAAATTATCTTCACACAATGCACAACTTCTCCATTTTCAATTGCCTGCTCTGAAGCTGCTTTTTAAAAAGAAAGAAAAAGAAAAGGGGGAATTATATCATGGTTCTAATATGTGCATTTGCATATAATGCGCCGTTAACCCAGAAGAAAGCCTTCACTTGTTCGTACAGTTAAAATGCTAGTCATTGGGATGATAGGTCTTCACAATGTTTTTCAAAGAGCAGGAGAATGCCCTGATGTTGTCTTACGAGTACATATATTAGTGCTTGATATTATGTAAAATAATTCTAGAGTTAGCATAACCAACCATAATTTTTAATTGAGTGCTAAGGGTTTTAAAGTACACAAAAATCTGTTAATGCATATGCAACAGATCTGTGTTGACTTGGAGTCATAGTCACGGTGGAACCCATCCAATCAATTAATCATAGATTGGGGTGTGTCCCCCCCATTCTTTTTCACACAGCAAGAAGAGTTCTTGCTCTTACAAGGTGCTGTTGTTTTTGCTGTTTTTCCTTGTGCAGTCCCAACGATTTCAGAAAGGCTACTGTGGGTGGCATGTTTGCAACTGGAGATGTAGCCAGCAATCTCAAATGACTGGTTTGGGGACCTGCAGAAGCTGGTGAAGCCACCCGCTGCCCCAGTATGCAATTAGATGTTGCCCAACATTTGCTTGAATTAGCCTGTGATTTTATATTCATTTACCTGGAAGTAAGCCCCATTGAACTCAGTAGGACTTCTGATAGGCATAGGATGTTAGTGGATTATGTATGAATGTAAATATCCCATCGAGACCAAAGGAATTACTTCGACGTCCATTCTTAGGCCAAGTCTTAATTGCTCCTGCCACTGAGGCAAGCTATAATTTTTTTGCATCTTTATGCCCTATACGTTTTGCAACTGTTATTATTATTACAATTTATACAGATCTTAATTGGCAAAAGCACTCCAATTATACTCTGCTCCATTCTTACTTTTCTGTAATGTGCAACAACACACTTTTGTACCTGCATGAAAAAATATGAAGCTGCCACAAAGAACAGTGCAGAAAGGGGGGGGGGAGCATTATAAAAATAATTAAGGTTAAACTGCTTGGGGGCAAGTGCAATCAAAACAATCCTTTACAAACTGTACTATAGCTGAACAATTCAAAAAGCAACTATTCTGAATATAAGCAAATTCAAAGGGAGACGATCCCCTTTTGTAACCCCACCCCCCCGCCTTCTGATAGAAGACTACTGAAAACTGTCTGGTATCAAAGCTTCTCATGGATTAGACCTTCTGTGGCTTTCTGTTTCTACAAAAAAAGGAGACAACCCAGGAAAGGGAAAGCTAATTCTAAAGATTTTGACACACTACTTCTGAGTCTGTTGAGTGCTTCACATTCAAAACTTCAAAAATGAAGCTCCCAAATCATATCTTTTCTACTTTCTCAGGCTCTCGCTCAATAATTGATGAAACCATCTATATGCTGATGTCAAATCTTAGAAAAACGGGGATGGTGGTGGTGGGGAGAGAGATGTCTCCTGCTGCTCTTTTAGTTATATACTCGCTTTAAAAAAATATCATATTAGATATGGCTCCTTCAAAAACGTCTGATGTTCAGGAGCAGCTGCATAGGCATCATTCTCCCCAATGACCCTTATTATCAATGTTAGAATTAACAAGCTGGAATTCTGATGTGCAATCTGGCATGAATGAGGACAGATTTCTGTCTTCTGGCTAACGGATGGGTGAAAATGCTGCTTCGGTGCTGTTCAGTCAGGATGGAAGGGAGTTAAGCTGATAACAATGCAACAGCTTAAGCCGGAAAACGAAAATGTATGCCATATTAATTGCCTGAAATTGCACACAAGCTGGCAGTCAAACAATGAAAGGTATGTCTTGCTGTCTGATTTCTCTCATTATCATCTCCCTGATGAATACACCTGCCCAAATGCTTTAGTTATTTCCTCTAGTTTGACACAGCACTGGAAAATATTTAAGAACAACAACAAGAAGAAATACTGGGAGGGGGAAGGAAAAGAGGGGAGAAAAGATTAAAGGTTCTGTGAAGGGTATGCCTAATTTTTTTAAAAAAATTATTGTAGAAAAACTGGACACAGATACCAGTAATAAATCCCACTGAACTCAATGGGACTTGCTTTTGAGTAAGACATGTATGCGCTTCAGGGGTCAAAACAGACATGACATTAATTGCATGATTGCAAGTAACATGTCTACTTTTAAAAGTTTAAAGAGTTGGCACTTGGCATCAGCACTGTGTGCAGGGGAAAGTTTCATGTTTAACCCTTTCCCCTATGTATGGTCCTGATGAAATTCAGTCCCCCCACAGTGGAAGTTATTTAAGAAACCCACAAATGGGGCATTTTGGGGGGCAGAGCTGGATCAGACCCTTTGCTGCTGTTGCATGATGTCTATGGGCCTGATCCAGGCCTCTTCACCATACCAGCCTTGAAGTCTGTTCAACTTCAAGTGTATTTGTCCTTGCTCCCACTGTCTGCACTGGCTGTGAAAATGGTGATGTCTCTCAAGCCCTGTTGTTGCTGGAAAAGGTTTGGGTTAACCCCTAAATAAACATAATAATTATTTCACCCTATCATTTTATAGCACTTCTTGTCCATGGATCATAATTATTCTTGCCTACTTATGCTGGCAGCTTTTCTTTATTTCCCAATCTCCTGCACCACCTTCGTTACTCTGTTTTAAAATTAGATAATTGCAACCCCCCCCCATCCTACATGACTTGTGTGCATTGATCTAATCTGAAACACAGCCTTAGATATATTGGTTGCAGTGCTGGAAAGGCTGTTAAGAGAAACAAGTTGGGGAAATTATCTTTAGCTTGCAGCTTGTTTTATGCAGGTTTAAAACACTCCTTTTCCCCTGTAGTTCAATCTATCAAATGTCTGACCCAGTCCTTTTCATGTATACTTACCCAGAGAATAACAATAAAAAATGCTTGATATGATCAATGAGGCTAATGGCATGCACTTCAGAATTCTAATGGCAGATTGGTATTAATGAGTACGTATTTTAGAGGGGAAAAGGTGTTGTTGATATGCTCAGAGAAGAACAAGTGCTTTTAGAGTAATGCCTAAGTGAACTAGGATTTTCTATGAAGACATGTCAGATTTGCCTCAAAAGAAGTATCTGAAGTACCCAATGCAATCTACAGTCATGCACTCATTAAGTTATATGCAGCCTTCAAATAATATCGCAGCGTAGTCTAACTCACTAAACTCCCCCAACACAGGCCTTTGCAATAGCAAAAAGATCTGTATCCACAGGACTGTGTGAATAGTTCTGTCTGCCCAAGAGAACTTTGGACTTGTGTTTCTTCAACACTTCTCTTTTGCAATGGAAAGATAGTTCAAAAACAGCTGGGTTTTGGCATGGTGGTCAGCCTCTAAATGGAGTAAGATGAAAAGTCCCACTAGGCCCACGTCTATTGTCCAAGCCCTTTGGTGCACCCCAATGAGTTTTTTGGATCTTGGCTGAGATGTTTTCCTGCTCACTAGAGGTATAATGTTTCTAAGAAAGCAGTAAAGCTGTGGCATATTTGTGTGTGTTTTACTTGAGAGCTGAAGTCCAGAAAAGACTGCTTTGAAAAGGCTATGAAATTGTTGCCATCTACCCAAAACCTTAGTTTGTTCTGGGCATAAGCTTTCGTGTGCATGCACACTTCTTCAGATACACTGAAACAGAAGTCACCAGATATATAGTGAGTGAAGAAGAAGAAGAAGAAGAGTTTGGATTTGGTATCCCACTTTATCACTACCCGAAGGAGTCTCAAAGCGACTAACATTCTCCTTTCCCTTCCTCCCCCACGACAAACACTCTGTGAGGTGAGTGGGGCTGAGAGACTCCAAAGAAGTGTGACTAGCCCAAGGTCACCCAGCAGCTGCATGTGGAGGAGTGGAGACGAAAACCCAGTTCACCAGATTACGAGTCTACCGCTCTTAACCACTACACCACACTGGGTGGGGAGGGGTATTATTCAGAAGGGTGGTGGGAACAGGTGATTGGCTGATAGGTGTGGTAAACCTGTTGACAACCATTTGCGTGTCGAGGTCCCCAAGCCACCCCCCAAATAACTCACAACACACACTTAATTTTTGTTTAAGGTTTTTGGCATAATTTTGGCCACAACTTTATTTAAATACAAAACCGTGAGTGGTTGTTTAGGCATTGGTTAAGACTATCTGTCCCCCCGCCTGGGGACAGAACTGACTTCCGGGCACCACCGAAAGACAGTGTGGGGGAAAGCAAGTCGGGGAGAAATGGAGCTGAGTCACAAACCCTCAATTCTCATCCGCATGCTCCCCGAAGGCTTGCCGGCCCTAGTCCCATTCCAGGGATTGGACGAAAAGATGGCAAGCCCCAGGATTCCTTTAACGGAATTCCCTTTCCACAGCAACCATGGAGGGGCAGGCCCAGCCTATCCTAACCCCTCCTCCACCAATTTATAACCAATGCCTAACCGCAACCTTACAAGTTGTGACGATTTGCTACGCAGTAGGCAAAAACCAAATGGCCCAGCCAATCAGCTGGGACAAAATTCCTACCAGGCCCCTGCCCCAACGGCAGATGACCCCATGACAGGCATAGCAAGGTCAATGCAACAACCCCTTACTCAAGGGCGGGTGGGCGGGTGATCCGTTGCACTTAGCAAAGAGAAAGCTCCAGGCTGCGTGCAGAGTATTTAAACATTTTACCCCTCCCACCAAAATTGCAACATAACTTTTACCCCAGCAACCCAGTGAACCAATCACTGCCCCAGGCCATCTTTAGAGACCCTGCCTGGTAACAGAGGGGTGGCTCAGCAGACCCCACCGCAACACGTACTCTCCATGAAGGAGAACAAGCTTAACAACTGCAATTGGTCTTACAGGAAAAAGCAAGAGGTGAGATGGCTAAAATAGCTTTATCATGTATAATGAGATAAGAATCCAATGTCTCTGTTCAGACCAGGTCTCTCCATGGTTTTAAGTTTGGTAATAAGTTGCAATTCAGCAACTTCTCTTTCCAGTCTATCTACCCATTAGTGCTTGAAAGCCACAATCATGTACAGCTTCATTCTGGTGGTTTCAGTTATTCTTCTAATTCCTGTTCCATAAAACAACATAGTGCACTATTTCTGAAAACTCCTGCCATCTTGTTCAAAATAGCTTCTTCACTCCACCCAGGCAAAAAAATAAAAATAAAAATGGAATGCAGCTTACTGAAACAGAACACTGCAAATATTTATGTTAACAAAATTTGTAATGTTGCCATACGGCATCTATAAGCAGGGGTTACCCATAACTCAATGCCTCTCAATGAGCGACAGCTGCCATTATATTTTGGATTGCATTTCACTTCCTCAACCTGAAATTCTTGTTTGCATTTGGGTACTAAACCATATTTACTTGTGAATATTTCAAGATGTTTTGATTGCCAGATTAACATCATTGCTAATGTGTTCAGGAATGTGTACATGAACTCCAGGCATCTGGGCATGCGTGGGGCAGTACTTATGGGTCTCTGGATCAGGAAAAATCAGTTTATCCTTTGGCCACAAATTCCTATAATCTGAAAGAGCTTGGATGTAGGTTGGTCCTAATGGTGTTCAGCACATTGCTTCACCAAAGCTTCTGTTAGTGGAATAAGGATTTGATTCTTCTTTCCTGATGAAGACCCCACCACAATCCACTCTGAAAGGTTGAAGGAACACAGGAACAGAGGAGCTGAAGTATGGAGAGAAAATCAGTAAGAAAAACCCTTCCCTTTCCATTAATGGAAGCCTTTGTCGGATCAAAGACAGCCTTCTGTCTGTGTAAGGGATGCCATTGGATACAAGGGATGAGTGTGTGCATTATTTTGCTTGCCTTTTCATGAGAAACTACTTAATTCACACTTCTTGAACCAATACACAAACTGAAACACATATATCTTTCAAAATCCACACTTTTCTAAACTTTGCAGTGCAGTTATCCAACCATATCTACAAAAATGCATATACTGGGGAAAATATGTGCTTCGACATGCATATATTTGTGAAAATGACAGATTATATTATATGCATTATATTAGGGGGAATTGCTTGGGAAAATGTCAGTGATAGTCAAAAACTACACAACATTGTGTTTATTAGGAGAAATTCACACTGAATTGTTGACGGATTTTTAATGAGGGATTTTTTTTTATTTTAAAAGTGCAAATTGTGGGTAAATTCAATCACGCTTATGATTATTTATTAGTTGCTTTCCTCACAAAAGTGGCTCAAAGCATCTTACTGAAACAATATTACAGTAAGAAGCAAGTATAGCAACCAACCATTAAAACCTCACAATGCAACTGTACTGATAAAAGACAGGTCTTACAGACCCCACTTCACTAAAGCAGGCTACAAATACCTGAAATTCTTCAAATTAAGGCCCAAAAACCAAGGTTAAAAGGAGAAGTTTTTAAAATTGGAAAAATGAGAAAGTGAGAGAAACTGAAACTGGCAGATCCCTATTAGAAACAGCCCTCTATCTATCTATCTATCTATCTATCTATCTATCTACTGTATCTATCTATCTATCGATTGAGCGATCTATCTATCATCTATCTAATCTATCAAACTGCTTTATAGATTGATAGTTACAGTATTATGTGTTACTTTAATCACATTTTATTAACAAATAAATAAGGACCAGAAGCTACAGCTTAATTGCCTACTCACTGCATCTGCTCTATCGCTGTGCCTTCTAACATTTCTTACTTGATCTCAATCCATTTTTACATGTGTAACTTAGCGGCACTTTGAAAATATCTTCATGCACTCAAGCGTGTTGTCGTTGTAAAAAAACACACCATATTTTTGCTGCTGTTGTTTATAATGGGACACCAAAAGTTTCAGAAAGATCAAACCTGAAAACATTTCCAGTAGGAATTAAAAAGGCTCCTTTTTCCCAGAAGAAATAGAGGCTATCAATTCTTGACTTCCCTGCCCATGTGAAATAGTGGGTTTTTGTCTCTGATGTCGCAATTTTGTTTAAAATAGCCTTGATGATGGCAGGGTACACGCGAATGATAAAATCATAAAGATGACAGCCTAATCTTCAAAGATGACCGATCACAGATAAAAGATTAAGTAACTCAGCATTTGAAATACCAGATTATCTGTCTCCTGGCATAGTGTCTGTGTATCCCTCCTGCTGAGTTCTGCAGAGATATCACTGACATGTAAAGATGCTACATCTTACATACCAGAATTGCTACAGAAAATGCCGTTCCCTCAGGCCGTCAGGTTGAAAGAAACAGGCCCTCAAATGAAATATTAGTTAATCAAACATATGTCTAGGTGAGACAGGCAAAGTACTTGGGCGCGTAATAGATAAGCATATTTTAGCGTGGCTATTTAAAAACAGCTAAAATACCATATAATTAGCACTCACAGGTGGGACAGCAATGGGTTAGTGATTATTATACAGCTTTTATTATCAATTTTATGTACCCCAATAATAAAAAAACACCATACTTACAAGAATGATTAGACATGCTGGTCCTATAAAACTCCATATAAAGTTGTTCTTTGTGCTGAGCCAACATCTGAAAAGTAAACAGTGCATAATGTTTGCAAATTTGCTTACAGATGAATCATGCCTGTCTTTGGAATCAGGTGTTTCTGAAGACTGGAAATGACTGCTAGTTGTGATGACTATATCCAGCATCTGAATCAGTATGCCCCTGGGTACCAGTTGCTGGAGAACATGAATGGAAGAGTGTCATTGAGTGTTATTGAGTTCATGCCCTGCTTGTGGGCAGGGCCCGATTTAGGTTTGATGAGGCCCTAAGCTACTGAAGGTAATGGGGCCCTTTATATGTACAGCTGTCCTTTGTCAACAACAAATTGTCACTGTTTTTGTGTGTGTTGAATATATGCCATATGGTAATTTATGGACCTAATAGGTATGTAGGTTTTATTTTATTTGTTTTTTATCTTATATTTTTTAAATGTATATGCATTTTTTTCCCTTTAAGTTTTTGAGGGGCCCCCAAGAGAGTGGGGCCCTAAGCTCTAGCTTGTTTAGCTTATATGTAAATCCGGCACTGCTTGTGGGCTTCCCATAAGTATCAGGTTGCCCTCTGAGGGAACTAAATGCTAGCTTAGATAGGCTTTGAGTCTACCGGGCTCATTTTGTGTTCTTACATTATGGCCACTAGATATGTGGTATTCCTCATTGTGGAAGCCTATTGCTGAGGGAAGCCACAAGACTCATTGTCTGAATTACCAGACTAGTGACCCTGCAGGATATTTTTTTTCACCCAACATATCATGTTAAATCCAAAATAGTAGTCATCATAAAACAATGTTGAACGCCACCCCAACCTCTGAGTGTTGCGATATTCTTTTATCAATGCTGGGAAACCATTTTGTTGTGGTTTCAACAGAAGGAAAAGAGGACCATTCATTTCACGGAAGGAGGCATTTCTGTACAGACATGATATGCCCACCTCCTTATAGATATGGCAGCTTGGGTTGCACATCTGAGCTACCACAAGCATAAAACCCCATCTGGATCAGGGCATATGCCTTTGCGTCTAGAACGTAACAGTGAAAATTTCCATAAGTATCACAGTATGTATTCCCTGCAACCCAAGAAGCAGATGTGTGCAATCAAGTGTCCATGCATTCATACCCTGGTGGGTGTGGCTTTCATGCACAAACGTGCAGCTGTCTGGGGCTAGATTCCTTCATCTAGTACTCAGAACTGCCTCAGAATATCCAGAGACTGGATTGATAGCAGTGTGCACAGCATTGACAAAATGGTAGGGGTGGTGAGCATTAGCTTCAATCTGTTTGAGGGAAGAGGAGATTGCATACACCTTTCATAGTTGCAGAGAGGCCACACATCTCTTTCTGAAAAATAACCACCATAGTCGTCAAAGCTGGCTGGGCCAACCGTTTCTTCGATGGGTAGTCGCAGTCCAATATAATGTACACAGAAGTGTGCAGGCAACTCACTGTTATGTGAACATAGTTTCCTATCAGAAACATGTTTAGGCGATCACATCTCAGTGGGCTGATGCAGGAAGAAGTCATGTCAGAACTATCTATAACTAAAGTCAATATGTAAACAATGAATTACACATCAGTTCTTTCGTAGTATTTGGATCCCAGTGCGGCAGAAATGCCAACCACCACTGCTGGGCTCACGTAGCCAAAGATATAGAAATTCTTGTGTAAGAATCCTTTATTGTAGATTACTCCAACAACTATAAGGTACAGGTGAATGCCTTCGATACACATCCACGCGAAGGCAGCTAAGAGGAAGTAATGGAGTAATCCAGCAGTGATTGAACAGAATAGCTAGAAGGGAAAACAGAAAAAAGCGTAAGTGAATAACATAAAAGACTCCATATCTTGCAATGCAGGTTAACAATGTTGTCATAGTACAGTACCAGCAAAACCTCTTCCACTGGAAATTTGTCTCGATAGGAAAATGGCCCAGGCCTTGTCATTACTTTTCTGTAAGTACACAGGAAACCACCAAACCCATTTCATTTTAAAACTCAGACCTCATTCTCATTTCTTTTTGCCTGTGTGCCTACAATCACATGAAATACACAAACTGATGAAGCAGATGATATATATTTTCCGCAGAATGTGTTCAACCTTATATATACCCCCTGCTCCACATGGGCATGTATACAAGCAGCCCCTTTTTACACTGAAACAAGACCAGGACAACCCCTGCCGAAGTAAATTGGCATTAACACCTTCTGATATTATTGGAACATGGTCAATTTAAACTCAGTTAAAAATCTGCTTCCATTTTGTCTTAGTTAAGGCTCCCATTCTCGGAGTGGACCTCTGGCAGAAGACCCTTCCTTCTCTTCAGTGAGGCTTACACTTTCTGAATGGGATTTCCTGGAATCCTTAAATGAGTGTTTTATATCCACAGCTACATTCACGGGGAAACTGGGAAATGCTACTTGCACCTCTGAAAAAGGCACTTTAGAGCACACATTTGCTTTCCTACCCAACATGAAATGGCATGAGGAAAGGCCACGTACCTTATTATTGTTCATGTTAATTCCAACAAGAAAAATTAACTCAGCCAGAAAAAGGCTGCAACAGAGATTTTTGTGAATTGTTGTCCTTGTACTTTGAATTTCGCTGAAGAACCAGAAAGTGAAAATGCACATGGAGAGGCAGATCAAGGAGATAATTATTCCAAGCTGAGTAATTCTTGTGAGAATATAATAATTCTTGTCATCCTGGGAGGAGGAAATAATAATATAACATATTGGAGAGAATGGCTAAAGAATAGCTTCTTTAAAACCTCATTTGATAAAGGAGTTCTGATTCTATTTCATTTCCCCCCTCCATACTCCTTGTTAAAATACCCAGCCAAGTTATTGGTTGAAATGCTTTACACATTTTTAATTTATTTTATTAAGGGACTACTTGGTACAAGGAAGTGTGCAGGGAAAAATCATAGAACTTGGACGATAGGATTTATCTCCTCCTCTGCCTGTGCCTTCTAAATTTGCTCTGGAGGATTGGGGGAAACCCCAGAACAGGTTTTGGGGAGTGCAGTGGGGGTGCAGGCCAGCTGTTATCTGGTTTTGCATTGGTATGCTTGGATAAATATAGATATCGATTTCTTCAGGGACTGTAGAGATCGTCAGATTGAACTGGCAATTATCTGTCACCAATAGCCATAGAGCCCAGCATATTTCTTTTCCAAGTAGCTGTCATTAATTTAACTGCCCATTAATACCTTATGACAGAATAATGTAATGGATATCATTTGGAGCGCTCTGAAAATTATCCCACTCGAAGAGATGGAGCATAAACCTGGGGTTTTTTTAATTTTATTTTTAGAAAACGAAAACAATTCACTCTTGACTTGTCTTGTAACTTGCGCCTCACTTGCTTTCAGATTAATATTTTAAACCCAAATTAAGTAAACACCCCGCAGATGCAAAACACACTCTTGTATTTGAGGACTCCTCATGAGCTGCGAAGGAGTCTAAGTATAACTCGAGGGAGGGAGCTTTTTATTTTTGGACAGAGGATTTAGCCGACTTGAGAGTATTAGCACAAACACATTGCATTGACACATGCTGGGCTCTTCATGCTGACAGATTCTGCTTCTTAGTTGCTAAAAGCAACTTACAATTTTAGTTCAAATGTGAGGTTTTTTTGGGGAAGTGTTTTGACACACTCTCTCTCTCTTTCTCTGTGATCGCTTGGCCTGTATTTAGAACCCATGTCCATTTTATGGCGATCTTCCTTTAATCTGATACTCAGCTATGTACTTCTTTTTTTAACTTCTTACTGAGAATATTTCAACTGAACAAAATAAAATAGAAATAAAAAAGTGAAGAAAAAATCTAAAAGGAGGGAAGAAGGTATGTTATTTCACTATATATGCAAATGGCTACAATTCCATATATGCTTGTCTAATATTAATGTTATTATACACAGCAGTTATTTTTGTTGAATGCTAAGTGCTGCATATTGGAAATGGGTACACAGCCACCACAATAAAATATTTCCACTTTTTTGTATTATTCTACATTTGCTTTTTCTTTAAATAAAAAGCACTATGGTTTACAAAAGTCTGAAGTTCTGTCTGTTCATACATTATTTTTTTTTAGTCAGGTTTACTTCTGGGGAAAATAGGCCTATTGCATATCCACATCTTACATTTAAAGCATAGTTTATGCCACTTTAACCAACCTAGTTTCCCTGAAACAATCCTTGGAACTGTAGATTGTTAAAGGTGCTGAGAATTATTAGGAGGCACCTATTCCCCTCACAATTCCCAGGGTTTCCTGGGAAGATTGAGTGTTAAAGTGTTCTGGGAATGGTACCTCTATGAGGGGAACAGGGGTCGCCTAAAAACTCTCAACACCTTTAACAAGCGACAGTGCCTGGGAATCATGGGGGAAACCGTGACTGTTAGTGGCATAAATAGTACTTTTACAGCTGCTCATTGACCGTGAATGGGCTCTCTGCCCCGTTTTCTGTTTGTAAAATGAAGATAATAGTGACTTAAGTCTCAGGGTTATTGATAAGGATGAATAATATACAGATAATAAATATTACGGGAGTTGAAAAATGCTCAATGGCAGTTAAAAACAAATAATAAACGGGGGGAGAGTAGAGTAGTTAGCACCCATATAAGAGATAGCATGTGCATTACATTGTTACAGGGATGTGGGTGGCACTGTGGGTTAAACCACAGAGCCTAGGGCTTGCCGATCAGAAGGCTGGTGGTTCGAATCCCCGCAACGGGGTGAGCTCCTGTTGCTCGGTCCCTGCTCCTGCCAACCTAGCAGTTAGAAAGCACGAAGTGCAAGTCGATAAATAGGTACTGCTCCAGCAGGAAGGTAAACGGCATTTCTGTGTGCTGCTCTGGTTCACCAGAAGTGGCTTAGTCATGCTGGCCACATGAACTGCACGCCGGCTCCCTCGGCCAATAAAGCAAGATGAGCGCCGCAACCCCAGAGTCATCTGCGACTGGACCTAATGGTCAGGGGTCCCTTTACCTTTACATTTACATTGTTATAATGGAATATACACAGAGTGTAAAGTTCAGGGACACCCTAACCATGAAAATATCTACTGCTACTAAAGAATTATCCCATTGTGTATTTGCACGATGAGAATAAAGTGATAGACCAAGCGAGGAAGGAAGTAACAATTTAACTGCAGAGACCAATTGGTTCTACACACAAACTATCTAAAGAAATTAATAAACACTATATTTAAAAAGAGCACTTACAACTTCAGAGTTGTTAGAGGACATCAAAACAGCAAAAGGGGTAAGATGATTGCATCTGCATGTGGTATGGGTGCTATTGAAATGTGCTCGTTCACATCCTTCTGTAGACCAGTTTCCTTCCATTGTGTCTTCTGAATAATTCCAAAATGCACACTTAACATCTTTTTTGTCTACAGTCTGGAACAGAAGGAAAATGTTTAATGGATGGCAAGAGGCACAAAGCCACTCAATAAGAAGTATCTGCTACATTAGCAGAGGCAATTCATCACAATGCCTTTATTCCACAAACCCATTTCAAAGACTAGAAGGTCAGGTGGTGCAAAAAGTCCAAGGCCTGTAGTACAGTCAAATACACTCTCTGGAAAGAGAAGAATTAGCAAGCCCTGGTCAAAATAAGGCCACTAGAAACAGACGGGAGCAAACATATAAATTGTACAGACATTTTAAAATCAATTATTTGGACTGTTGATTTCTAAAACTCAGGGGCAATGTTTGAAAAGAAGGAGAAAGCAAGTGTAGTTTTCCTTCCTCTCTTTAGTCTACCTTCTTTTACCTATCTTGTTTCATCTTTCTGTTCTGATTTTCTTTGTTTTTATTCCTGTGTTTCTCCTGAACCTGAATTATGAACAGTTCAGATTCTGGGTTTTGTGGGAGGAGAGGTCATTGTTTTGTTGTTTTTGTTTTAACTACTTGCGTGTCAAAGCCCCCACCCCCAGGAGAATAAAGACACTAGGACACAGAATTTTAGGTTAATGTTAATGGGCAAAATTTAGGCCACAACTTTATTGGTTACAGAATGTGAGCCATATTGGTATAGGCATTGGAACCAACAGACTATATCTGACTTCCTTGCAGGAAGTCTGTAAGGGTTAACCTCCAGTAGGGGGAGCCCGGCGATGTGGATTGACTCGAGTAGTTCATTAAGGGAGTGGAGAGTTGGCAGGAGGCCGTTAATTACCTCGCAGAATAACAATTCCCAGAGTTGCTGGGAAGAGGGATTGATTGTTAAACCACTTTGGGAATTGTAGCTCTTTGAGGGGCCTTAGAACTCTTTAACCAACTATACTAAGGTCAGCCTGGATAGCTCAGTTGGTTAGAGCATGGTGCTGAAAGCAGCAAGGTTGCAGGTTTGATTCCCGTATGGGAAAGCTGCGTATTCCTGCATTCCAGGGAGTTGGACTTAAATGATCCTCAGAGTCCCTTTTCCTATTCTACTGTTCTATTATTCTAGGATTCCTAGGATTCTTCAGGGTAAGTCTTGACAGTTTAAAGTGCTATGATACTGCTTGCCTAGTCTGGACTTTCATCGTCCATATTATTGCCCTTATGCTCCTGCAAAACAACATCAAAACCAAAAACCTTTCCTCGGCTTACCTGCTAAAGGTGCATACTGAATCATACCCATTTAATCTTCTACTTTTTATTTATTTATTATATTTGGATCTTGACTGCCTCCCCCTCCCCCCCAAAAATTGTGATGACTTATTCACAAAAGCCCTGGGAGGTAGACAAGGTCAATACATTGTTACTTCGCCAAGAATACTGAGTGGGATTTATGGCTGAGTCAGGATTTAATCACAGGATTTAATGCCATTCTACTTCCTATCAACTTCTGTCTATCATACACTATGTAATATCATGTCTTTTAGCACAGGAGGAAAGAAAGTAATTATATGAATTTCTCTAAATTTTCAGTGAAACTGTTCTTTTTCTGCCCCCCCCCGGATTAAAAGACTTTTGAGTCACCTTTCAGGTCCAGTGCCCTCCCAAGAAGAGATACAAGATAGTTAATGAATTACAAACACAATAAAAATAGCAATATAGTACAAGAAACAGCAAATTATGCTCCTGAAAATGATAAGTAACTTCATCATAGAGTGGCTGGGGAAACCCATCCGGATGGGCGGGGTATAAATAATAACATTATTTAATAATAATAATAATAATAATAATAATAGAATTGCAGATTTGGAAGGACAATCTGCCATACAGGTATTGAAGTTGCACTCTTGGCATTATCAGTACCAGGCTCTATCCAGGCTTAGCACAGCAGCTAATGAAAAGCAGACTGAAATAAAAGATTTTAAGATTGTTTTTTTTAGAATTTTCCGGTGGTGGGACTATAAATACCTCCTGGGGGAGGATATTCCACAGATGTGAGGCTGCTTCTGAAAGGCCACATCTTTTGAATCTAGCAACCTCTGATCATCAGGCTAGAGAGCAGAGCCCCAGAAGCTGATCTTCAAGCTCAAGCATAGAACTGTAGAGTTGGAAGGGACCGTGAGGGCCATTTGGTTCACCCCTGCAGTAAAGGAATCTCTTGCCCAACTTGGGGCTCAAACCCACAACCCTAAGATTAAGAGTCTCATGCTCTACCACCCAAGCTATCCCAATATCCCATTCTCATATTGATGTAAGTAGCCCTTTGGAAAACCTGATTACAAACCATCTAGGGTAATAATTAACACTTTAAATAGGACCCGCAAACAATAGGCAGGATGTGATCTGATTCTTTGTCCCCCTCAGGCATTCATACTGCCACATGCTGTACCAGCTGAAGTTTCCAAATAGCCTTTAATGGCAGCCCACATACAGGAGATTACAGCAATCTACTGCTGATTGCCCACCACGTCACCTGTTTGTGCGATGCAGCACCAGCGCCATTAACTTCCGTGCCCTGCTAAATTTTGCTCATCTGCTTTTGCCTCTCTAGGCAAACATGGCAAATGTAACAGATGCACAGCTTGTAAATGGAGAATGTTGAGAGGTGAGGAGGAGATTCGGATTACGCTAACCAATTATTGACAATTGTGTAGTAGAACCAACATGCAGTTATTAGTCTTGTCAATTCCTATCAACACTTTGCAGCGCTAACACACTCCCTCCCTGGCACTTGCTGAGTGGAAATCAGAATTGTAATTTCCCCTTTAATCATATTATATACACATATCAGCAAATGACATAGGTGTGAGTGAACAACCAAATGAAAACAGAGTAGCTCCTTGCTACAACATAATTGTAGGCTTACTTTTAATCAGGTGATCATTAGAAAGAAAACCTACCTGTGCATGTTTTAAAGTCAATGTTATTTTCTCTACTGGGTACAGCATAGGTGGCGTGGAGTGAATTGCGACAGCTATAACTGATGACCCTACTGTCTCTCCATGCTCTGAATTTTCCTCCAGTGAGAAGTTCTGCGATGATGAGAAGAGAGAGCCAATATTGCTGTACCGCAGAAACACAACTGCAACGGTGCCTATCAATCAAACAAACTGTGCTTAGTGGGTTGTAGCTTGTTTCCTAACAACCCTGAAGATAATAAGGAAATGACAAATAATAGATATCTGTATTTATTTTGCATGAAATATGCATAACAGGATTTTTATTTTGCAACACAATTATTGAAAAGGTTAAGAGACAGTGAAGAATGTCTGCCTCTCAAGACAATATAACCCACCAGTATTAAAAATGAGCGTTTGTGATGCAAAAATAAGCAGATGGGTCCAAACTTTCCCTATTGTGACTGGAAGGGCTCCTTTGATTCAGAGAAGACATTGAAGTCCAGCAGAGGCTCCTGCTGAAATGAGGAGGAATATTTTGTTGTTGCTGTTGGCAATTTCCTCCATTGCTTCTGCAGCTCCCAGTGCCACCTCCCACACTGTTCTCTTCCCCAAACTTCCAGAGCAGATATTCAGGAGGAACAGGAAGCTGCAGGGAGGAGGAAACTAGCAAAACCTGCCCCTCCTTTCCTCTGATGTCATAGAAACGTTGAGTTGGAAGTGACCATGAGGAACATCTATTCCAACCTTCTTCAATGCAGGAATCTTTTTGTCCAATGTAAGGCTTGAACCCACAACCATGAGACTGAGAGTCTCATGCTCTACTGACTGAGCTACCATGTTTTTGCCTTTGAGAATAAATCTGCTCATGTGAACTCTGGATCCAACCCTGTGCTAGTGAAAATCTGTTCTGAAGAGTATGGGAGAAGTTTGCAGTCTAGAAAAAAAAAAGTGGCTCGGGGGATGGTGGGAGAAGGAGGAAATGAGTGAAAATCACCTCCCCACTTTCCTAGCAGAGAACATCTGCTGGGCCTTGGCTCCTTCTGTGTACAGGTCCATTCATGGAAGTTAACTGGATCTATTCCAGAGGTTTGTTTTGTTGTTGCTTTGCAAATATGTTTTGAATATTTCCAAGAGCAGGCATTTGATCCTTGCCAAGGGTGCATCTTTAGTGAAATACCTTTGAGAAATCACTGAAATTGCATCATTGGGATTGGCTATCCCAAACACTCCTGAAGGATTTACTTTCCTGAATTTTGCAAAGGAGGAGGCTTCTGGAAAACCCCACTGAACTTCACTTCTATAGCCTTATTCCCCTAGTCACATTTCTCTCCCTAACCTTTAGAAGTAGTTGCTTCCTTTTTCTTTGCAGAGACCTTTATAATCTCTCCTCCCAACTGCACATGCTGGTGAATGTGCTCCATGCGCTGTATATCAAAGGCAAGAACTTTGAAAGCTGCAAAAGAAAAGAAGAAAGGGGGAAAACTCCTTTGGAAATCACAATTACATCCCAGCCTACTAAACCTCACACTTCTGCAATTAGGTTTACACTCAGCTGAACATTTATTACAGATGTCAGCACAAAGTCCAGCCAGGTAATTTAAGAGCGAAGATGCATGCACACACACACGCACACACGCACCATTGTGTGGTTCATATTTGTTCAGGGGTTCATTAGTTCTAGTAGGCACAAATCTTTTATTTCCATTTTTGTACCTTTCCTTGGAAAAATGCAGCCCCTAATTTGCTTTGCGTTCAATGCATTTCCTAAAGAATAATGGAAACTACTTTCAAAGGAACAACCTTTTTATTAAGAATGCATTTCTGAAATGGAATATCAATTGCCATCTTTAAAAGCACAGCACCATTGAACAGTTTTTGTTTTATAATATTTGGAGGTAGAAATGAATATTTTATTATTACTACACAAAGATACAGCTACACAGAGTACAGCTGCACTGCGCTTTAATGATGTCTGTTGCTGAAACCAAAGAAAGCAACCTAATATGAACCACCCTGGACAAAGAAAATGACATTAGAGGGCATAGAGTCCTTTTTGTTGCTTTGCTCTGATCAATGTAGTGCTTCAGTCACCCATAAGGTAGCAGAAAGGTCAATCAGACAGTTAAAAGCAAAGCAAAACAAGCATTTGACTAATGGGGTGGAATTACTTAACTGGACTGCCTGTTACTTATAGCACAGAAAGCACACACATTTGTGATCTGAAGTTTCCAGCAAACCAAATATCAGCAAATGTTTTTGCAGAGCATTAAAAAAAGGTCCTTTTACCAAGGTTGTCCCACACAGCTGACTTATATGCATCACTGGCTGGCCAGGCATGAAAGCAGACAATGCCTGGCCAACCATAAGAGTCTCTGATTGGACTGGCCCATTTAAACTTCAGGTTTGGGTGGGCAATCACGCCCAGCAGACTGGCCAACCAGAGAAATTCCCAAGTAGCCAGCTGGCAACATGAACTCTGACCGCCCAGGGATGGCGGCTAGGACGGGGGGGGGGGGGAGGTTTTGAAACCCTCACCCACCTGGGAAAAGGTGTGCAGCCATTTCAGAGCCTAAAAAGTAATTCCTCTTGGGGCAGCCTGCAGCTTATGCACTTCTGTGTTGAAGTGTTGCAGTTTTATGATGACGTTTTGAGGTGAAAAGCTGGGTGATGTATGCTACTGGGATGCAGGTGGCACTATAGTCTAAACCACTGAACGTCTTGGGCTTGCTGATTGCATGATCGGCAGTTTGAATCCACACAACGGGGTGCGCTCCCGTTGCTCTATTCCAGCTCCCATCAACCTAACAGTTCGAAAGCATACCAGCGTGGGTAGATAAATAGGCTTCACGGTGTCCCATTGCACCAGAAGCGGTTTAGTCATGCTGGCCACATGACCTGGAGAAGCTGGACAAACACCGGCTCCCTCAGCCTGAAAGCGGAGATGAGCACCATACCTCATAGTCAAATTCGACTGGGCTTAACCGTCCAGGGGTCCTTAACCTTTATCTGTATGCTAATAGACTGAGTTCTGCAATGGCATGGTACAGCTGTGGTTACTACTCACTAACTAGCCATGGGCAACTGCAAACTCTCTGTCACAGTTTTGTGTCTGATGCTGACCTATCTCATATGAGTTCCTGTGATGCCATGATGCAGCTCCTGGAAGACACATGCAGAAGGCACAGTGAAGAGACCCTTTAGATTTCCAAACACAGAGAGAGCTGGGCAGAAGGGTAGTGTGAAGACAAATGTCTTAATTGAGTCTCTACAACAACAGCCTCTGCAAGGCATTCACACAACATTGCTTCCAATATCAACAGTCTGTCCTGGAAGGAAAATGGGAACAGTTTTCAAATCATTTGCTCCCTTTTGCATACCTAAATCACTGGCATTAACCTCCACTTCTGTTGTCTTTTGAAAGCTCTGTGACATGAGTGCCGTGGTTTCTTCTGCAGCATGCATCAGTTTAGTGAGGCTTCTTCTTCTGTTAACTTCCGGGATAGCTTCCCACGCTGCAGTTTTATCCTTCTGAACGAAATTGTTCACAGTATTAATGAATTCCTGTTAGATTAATAATAAAAAAAGTACTTTAGGTTATGTACTATATCTTATAAGTGCTCCCCACCCTGCAAAAATAGATCAAATCTGCTGCACGGCTCGATTCACTTACATTAAGAGTTAGATTATAGAGCATTTCATTGTCAGAAATCGTGTTATTCACGATGGTTAGCAAGGGAGAAGATACAGATAATGCTTCTATGTAGGAAATCACATCCACAGGTGAAATTTGCCCTACAGTGTTTTGATTGATTTCTTGTAATACAGCCAGGGGTTCTTTTATTTTTCTAATCTGAAAGAAAGTTGAAATCATTAGGCATGACATTCCTAACATTTACAGTCAAATTCATATACATTCATATTCATTAATCAACATTAGTTAACAAGATGAGCCGACATGAGAGAGTGAATAGAATATTGGATGTCGACTTGGAAGGCTCAAGTCTCAGTCTATTCATGGCTTACTGCAGGGGTATTAAATCTGCGATCATCCCGTTGTCACTGCATTCCAGCTCCTAGCAGACCCACCCAGCATGGCCAAGGAATGATGAGAGCTGTAGTTGAATAATATCTGGAAGCACACAGGTTCCCCAGACTTGGCTTACTGGGTAGCCTTGTGTAGGTACCCATCTTTCCATATAGACTGTACCATATAGGGTAGCTGTAAAAATAAATCTGGAAAACCCAGTGTACAAGTAGGTGTGTCTAATATAGGCTGTCCCAGATACAGGGCTGGTCCAAGACATTTTGGCACCTGAGACGAATGGCAAAATGGTGCCTCTCTCCACCAGAAAAGAAGGGGTAAGTGAAGATCTACATCAGGAACAACGGTGGCAGCAGCAGCGGGCAATGCCAGATCTACTGCCCCGTGGATCCTGCCGCCCGAGGCAGTTGTGGCACCATAGGTGGGCTGGTGCTGGTGTGATATGCTGCAATAAGCGGCCGTAATGGCACCGCAACTGTTAGGCAGCCCCGCAGCCTGAGTAACGTATGCCATTGCAGCTGCCATCTTCTTAAGATTGTAGTACCAGAAATATTATCAGTATCATTTCAGGACAGAGGGAAAGTAAAAATAAGATTTGACAATAGATAAATATGCGAGTCTTACTTACTTTGGCTAAGGTTCTGTTAATATTTTCAGCTATGCAGTCATAGCTCAGTTCACACTTTGGCGCTGGGATTGCTGCTGAAATTAAAAGGGGATATTAAGGTCTTGGCATATAGTCATTTCAGTCTGGCTGATAACTAAAGCTCCAGACTTCCCCATTTGGTATGTTTTAAAAGCCAGAGATACTTTTTTTTGTTAAATTGGGTTGGATTTGCATGCAGCATTGTGAATGGCTCGACATATATTCATTCATAGCTAACTGTGAGATGCAGGATTGAACACAGTGTAATCTCTTTGGGGAGAGATATGTACCAAACCACATATGCTCAGCATGTACCCAAAATTGAATTGGACTCAAAATAGACAAATATCACCCATTCCTATTTTAAAAGCATTTACAAAGCCATGGATAGCAGCTACCTTCTCAGAATATGCATTTCTCCTCCTCTCACACACAGGGCAGAATGCCCTTTCTAAGCTGCTGCTACTGCTGTGACTTTTACGAACTTTTTGTTTTTATTTTTAAGAATGCTCTTATATATTCAGGAATGTTTTATGAAAGTTAAGATTTATGTAGCTATAATAATAGATGGGCTCCTGCCAACCTAGCAGTTCGAAAGCATGTCAAAAGTGCAAGTAGATAAATAGGTACTGCTCTGGCGGGAAGGCAGTGTTTCCGTGTGCTGCTCTGGTTTCGCCAGAAGTGGCTTAGTCATGCTGGCCACATGACCCGGAAGCTGTACGCCAGCTCCCTCGGCCAATAAAGCAAGATGAGCACCGCAACCCCAGAGTCGGCCACGACTGGACCTAATGGTCAGGGGTCCCTTTACCTTTAATAATAGATGGGAGCTCATCTGATTAATTATGAAGCTTCTTAAAAAAATCAGTGACATGCCTGGCTTTATTCTTTCTCTTTTGTGGTTTTGTAAATTTGATTGTATGGTGTCTTGAACCTTTTAGGGATAGATGTTGAATGGTCAAAACCGACAAGTGTGGCTACCCTATGAGGTAACAGCACTGTAACTCCATGCTATCCATGCTGTGACATCAGAACATTCTGCATTTCTCTGCCCCAATCAGTGGCAGCCAATTTTGTGGAGTGAGGGTGAGGAAAACACGGTATATCATGATGATGCCACAGCATGAGGTAAGCAATACTGCATGATATGGCAGGTGCAGTTAAATGTGTGACAGCCACATACTCACTGTAATGCATTGATACTTGTCAATGCATTTTTAAATTTTTATTTTAAAAGCCACTTGTATTTAAACCGACTTGGATGAAAAATTCAATCTGAACCAAAAAGACACGTGCATGAATCTAGATTAAGCAAAGGTGATTTCATCGTACCAAGTTAGCATTTCTGTTTACATGTTTTGCCCAATCTTTACTCAAGTGTAGCACAACTCTGGAATATCTCTAAGGCTCTATTGATAAAAGCAAAGCAACAGTCATATAGTGTATTTGACCCCTTAACGGTTAATGGACTTTGGTTGGTAAGTAATAGAAGAAAATCAGTTCTGTATTTTATAATATATTACAGGCTACTTCTATTTTTCAGCAAACACACCTATCAGTCTTTTCTCCCTCTTTTAAAAAGCATAATAATAATGCAGGTATTCACATCTTGCCACTTTTTTATATCCAGCTGATTAATCTAACTGAAGATAAAGAGTTACCGGTGGGCTTCTCAGAAGATATAGTTTTATAATAACACATAAAGCTCTATAATATCATTTACCTTGGCAGGAAGTGCCATCATTTGGCTTAAACTGTAATTTTCCTGTGGATGGTTGATAACCTTCCTTACAGGAGCAGTTATATCCTCCATACACATTTTCACATTTCGCATGATCTCCACAGGCAGCAGTTACTGGTTCAGTGCACTCATCTATATCTGCAAATATTGTGAGAAATTGAATTTTAAAAAAGGTTTTACATACTAACACCTTGCCGCTTTGTTGGTAGTAGCTTGATGTGCTGCAAGCAATCACATATTGAAATTTCACATCTACATTTATTTTTTTTTAAAAAGCAGCAGCAGAAAGCTAAGCTATTGATCAAATGGAACAGAAACATGTGTGGCAATTAGGCAATTATAGTGCCTTGCAGGATAAAAGTCAAGGGAATGAGAGCAGGGCTAAATTTCAAAAAATGGAGATAGCAGTGTGGCTCAAGTGAGACTGAAAAGTAGACCTACACAGTGCCGGATTTACATATAAGCTAAACAAGCTATAGCTTAGGGTCCCACTCTCTTGGGCCCCCCCAAAAAAATTAAAGGGAAAAAACTGGATGTACATTTCCAAAATATAAGATAAAAAAAGACAAAATAAAACCTACATACAGCAACAGTGTTTTGTGTTGTGTAGGCTCCTATGATGTAAGAACTGGGCCCCGCCTGCTAGCCTGCTCCCTAAGATATCACTGGTTTGCTCATTTCTATATATAGGGTACCTACATTCTGCTATTTATAATTATTAGTAGTTTGCATCATATATTTACACCTATTATTATTTCATGTTACAGCAAGTTTCTAGAGACTAGATTATGAGTCTTTGTAAACTGTGTTTCTAAAGGAACTTTTGTTATTGCCAAATGTGTTTGCATTACAGTGGTACCTCTGGTTGCGAACGGGATCTATTCCAGAGGCCCGTTCGCAACCTGAAAAGAACGCAACCTGCGTCTGCGCACACTCGGGTTGTGATTGGCCGCTTCTGCGCATGCGAGTGATGTCATTTTGTGCGCATGCACGAGTGGCGAAACCCGGAAGTAACCCTTTCTGGTACTTCCGGGTCACCGTGGGACGCAACCTGAAAACGCTCAACCTGAAGCAAACGTAACATGAGGTATGACTGTATTAAGTTTGTTATGAATAAAAAATCATTTTAAGTTAGAGCTTAATAATTATTTCACTATTAATATACTTCTTAATTGTATTTCAGTCCAACAATTACTTTGATAAAATACATACTTTGTTATGTGCAAATGGCTTTAGATACCTATTAAGTCCATAAATTACCATATAGCATATATTCAACACAAAAAACCGGGACAATTTGTTGTTGACAAAGGACAGCTGGACATATAAAGGGCCCCATTACCTTCAGGAGCTTAGGGCCTCATCAAACCTTAATCTGGCCCTGGACCTACCTGGACCTGACAGGAAATCTTGGCCCCTAATCTCGATTGTGCGAGAACTAGCTGTGGTTTCCCTGTGTGACAGAAATGCACTGTGCTGATGTTCGGGGGGTACTTTTGTATGTTTTATTTATTGCAGTGGTGTAGCATGGTATGCTGGTGCACAGGGAGCACTGAATGATCCCAGCCTCGCAAAGTGGCTCAGGGCTGGCAGGGCGGCGTGAGAAGGATTCAAAGCCCTTCAATCCCAGCCTTGCCCTCACTTGAAATCCTGATCTCCAGCCAGCACTCTTTACCTGTCCCAGGATAGGGGGCACAATATAAAGCTCAATGTCATTCCATTTATCATGCTGCATGGAATACCATTGTTAAAATTTCCCACAGGCAGCATCACCTTTTCCTCTCTCGACATGATAAAAGAATAGGCTCCAAGTAACCTCTGCATAGTAGGAAACTGTAAACAAGACTAGTTTGATAAGCAGGATAATGCAGAACACACTGCTACAACATAGATTCACTTGTCAAAAAATGCAAGTGTCAAGTACAAGGAAACCGTGGCAAAACATCCCTTTTCATAATGGTTGAATAGATCAGTCGGAGATCAGTTTATTATTACAAGGGTTTTTCTCTTCATGTCAGCTGCAAAAAAAAAAGGGAGCTGGATTCCTAAATACAAATAAATGGCTTTCTACCAAGGGACAGACAAACTTGGAACAGCCCGCAATGCCTTTTAAGCTGAGTGACAAAATAATATACTGCATATCGATCAGGTTTAGAAGTGCACTTATAAATAGAGTATTAAAAATTAATGCATAAATTAATACTAACAGCACTTTCTCCCCAAATGCGATAAACACTGTGCAAAGATAGTTATACATAATTCAGCGTAGTTCAAAATTATAAGCACAAAAGGAAGAAGTTAATCACCACCATAAATCATTTATTATAAGTTCCTTCCCCACCCCAACATATAATTCGTAATTTTAATAAACTCAAGGTGTAGTTCAAGAACTGCTTACACAAGGACTGGCCAGTTGAGGCCGATGAGAAAATACATTGGATTGTCTTTGGCAATCGAAGGCGAGCTTCAAGGATGCCCAAGCATGCTGGCCATCTGCCAAAATGCCCATCATCCAGCAGGGGGAACACTGTCATGAACCTCCTGGATCTACTCTTTGTCTTCCCCATTCCCCTGCTTGTTTATCTGCTCCTCACTGTAGCCCATATTATATAGGGGAGAAAAGGAAGGGCAGTAGATACCACTACCTGGTTGCCCTGTCTGACAAGCAACCAGAAAGTGATAGCCAAGAAGAGGATGAGGAGCAGCAGCAGCAGCTGATAATTTGGGCGGTGATGAGATAAATCTACTGTGGCAGTCCAGGAATATTGCAGTTAGCCCAGTACTGTTTAAGGTGAAATAGAAAGTTGCCAGGTTGCACAATAATCTCTTCTCTCTCAACCCGGTGGCTACCACTGACAGCTCTGATCATCTTTTGCAGGGTGGAAGTGGAGAAGATGGGTTTTAAGCAAGCATGCTCACATTTCCACACGCTTAACCAATTAAGTGCTGCCATGGCTGATGGTCAAAGATTACAAGATCAATGTAGGATCTGAAACGGCAATCTTAAACAGAGTAATCCCCATTGAACACAATGGATTAACCATACACAGGATTGTGCTGCCAGTGTCCATTTTGTCTGCCACTGATATTCTGCCACTTCTCAAAAGCGAGATGGGCGCCACAACCCCATAGTCGCCTTTGACTGGACTTCACCGTCCAGGGGTCCTTTACCTTTTACCTTTACGTACTTCTCAAAACTGCTATTTTTTTTGTTGAGTCTAGAGATACATTTTTGTTAAATGTGTTTGTGGGAAGGGGAATTCTTGGGTTGTTTTTGTTTGTTTTATTATGTATTTTGTATTCTCATTTTGTATTTCATGTTTTGAACTGCCCTGGGAATTTTGGGCGACAACAACAACAGCAACCACTCCTCACATCAAATGGGGGGTGCTTTTTGCATGGTCGCACACAGCCCCTCCTGATCCTACGTGACCCCCAGAAATACTGCCTGGCTTCACCCGCCCCCCCCAAGCTGGATACCTGGAGGTTCCCACCTAACCTCAGACAGTTAACCAATCCCAGCTGGGGAGGCATTGTCAGGGGAGCTGGTCTGCCCTACCCACACAATAGAGGGTGGAACTTACCTGGGAGTCCTCAATTGACTCCAGAGCTTCTCCCACCCTGCCCTCCCTCAGTTATGCCTTATTTTGCAGGTTAACCTCTTCTTCACAGGTGTATGAGCGCTGCTACATCATTGGTTGCTGTTAAAGGACCGGGAAGGAATTTCCTTGTAGCCTTCCCCGTAGCAAAACTTCACAACTTTGGCGGTTTCGGGCCTTGGGCGGAATCCTTTAGTCTATCTTCCCTAAATGGGGGGGGGGGGCGTGAAGCGGTGACCCATGCCCCCTCTACGGTGGCGATCCCAGGGTTCCCCGTTAAAGTGGTTGTTTTGAGGGGAGTCATTGGCCGTACACCGATAGGTTGTCAGCGCTCTCCCCTGTGTTGCAGCGAAATGGGGGGCGGACTCTCTGCTTAAACATACGTTTTCCAGAGCCAGCCCAATCCCCACACTTTAGGATAACCTTGATGTTCCCCAGATCCCCGGCCGGGGACTGGGAGGGAGAAACGCCCAATGCCTAAGCCAAGGTCTCCCTACATCTGAATCTTTTAATAAAGTTGTGGCCAATTTTAATCCCATAGCGCATTGTCATGAGTCATTATTCCACCCAGGTGTCGCCTGGGGTTGGGGGGGGGTCTCCGCCTGTCAATGCAAAAACAACAACAACAACAACTAATAATAATAATAATAATAATAATAATAATAATAGCCACTTTCTCTGTGTGATCTCCTATCAAGCCATGAATCCCATTTATGGACAACAGGGTCTCACATTCTCAAAATCAAGAACAAAATGCTTATGACATTCGGGTCAACAGTGTTAATAAAAAAGAGTTTCATAGAAGTATGAAGTAATCTAAAAAAAAAAAAAAGTTAAACAGTCACCTCCATAGACTAAAATGCAGGCATTTAGCTTATATTGGGTGTACAATGAGAAGAATTAATTAACCAGTACGAGAAAGTGTGAGAGATGTATCTCAAACAAGCTGCAATCAACACAGGCATAATATACTTGCCAAGAGAATGTGGATTTATTGATGTTTTCCCTAGTCCCAGAGGGGGCAGCCCAGCATCATGAGAAAAAATGCCAGAAGAAAACAACAACACAATATAGATAGTTCTTCCAGAAAAGAGGAATCCATTGGGTCTATAAAAAGGTTAAAGAATACATTTTTCTAGTAGATTTTTTCTAGTAGATATGTAAATTCCAAAGAGTACGTAACATATTGTAGAGGGGTAGACTATAGTATATTATGTTTAGTTTACTTGCTAACTATGGTTTGAGCTTGATAGGATATTGAATAGACAAATGGGGTTCATGGCAAGCTTTTCCATTTAGTATAATTTAAGGTAGCAGATATCCATGTCTATAATGAATAAGAGCACAGAGCTGTTCCTGATACAGCAATGAATGGAGAGTCCTTTGAAACACCATAGCCATAGCTCAGTGTTAAGCACCTGCCTTGCATACACTACTGTAGGTTCCAGGTTCAGTCCTCAGCCTCCCAAGGTAAGGCTGGGAGAGAACCTCACCCCAAACCCTGGAGAGCCACACCCAGTCAGTGTAGACAATCCTGATATGCATGGACCAATTGTTTGACTTGGTATAAGGCAGCTCCCCATATTCTTGTTTCAATGCACTTCTCCTGGGCTCCTGGATCCTTCAGCTAGTGAGAAGACACAGTAGGTGAATATGAAGACGTATGAAGTTAACTTGGTGAACACAGTTCTTCTGAGAAGCTTGGACTGGGAGGACCATTTCCAAAGGCTCATCTCTCCGGAATGGGCCCTGCTGCTACACCCACTGCTTTGTGTGAATCCCGGGTATGGGGCAATGTAAGTGATATTACGCTGCAACCTTATCAGATACCCGAACCCCACTTTTTCCTTCTCTTTGCTAGAGCTCCAATTCCAGCAGGACAGGGTATGTCAATGATGGGTGACTATGAAACCTCCATTTAACTTCCTCAGAACATCAGCCATGGGGTCGGCCTCCCCTTTCCCCAATTCATGGTAGGAAATGTGAGGTTGAAATCCTTCTTATTACTTATCCAGTCAAGTGGATGGTAGACAAAAAAGGATAAGGCAGAAAAAACTATTTGTGGAACTATTATGCTTGAAATGTCCTGTGCTCTTTGTGGGATGACTGAGAAAGGTTTTGCTGAGGCTAGCTGAATCATGTTTATGGGAGGATATCAGGATTTACAAGTTTATGATTCAGAAGCTGAATGAAAATAGAGTGAAATGTTTAAGTAGAAGTTTCATGACTGGCAACAAGAGACTCAAGCTCTACAGTTCCATACAATTTTTGGTGGTGTATATCGAACCAGAGAAAACACGCAGCAAGAGAAGCATATCTCCTGGTATCTTACCTACACAAGAAGTCCCATCATTGGTCACAAAGGTGGTATTACGATTACTCGACCGGAATCCAGGTACGCACATGCAGTAGTAACTTCCTACTGTATTTGTGCAGTTGGCATTTTCTCCACAAAGTTGTGTGACATTTGTACATTCATTGTCATCTGCAAAGAAACAAAAGCAAATCATTCCCAAGCTCTCTATTCAAATCTCTTTTCTCTTCTGCAGAATTCCAGGAAATTATATCGTGGAAAGGACTCTGTCTTCTACTAATGGAAATGCTTGAAGAAAGGATGAATCCATTTCTAAACAACAGATTCAATATTTATCCAGACTAGAATCCTTCAATAAACATTGATTTGCTTGTGGGTTTATGGCAAATACTCATTACTTGTAATTTTTTATTACAGCTGCTCTATAGCCATCAGTGAGAATGGAGAACCCACACAGTGGCCAGCTTTTTAAGAAAGAATCATAGAATTGTATATCTGGAAGGGATCCCGAGGGTCATCTAGTCCAACCTCCTGCAACCCAACGCAATGCAGGAATCACAACTAGCTCATACATGGCCATCCAGCCTCTGCTTAAAAACGTCCAAGGAACAAGAGTCCCCCACCTTCTTTTAAAAATAAAATAGAATTGAAACTTTCACATTTGCAGGTCTCTAAATACTAAGGTAGATAATTTGAACCCACACTATGTCGATATATATAATTTTCCTCCCTTTTCCATATTCAGATCTTTGCATTGCAATCCTACACGTCTCCAAAGAAGTAAGCCCTGTTGTGTTCAGTGGAACTTAGTCTCACTGACATGCGTATGGGACTGCAACCTTCATTTGCTTGCCATTACTCATTGTGGTTTTTGTGTGTGTGTTTTTGTAAATGATTCATTGGTTTTTATAACAGGTTTTAAGAAAATACTGTAGTTCACATTTCTTTTGATGGAATAATTGAATTATCAGGAAAATTATAAATTCAAAATCTGGAAACAAATAGAGATGATGAACGTGTTCAGAGAGCAGAACTATGCAAGGTACAGAAAGGAGGTATTTGCTAGTTGAGTATGGTGAGCTACCCCTTCATGGATCACTGCCTTGTTGTGGCGAAGGGGCTTGAATAACTCCAAGAAGTTTTGAGTTATGCTGTGCAGAGCCACCCAAGACGGACAGGTCATAGCCAAGAGTTTAGACTAAATGTGATCCACCTGGAGAAGGAACTGGCAAACCACTCCAGTATTTTACTGAGAAAACTCCATGGACATAAAAAAAGGAGAAGCTTTGAGAAGAAAGTGACAGTTTCCAAGGCATGCTCTGGTTCATGGGGTCACGGAGAGTCGAACACGACTAAGACGACTAAACAACAACATGGTGAGATAGCAAGAGGACAATGAATGAAAGTATATAGCTTTTTTGTAGGAACATACATATGTTTCTAGCAATTGGTGGCTGGACCTTATTGGTGCATGTTTAGCTATTTAGTGTACCCGTTTCCCAAAGGGCTGCTCCAGATGAGTTACACCCCCTTAGTCCCCTCACTAAATAGTTTGTATATTTCAGCAATCTGCTGATATTCTCATTGGCCTTGTTTGCCTTCATTTGTGTACCTCAGATTGCAATCAAAGGACATGGTAGGAGTTTTGGGGTACCATAAGGTTTTTTTTGGCAGGGGGGAAGCACACCTTTGAATATTAGTCCAGAAACTTAAAGTGCTGCCCAAGGGACAATTAATCAACAACATTCATACCAGCTTGCTTATTCAAGGCTGCTTGCATATACAGAAGCATTGAAGTGCCTACAGAACATGCGTGCCGGGTTTTCCCCATTTACTGTCATGTTACAGACAGTTTCTGTCAGCCTATTCAAGCAAGGAACCATTCCTGGCACTGTGCTGACTGAAGGGAGAAGCATTCAGTCACTCACTGAATGTGAGAGGTTTATCAAACAGTAGAAGATAGAATCTTAATCGTTCTTTATGTGAAGGACAATTGACATTTTGTTTAAGAAAACGATGGGCTTCAATTCTTAAGTGAATGAGCAAGAACACTGCAAATGTGAGCCTTTATTTCATTTCAAGAATACATGGCTTCTTTCAACCCTCTGCTTATTATTGTATCCACCTCCTCCAAACCCTCTCCTCTGCTAAGATTCAAGTATAAAAGTTGCAACATGCTTCCCCCCCCCCCACCTTCAACTTCAGATATAAGTGGCACAGTGTAGAAAACATGCTTTTATTACAACCCTCAAGGGGTGCAAGGAAAACTCCCAAGTGGTATAAATTGTCTCCTATGGTGTTCACTATTAAAAACTTTTACAGTTTTGGCTAATTAACTTTATTATGGTGTTGGCATTACTCCCTCAACTAGATGCTTGTAAAGATTTTACTGGAGACTCATATACAGTGGTCACACTCCTGTTCACAAATTCGTTTTAGACCAGTGCTGCCATTTCCCTCCATCTTCTAAAAGGAAACAAGCTCCTTTTATTGTTTCCTTACAAGGCTGGCTTGTGTTTAGTCACTGGGCCTGACTGACTAAATTCCTGTGGAATTAAGTTGCACTCAATGACCATCTGCAGGAATGATGGACTTAAATGGACATGCTTTAAGAGGCGCCTTCTTATTTAATACTAGGAAGCCAATGAAGTTGCGCCAGCAATATTACTCTTGATTTATTTCAGCATCAGCCTCAGGCCCTGTATAAATAGGGTAGAAAAGGATTTCTGTAATCAAGTGCCTGGAAAAAGTTAAAGCAGTTCCCCCCCTTAAAACTATGCTTTATCATGATCTCTTCCTTTTAGTTTAATTTACACTCACATTCTAAACCAAAGGATGTAGGCAGCAATAATACTTTGCATTTGTATAGTGCTCAAAGTGCTTCATATATATTAAACCTGTAAGGTGGATTAGTATTATTATGCCCATTTTCTATATACTATAATGCAGTATCATTTCTACTAAACTATTCTGGTGTTAATAACAAACATTGTCAAGCTGCCATTTATTTCAACTCTACCACCCCTTGAAATGGCAGCAATTTTAGGTTGAGCAAAATGTAGTCCTCTGCTGCTTTGTCCATCATCGTAAGCTATCTGCCCCCTCCTCAAAATATTAGAATTCACCCACCTTCCCCCCAGTCTCCAAATACCCATTTATTGTCACAGGAAATAAGTAGGTCTATAAAAATGGTATGTGTGGAAATTTTTAGTTTGGTTTACATTTTGATATATACCTCTGCTATTTGCACTTCCTGAAATAATATATAACCCTAAATGTAGGTATCCTTGAAATCCACACTTATCCAAATTTTATGAGGCAGCTGTCTAACCAAGAATGCATACAAAAATGAGTAAATTGGTAAAAGTGTGCATTATAATAATAACAAGGGCATAAATTAGTGAAATTATCATACACAATTGCATTACATTAGGACAAATTGCTTGCCAAAAAACGACTGTCACATTTGCATGTCTAAAGCATTGATTGAATTGACATAGAAAGAACTAGTAGCTAGTGCTGTTCAGAAGGAGATGGTAGACCTTTCCCCTCTCGTCTGGAGGGCCATGCCACAGGGAGGACAATAGATGAGGCTTTGCCTACTCTTATTTGGATATTACTGGTTATTGTAAGCAACTCTGGGAATTATTTAAGGCTGAAGACTGGGACAAAATGCTAATCCTAACCCTAAAAATTATTCTTTAATGAAATCATTTATTTTTCTTCCAGATGTACACTATGCAAAAGAAAAGCTTATTGTCACATATGGCATGTGTACATAAGGAATCTATGGAATCAAGGTATGACACTTTTCAGTGTAGTTCGATGGCAAACAATTGTACTCTTGTGCTTTTTAAGTGTCTCTTGTTTCTTTACAAACAAGAAGAAGGATAGGGTGAGAAACAGAAGATGTAGAGGCCACAAGCAAGTTTTCCTGGCCTAGAAATAGCTGTGAAAGCAGGGACGCCTTCTTAAGTAAGGCAAAGCACTTTAGGTACTAAGTACTTATACAACTTTACTGTTTAAGTGTGCATTGTTTCTTTTTCGAAGGAGGAGAATGGGAAACTCTCATGCACTGCCCATGTGACCTCCTGGGTACCACTCATGTGACTTCCTAGGCACCGCCCCTAGGTTTAGCATCCACCAGCCATGTGTGAATGGTTGTACTAAAGTCAGGAGGAGTGGGTTGTGGCCACTGATGTAATCCCATTTGAACAAGGACTTCTGCTTGTGCAATGGAACTGCCTCTTCCTCTACTTTCTCCTCTAAATATACTCTGGCTTTTCCTCCAATCTAGAGAAAAATTGGGGTGCATGAGAGGACAGAGAGGAATTGTTCCATTGTGCAAGCAGAAGTCATTCCGTGAATGGGATGTGTGAGCATATTTTTTTTAACATTACATTTATAACCATTGTTGTTATTGGCATAAGCAAATCTGACCTTTCTAAGCCAAATTTAATTTTTTTAAAAGCATGAAAAAATTATATAAGGACAGTGAATATCTATCCTAAAATAGTCCTCTTCACTTCTTACAATATATTCAAAACATATTAATCAACAACATGCTTCTTAATAAATCAAAGTCTTGAAATGCATAACACAAATCAATTCTGGGACCCAAGGGCTTAAATTTATTCTTCAATTTTTTTTATCATAATTTACAATGCTATTGAATGCTGCATGGTTTGAGGGAAGCAGCAAACTGCAGGGTTTATAGATCGGGAATTTTGGAACCTTTGTAAACAAGTTTGTTTTTCTCATCTTGGCCAGAGCAGATATTCTTGAAAGCAATTAGGCATTCATTCTGTGGTTGCATTACTACCTGGGTTAATTATGCACAACCAAATAACCACCGGCAAAGATACCTCTCAAGCATTGCAAAACAATGTTTGGGGAATGCACTGGAAATTTGTGAAAGGTCCAGATATAACTGAAATGCTGTTGTTATTACTATTATTTTAAATAGGGAAAAAAGAAAACTTCCCTGGACAAGCAATGATCAGTAAATATTGACTTGCTAGTGAAAAAAGCTATTTTCAAATCAGTTCTACATTTTTGTTCTTTCAGGAGTTCTGCGCTGCTCAGATGCTCTGCCTGAGACACATGAAAAGGCATGAACACATTGATTGGCTCCCTCCATTCAAAGGGATGGTAAAGTCATTACAGTCAAATGCCATTGGGCTTAAGGCATCAATGGGACTAATGGAATTCAGATACAATTTTAACAGTGTACAGCAAATTATTAACATCATATTTTTATTTGATGGCAATGGTGTATTGTTTGCATCCTCCTTGTTCCCATTAAATGTGTCAATGCCAGGAAATCATGAATCATCCATATGGATTAATACAAATACAGTTTTCTACATGATGTCAGAAGTTATCGAGGGATGGCTTGGGCACTTGCTACCTATCATGGATAGAGCTTTTTCATCATTTGAAGAACTCCCTATTAAATAATGTGTTTGCCATCATATGGCATACCGCTGAATATCTATTTTTCATTCACTGAACCTGTATATTAAGTAGACTAAAAGCCTAAATCTGTGCCAAGGCAGTCAAGTCCATTGGTTTCATCATGGTTAGATGCTCTTCAGAGAATATGACTGAGGGTTGACAGTGCACAGGTTGCCCTTAAGGGCGACATATGTATAGATTTATAAGAATTATTCTTCTAAATGTGTGTGGAAGCCAATGAAATTGATTGAGTGGCCATGAGTGGTTAAACAAAAGCCAAAATGTCAAGGGCAAGTGTTTAAACAGTGCAGTAATCTGACGGTTTGATCCAAAGGGTTAAATGATCATAAGATGAGTTATGCATACCCTAGAGATGTTTGAAAAATTCAATATTTGTGAATTCCAATATGGCCCAAAGTTATCTGTGCACTCTGGACTAACGTGCTGATTGCAACTATATAGCATTGCTTAGTGGAACTGCCTTCCTCTCCTCTCTCCTGCAGCCCCTTACATATATTCAACACCTGCTTCATAGATTTGGGAAACCTTCCAGAGCAGAGTTTGGGGGCATGCATAAAGAGGATAAGGGGAAGTCATGTTATGCAAGCAGAAATCTACTCATGTAGCATTGGCTACAAACCATAGTTATGCATTAGGTTTTGCAGTTCCAAATGTTGCAGAGCAATCCTCAACTCAAACCCCGCCCCCAACATTTTTGAAATAGAATAACATTTACAGTGCAATTCTATAAATATCCACTCAGAAGTAAGTCCCATTGATTTCATTGGGGTTGGGAAGCCAGGTAAGCAGTGCTGCCCTCCCAGACTCCACTGGCTTTTCCCCACATGTGAGTGCCATCCCGTGAGCTCCCCACATGGGTGTGGCAAATCTTGCGTCTGATAAAGGCAGCATTGTTGTTGTTTATGTTGTTAATAGTACACACTGTGATTCTGGGCTACTTACTAAAAATGAGTCCAAGTTAACATAGTGGGACTTACAGCTACACAAATATGCTAAGAAATCCTAGCTACATGAATCTAAAAATAGATTAATTTGCGTAGTGTTGTAAACCTATTTCTTGTATTCTAGCCCAAATTGTTTAAAACAAATTGTTGGCCTTTACCCTTAATCATAATTGAAAAGTAATGCGCTCATGGTTAGTATTCTACATAGAGCAGGTACTTTGTATGTACTTACTTACATAGTAAGTTTTAAGATGTGTAGTAAAACATGATCTAACCCAGCTGAGATAAGAGGAAATATTTTCATGCAAGTCATTTTTAATTAAAACAGTCTGTCTCGGCTGTTATTCTGAGTGGTCAGCAATGTAATCAAGGACATAGCCTTGGTTACTCTCAGCTCTACAAGAGATGACTTGAGTCTTCTTTCTCACCAATGCTACTTGCTCAGTCTCCAGACCCACCTCTTTTGCAATTCCTACTCTCATGCCATCACGGCATTGGCCTGTTGTTGCCACTGCCATCCTGGGAAGGATAGGGATACATGGTCCATAACTGCTGTTGAGGAGGTATGGGGATGAGGATGGACTGCTGGCTTTCAGTCACCCACAACACAGCCTGTATCTTCTGTTAGGCTGCTGTTGAGACGGCCCAATCTTTCATTTGTCACCCCATACAGCCAAGTTATCAGCTAACAGGTAATAAACATTACACTCATTTTACTGAATGCCCACATTCACTTAAATGGAGCTTCTACTGGAGTAGTTCTTGATAGACTCTGTCCAAAGTTTCTATAGTCAGTTTTCCTCCACTACCACAAGAGAGACGGTTCAGGCAAAAGGATGAAATTCAGCCTGATTCCGTCCAGAATAAACCTGGACACCAGGTCCCCTGTGGCCAAAACCTGTCGGGGGCGAATTTGACAGCTTCAGGCTGGAGGCCACTGAGGGGCCATCACAGCATGAAACTGGACAGCCCTGCCTCGGAAGTAAGCAGAGCCAAGGCAGCTGGGGAATACATTGATTCATTGCATCCTGCTGTTCTCCTCTGACAGCGGCTCTCTGCTGGCATAGCCTCTGGGGAAAACTGGAGCTGCCTTTACGTACTGTAGCCCCCAAAGGGAAGCAGTGGTTGAAGTGGCTCACTTAACCCCTCCAAAGCAAGGAAATGAAGGCTTCCTGTAAAACAAATCCCAGCGACATTCACCCTGCTGTGCTCAGCTTGTGTAGAGGTCTCAGCACAGTGGGCAGTCTGACATATATTACCCCTTGTGCTGCTATGCTGAGTCTCCAGTTATACAGAAGACAAAACAAGTTCACGGCCGCAATGCCCGGATTAATTCTCACCTTTCTTTCAGGTGGTGCCTTGGATAAAAGTTTTAAATCTATATGGATAAGCATGAGGTTAACTCTTTAAAAAAGTAGAAGACCAGAGTAATCATTTGTATCAGGACATGAACATGGACATGTTTACTCAAATCGTGAAGCATGGGAACATTGTATTGAAAATTCACTTGGGAATAAATTCCTTATTGCCCACAGAATCCTTTTATATTGGAAAAGGATCCTTTAACACATCAAATACCTGGAGAGGAAAAATCAGACTGTTATGAGCTTAACCACACACAAAATCACTGTGGTTAGTCTGAACTATGCTTTACTCGAGCAATCCAATTTCAAAGCATGATTTAGGAACTTGTTTTAACAAACCAAAGTTAAAATCAACCACAGCTCCCTTTTTGATGGCAACATTACTGCTGATTTACTTCTGGTGTGGGAACTGGGAATGGAGACTATGAGGTGGAGGCTGCATAGGTGCCCTGGTGGACACACATTTATATTGCGTCAGCCCATGCGCTTGCACAGCACTGACCTTGCCACTGCCTCTCCCCACACCGTCCAAGGAAGCAGCACCTATGCTCTCTGCCAGCTGCTCCTATAAAGACATTTCCAATTTTGATTGGAAAGAAGATACATGCTGATACATAATTTGCCCAGTTCCCTCCTGTCTCATGGATTCATGCCCATAATTTCTCATTATCTAACTTGATTAATCTAGCTCCTCATCTTCTTTATTTTTGAGTTTTCCTTGATATCTGGCCGACTGAATACTTTGCTTGCAGCTGAGTTGCGCTTTAATGTGTTTTCCTCTTTTTATGTTGTACAAATGAAAGATTACAAATGAAAGATTTTCTTCTGATACTTCCTAAGTAAGGCTGAACTGGTCTTTGTGGCTAACCAAATTGTTTCCCTCTTGAGAAATACTCATCCCAATCATGCTATTTCTGTTGTGAAGCCTGGTGTTACAATTTGGAAATGGGGTTTTGGGGAATGGGTTACTGGTTGGGGTCTGAAAACTGAAATTGCGGGCGCAGCCACAGAGTCCCCCACCCAGCACGCCCAACTGCTAAAGGGAGTGAAATAACTGGACAAGACAACTGACTGGGGTTTAAAATGGCCAAAACTTTATTGATTTCAGATGTAGGAAGCCTTGGCATAGGAATTGGGCATGGTTAAAGCAGCATACAACTTAAATGAAGGGTTGGGAAAGGGTGGGTGATGTTGTGATTCAAGGACCCGCCACCCACTTGAGGATAAGAAAGACACATGGACACAGTATATTAGGTTAATGGGCTAAAAAAGGCCACAACTTTATTGATTACAGCATGTGAGAGGTATTGGCTTAGGCATTGGATAAAACAACAGAGCGTGACTCCACCCCCTCAGGGAGGGGTGAGTCTATCAAGGGTTAACCACCAGTGGGAGGAGCCTGTTGATGCAAATACAACTGAAAGCTCACCCTGATGCCACCGGGGGTCGTGCCATGGCCCTAGCCACCAGCAAGGGCGTCGGACAGGATCCATGACCACCAGATTCCTTTACCAGAATACCCATAAAATGGAGGGGTAGGTGATAGCCACACCCTGCCCTCCAACACACAACCATATTCCAATGCCTAACCGCCACCCGAGCCAAAAGAGGCTCGCTGCCAATACCCTCACAGCTGCAACCAATCCCTAAGGCTTCTGATGATGTTGGCCAGCCAAATATCATTCCCGAGGTTTGAAAGGTGAACTCTGTCATCACAAAATAAAGACCATTCACTGAACCAGATGTCAGCATGTTGAATCACTTGTCCATTCATATATCGCGATTTCCGACGAGAAGCAGCAGCACAATGGCTGAGACATGCTGCCGGGCCGTGTTTGAGTGGCTAAACCCCACCCCAAGCCTCTAGCTGATTCGCTGGCCACCTGGGGGCGTGGTGCGGCAGCCAGAGCAGCTGGGCAGGGAGCGGAACACCCCCTGCCAACGCGGGAAACGGCTCCTGCTCATAACTCCTCCCCTCCCTGAGGAGGAGAGGCTCTCCCGGCCGACTGGATGAGGAAGGCAAGGGAAGCTTTATTGTTGGCAAGTGGCGCTGAATGAAGCCTGCCTCCCTCAGGTACACTCACCAAGCCACATCCCCTGAGGCCACTGCAGATTGGCACATTTGAATCGGCAAGTTTGGCGGGAACCCGTGAGCCTCGGCAGTGGCCGAGGGGGGCGTGATATGCACAGGTAATGACTTGCAAGTGTGAATGAGCCGGTCAAGATCTCGAACATCAACAATAACAGTTTCACATAGCAAGCCCAATTCTTTTCCTGTGGAGTCAGTTCACAAGTTCATCTTCGCGTGACCAACTGTTGACGAATCAAGGATCAAGCTCCAAAGTTTGCCTAAGTCTCACAGAAGTGCAGAGTGCATTTGCTAACAACTCCTCATTCATTTCAGTCATACGTCTAAGAGTAATTTGAAGTATGTGTCGATTACAGAATCAATTTCATGGATTTAGTATAAAGCAGAAGCAACTTCTGTACGCTACAAGAAGTGACAGCTCTCCGCCAGAAAAAAACATGTTGAGCAAGACCTCACAATGGGATGTCACATTTGAGATGTTCCCCTACCAAATGTTCCCAACTCAGGAAGCCACAATAATCATGAAATCAACATTGTTCTCAGCCCTAACCAGTCACAGAAACAAAGAAACAAATCATTGGACGAATACAAACGTTAATGCGGCTGGCATTTAAAATAGCTGATAAGCTTATCCAGTGGTATTTAATACAATGAATATATAATTAGAAAATATAATAACTTAAGGGGGGCATTTCTTTATACTCTTTATCTTTCATTCATTTTTCTTAAGTAATAATTTTTTTGAGGGGTGGGGGAGAACTTAAGGGGGCTTGTGTTTAGCAAATTGGGTTTAGACATCCAGCTGAGACCCTTCCATTATTGGGGAGCCTTATATGGAGGGCTTATGTGCATTCAGCTTATTATAAGTAAGGAAGCCTCTCTCTCTGCAGATAGAGGTCTTTAGTCAACATGTGCATATCACATGTGACACCGTATGTGTAATTGGAGGTGGGGCCAGCAGGAAAGGGCCTGCATCCCCTCCACACACAGAACCCTCTAACTGTATGAGAATCACGGGCACATTGCCAATCCCTGCCCCCCTGCAGCATGTAAACCGTACACATTTTTGAGGCCTCCAAAGTCTAAGGGTGAAGGTATGAAGTGAGAAGCCCCCTCTACTCATGTAGGCTCCCAATGTGATATTAGAACCTGGTATTGTGGTTCGAGGACCCGGACTCCGCCTCAATCAGGGAGCGTTAGCCCCCTGCCTACCACTAACCTGGCTGGCGCCCACACCCACGGGCAGGCACCCAACCAGGTGCCTGCGAGGGGGCGTGTTTAGCAGCCTAAATTGCTGTGGCACCAGCCTTCCGGCCTCACTTTTCGTCGTACCGTCGCGAGTCATTAGCTAGGAGTCATCAGAGTCATCACAGGGAAGAGCCACGAGGTTTGGAGTCGGGGGGTTTGTGTGTGTGGAGGCTGCCTGGTTTCTGGCTTGCCTTTTAACTTTAGGAGGCTTGCGTGCACTCATTGCTTTACTGCCTTTAAAAACCCAGGCATCCAGGTTTGCCTTGCTGTGTCCTCTTTTCCGTGTAAAAACCTACATTTAACCTTCTATTTCCCCCCACTCCTGGTGCTTGATTTGTTTGTGCAGTCTAAGTGCGAATTACCTTTATTAAGCTGCAGCTTGTTCCCTTGCCCAGCACGTGCCCCCAGCGAGGTCTGAGTGTGAGTGTGGCTCCATCTTTCTTTCTCCTTCATCTCCTCGCTTTCCTTCCCCTGCCTCTGCCTTGGTGGCTGTGCGTTTTATTTTAATTTTTGGCCAGGGTGCTTGTACGTTTCCCCCTCTATTGCCCTTGCCTGTCCGATTGCGTGGCTGATCTGGGTGACTGAGTGGGTTTGCCTTACATTTTAATTTGTTGGCCAGGGTGCTTGTGCGTTTTCCCCCTCCATTGCCCTTGAGAGCCTGGATAGCTCAGTTGGTTAGAGCATGGTGCTGATAATGCCAAGGTTGCAAGTTCGATCCCTGTATGGGACAGCTGAATATTTCTGCATTGCTGGGGTTGGACTAGATGATCCTCAGGGTTCCTTTTCCTGTTCCTCTCTAATTTTAAGTCGCGTGTGTGTGTGCTTGCAGCGTGTGTTTGTGCCTGCCGTTTATTGATTTATTACTCTTCTAGCGTGGGTTTAATTTGCGTGTCGAGGTCCCCAAGCCACCCCCCAAATAACTCACAACGCACACTTAATTTTTGTTTAAGGTTTTTGGCATAATTTTGGCCACAACTTTATTTAAATACAAAACCGTGAGTGGTTGTTTAGGCATTGGTTAAGACTATCTGTCCCCCGCCTGGGGACAGAACTGACTTCCGGGCACCACCGAAAGACAGTGCGGGGGAAAGCAAGTCGGAGAGAAATGGAGCTGAGTCACAGACCCTCAATTCTCATCCGCATGCTCCCCGAAGGCTTGCTGGCCCTAGTCCCATTCCAGGGATTGAACGAAAAGATGGCAAGCCCCAGGATTCCTTTAACGGAATTCCCTTTCCGCAGCAACCATGGAGGGGCAGGCCCAGCCTATCCTAACTCCTCCTCCACCAATTTATAACCAATGCCTAACCGCAACCTTACAAGTTGTGACGATTTGCTACGCAGTAGGCAAAAACCAAATGGCCCAGCCAATCAGCCAGATGGACAAAATTCCTACCAGGCCCCTGCCCCAACGGCAGACGACCCCATGACAGGCATAGCAAGGTCAATGCAACAACCCCTTACTCAAGGGCGGGTGGGCGGATGATCTGTTGCATGCAGCAAAGAGAAAGCTCCAGGCTGCGTGCAGAGTATTTAAACACTTTCCCGTCCCACCAAAATTGCAACATAACTTTTACCCCAGCAACCCAGTGAACCAATCACTGCCCCAGGCCATCTTTAGAGACCCTGCCTGGTAACAGAGGGGTGGCTCAGCAGACCCCACCACAACACGTGCTCTCCATGAAGGAGAACACGCTTTACCCTGCCATCCCTTCCATTGGTACCACTTAAATCGGGAGCCCCCTGTAAAATTTTAAAGGCTGCCGGGGCTTGGAATAGACTGTGCGCTTAAACCTCACCCCTCTTGGTTTCTCTAAGCCACCCCCCCCTTCACTTGATGTTTGGGGAAAGAAATAAGGCAGGGCTTGGGGTGGACAATTCAGGGTTTCTGATCAGGGAACCATTCCTCAGCACTGCACGTTTATATGTTTAGAACCTTTGAAGGTGTGCCTTTGCCTGGTTCTTGTCATTGGCTTCACTTGCCAGTACAGGCTCCCTAAAGAAAACCGCTTTTAAACAACAACAACAACAAAAAAGGTTACGGCTTATAGTACCTTACTGAAAAGTCCAGGTTGACCCACGGTTTATATTTCCACTTCATTTTGGCTCACTGTAAAGGACAGCTATTTTCCTTTTCTTCAAAAACTTTTTCCTTGCCTGGCATGTTCATTTTACGAGTCCGGCTCCTGACCACAACCACTCCCCTCTCTTGCAGGAGGAGAGTCTCTATCACAATATCTACATGTGAAATTTTCACACATCTAGAAATACAGTAAATTCTCTTAATCATTTGCCTGCCTGTGCATAAGAAGGATGGTTATGTTACTTGATTAATTCTCTAGAAAACTGTTTCAGGGAGACTTTTCTATATGATCCCCATAGAAATCCCATTTACACTGCTACATATTGCACACAGCTGTTCCTGCTCTGCAGTTACCAATAAAAATGACTCGGAGAGCCCCAGAGAACGCAGCAAAGAAAGGCACATAAAAGGCTACAAAGAAAGCACAATTTAATTGTTTCATAGGACATATTTTTTTCCAGATTTAATAGGAAAAATACAGATATTTGTCTGAACTGAAATTCTGTCAGTAAATATAGGAAATGTATTTATTGCACGTTGCTCACAAGCCCTCCATTTTTTGTGCAGTTATGCAAAACATCAGAAACAGAATAAAATGCCTCTGTAGGCCAGCCATGCATGGATTCCTTCTGCATCTGTGAAGCAACTCTTGCGCTGCTTCTAACAACCCTTCAGCTGGTCTTTGGTTGGCTATTGGCTTGCTTGCTAAGACTCATTCAGAACAGATCATTTCCTAGACACAGCAGTGTAAATTCTTGTAGATGGATCAATTTGTCTTTGGACTTAAAATCTCAGAATGTCATCACTAAAGCAAATGTATAACCATTTTGACTAGTATCTATTGGTCAGATTTAAACAGGCAACATATATTTTAGATTAACACATTTTAAAGATGTTATTTGACACATATTTTTAAATACAGTGTCACCTACATTTCCTTTCCCTTTATCACCTCATTATTTGATATATAGCTGCAGCAAAAGATTTCTAGTTATTATGTGAATGTAGAGTGGGTTCTCATGAATTAATCTCTTGACCCAGAAGAGCAGATCAAAAAGCTCCATGCTCTGCTGTGATATGGTAAAACTTACTTTCTACCTTCAGGAAAGCAGGACAATCCAAAGGCCAAAACTATACTTAGTTGTAGGCCTTATTCATAACCCACAAGATAATCATTCTTCTTCTGTACATTTCTCCTACACGCTGTTCAAAGCCTACTGCGACTGGCGCCTTCGTCATTGTGCACTTTCACATTTAAATCTCTTCCTCTGCGAAAGGGTACTGCCAGTATTTCAGGTTTCTCATCTGTATTTCAGACACTACTTAGATCAAAGCAAGGAAAAGGTCAACGCATGAACCTTAGAATTAAGTTGTTTACGCTCCCACATGTGACACACAGAAGCTACAGAGCAAGGACACCCAAGGCAGCATAAACAAATCAAATACCTTTTCCTTCCTTGTTCCCTGAAAAGTACTGTTCTCGGTTCCTAATCTGAGTGTTACAGTATATTTTCCAGCGAGAAAGATTCTTTCAAATTCTTTTGTCCATCAATCACAACGAAGAAGTGCTAGTTGCAAGATAATTGCAAGTTGCCAGACCCACCAAGGGCATCCTCAAGTTCCCAGCTTCTTTGCCTAGACAGTGGCTGGCCATGACAAGCATTTTATTAGCGGATGTGTTGTTGTCCTCATCAGATAAAATTATATTGTGTTCCCCCCCCCCTTTGCTTTTACAGCTCTGGGCTTTTCCGTTACTGGACCAGAACTATCAACAACGTAATTGGGAATGGATGCAGGAACAGTTTATGTGGTTTGCAGGCAATGACAACCAGTGTAATAATCATACTTTTATTTGAGAAAAATGGCACATGGTTTATGTTGCAGTTTCTTCCTGTCAAGACATAATTGTAGAGTCATTTTGTTTGTCTGTGTTCCTTTCCCAAGGGTGGGGTGGAGTGGAGGAAGTAGATAAAGAGAGGGAGAGAGAAGGAGGGAGAGAGGAGTTCCTTCAGAGAAAACATTTAATTGAGAAATGCAAGCCACTTTTTAAAAACCCAATTCTAAAAAACCAATCCAGTTTTTTTATATATATAAAAAATGCAATTGCAGAGATAGGCAACAACTAGCTTCTACATTCATTGTTCTTCACAATGAATTATTCACCTTTCACAAGTATGTATCTTATTTCCACATGCCTGGCTAGATCGTATAAAAACTGAAAGCTAATAAAGAAAACCATTTCTGCGGTATGAAACAACTAGTGTAATAATAATAGTATGAAAGCCCATTTAATTTTCCATTGAAATTCTGTTCTGACATGATGGATACCTCCTGAATTCCAAAACAGTCAATTTATTACTGTTCTATCTGTATCTTACTACAATATCACCTTGGAAATAAATTGATAAGCTCAGCACTTTTTTTTGTTTAATCTCATGCTTGCAAACACTGGCTGGGGATGAATTGTCATACAAGCTTCCATGTCAGTATCATGGATGAATCACATTTAGAAATAGGTTACGATTCTTTCGGTGGAGTGTGGAATGGACTGACAAGAACTCAGGTGATGTCAAAGCGTCCATGTCACTCCCCGTGAACTAATATTAGTAGTGATTTGTTTGCTTTGTGCAATGGATAAGGAATCTCTGAAAGACAGGCCAACAGCACCTATGCAGAGGTCACAATAAGTTCTAAAGATCCATAGCAGAGAATTTCTTCCTCTTTTGCATGTGCAATGATTATAAGCAGCCGCCTTATACTAAATTGGTTGGTATTTGTCTGTCTCAGGAGATGATGGAAGAGTGCGCCTTCAGGGGTTAAGTCAAACTGTAGGAGAGTTACAGTGCCTGCTGTGGCTGTAGACATATGGGAGAGGCATATTTTGTTGCAGCTGGGGCAGAAGAAGGCATCTGTTGTGCAGATGCCGGTTTACCATGTCATTTCCCCCCCTAAATTATCTAGTCCAGATTACAGTGACTTTGCAAGGTATCAGTCAAACGCCTTTCCTCCATCTGGTACATGAGATTCCAAGGGAACTAACCAAGGCTCCAGCAATGTGCTCTACTGCTGAGCTACACCATTTTCCAATGGGCTGATCTCTCTTTGTGTACATAGTATTCTTCTTACTCATAGGAAAAAAATATGGATCTGTCCACAAGCAGTGCTAAAGACCAATTTAAATGCTATCGATACCACATTAAGATCACAAGTGGAGCTCACTGTGGTGTGGATGACACTCATCATGGGCCCAAATGTGTGTGATCTTTTCTCCACACTATTGCTGTTGGTTATTAGGGATAGATACACGCTTCTGGCAGGAAGAGACTAATATATTGGAATATTTCAGGAAGTGAAAAGCTTTTGTTTTCCCTCAGGTAATTCTGGTTAAAGTCAAGATGACGAGACATTGCAGCATATATGGTTAAACCCTCCTGTACCACTATAGCCTGAGGTGTGGATGAGGAATAAAATGTTTTAAAGCTACCACATGGAAAAACGCAACTCAATCCATTCCTGCCTGTGGAAAGCTACTATATCAGGAAGAACTGTTTTCACATAGTTTTTTACCCTGACATACTAGTTTGTCAGATGCAGGAAGTGAGCAACGCAGTATTTTTATCTGCATTCTGAAATCCAGATGAGCTGAACTGACTGCATGATTGCATTCCCAAGAGCACATTTGCATTAGTTTTCCATGCTCCCATTTTAAAGTTTGAGGGCTAGGTGGAGAAAAGAACATGACGTCCCTCTATGAGCAGGGATTATGTGGTACTTTGGGACATAGTATAACTCACTAAAACAATGCAGAGGATCTTGACGTGTTAAGTCATATTTCCCCAAGGAATATGGCCTCAAACAATGGGAAAATCAGGAGTCTGTCACTAAGAAAAGATAAATCTGAACAACACAAACATAGTGAACACAAAAGTCTATGTAGGAGATGTTTACAGTTACTAATTGTACAATTACTGTGAAATCTCTTGCTGATAATATAAACAGATGATCTTAATTAATTGAACAGCTTAATTCCAGTGGGTGGAAGTGACAACATCAACACTTTTGATTATCTGCTTCCCATAGGAAACATTGTCTTCTTTTTCTTTTTAAAAATGTAAGGCATCTATCGCTAGAAGAAACAGGGTCCTCCTGTGTGAGCTCATGTTTTGTTCCAGGACCTAGAACAGGATTGATGTAACGTGATCAAATTGCCCTTTCACGTCAACCATATTTTTCAACATCACTGTTTCCACAGGCACTTCTATGCAAAGTAAAACCTGTTGTTGCTGCTGCCTCTCTTATGATGCATGTAATCCAGAAACTAAAGCTAGAAACTAAAGAAAAGAGAGCATTCAGGATGAGGAAGGGGGAAGGAAAGTTAAGATAGTGTATTTTCAACATGTTTCCTTAAAAAAAAAAATAGGGGAGAAAAATTGGTTGACATGCTAAAGTTGGTACTGAGCAAGCCAATGTTTGGATTCCAATTCTGCATGTTATTTCCTGTAGTTAACCCACTCCAAACACACACATTTATCCCCCCACAAGAAAGTTTGAGGCCTGCTAGAAACATGTTCATAAGCCCCTGGGGCATTGCAAGAGTTGCTACCATTGTTTATCAGAAAAGGTTCCTGTGTACCTAAAAGTTACATAGTTGCATGAAATGTGACAAGTTTAACTTGGCCATCTCTGGATATCTATGCTGCATTCAAACGGGGGGGGTGTGTGTGCAACTTCACAAAATGTAGACTTGATTCAGGAGAAGGGGAAGGAGTATTAGACAATGACAAATGTAGTGGTATGAATGGTTGTCAGAAGTGGACACAAATAAAGTATGATTACTTGCTAAGCTTGCCATTGCTTCCCATTCTCATGGGGTTTTATGACCAATGTACAAAGATTGACCTTTTTTTACACAACTGCACTTTTCTGCTTCAAGTCCTCCAAATATTGTATCTGTAAACCACTCCCTAATTCACATAATGTGGATTCATAATATGCTGAAGTGGGTCATTGAATGTGTCACCCAGTTGTTAGTTCTCAATTCAACACAAAGTTGATCATACCATTGTATTAAGTAAACTGAGATTGCTCTTCATCTCTCTCGATCTCTCTTTCTCTTCTTGAAGCTTTCCCCCCACAAAGGCTTAGAGCAACAAAAGAACTCCAGAAAAATTGCACCAAGCAAACTACATCATGTCAGAGATTCCACCAACCATTGACAGACTGGATCTTAAAAGTCCTCTCCAATGATAGATCTCACAACACTTTCTAAAGTTGATTTTACTTTTATTCAGGTCAATCTTCAATCAAGACAGTTCCATAACAGAGAAGAAGCCAACCAATAAATTTCAAGATCCCTCCACAATGAAAGACAGAGTCAGGAATAAATACGTGCATTGATGACCTGGAAAGAGACCAGCTTTTTCCAACCTGGTACCCTTCCAGGTGTTTTGGACTTCAATTCCTATTAGCCCCAGCCAGCTGATGGAATTTGTAGTCAAAAACATCTGGAGGGCACCAGGTTGGAGAAGGCTGAAACAGACTAATTTGTCCATTTGGAACCAAATGTACAGAAGTGCAAACACTTAAAATATTTCCTGCCTCTCTCAGCTCCCTGTTTCCTGCAACATTTTCTCATGCTAAGCAGTAATTTCTTTATTCTCACGTAACACACATTACAGTTAGCCTGGAGTGCTGCTGAAAAATGGCTCCCCTGTGATAAATGACCTCTGCCTCAGTCTAAACTTATAGAACTGCATCCCATGCGGGATCTCAGCTATTTCAAGGCCCCTGATAACAGCAGCCACTAGAGGCTCAAAACACGACTGCAGGAATCCAAATGCTAAGTAGTTGTATACATGGTGATCAGCATGTGAGGCTATTTTCAATGCTTGTTGTGTGTGCTGCAGCGTTTTCAGAAAAAGTTGGCTTTTGAGCTCTTGACTCTATTTTCTTCTATTTCTTTGTCAGAGAAACAGGTTGCACAAGGCCTTTCATGCTTAATATGCAGAAGGATGAGTTTGCAAGGAAAATACGTTTTGCTTCATAAAGCTCTTTCAGTGCATCCACTTCCAGTGAATAGATTGCCCTTTGCCTACTGCCCTGACTTTCAGATTTTTAGAATACACGGCAATGCTATTGAATCTGAAGGAAATGCAAATAGCAGTCATCTGTGGCAGAGACCCAAATCTCCCCTGCGTTGTTGTCATTTGGGGCCCTTCCAGACTGTCATGATTTTCTGGTGGGACTGAATCACATACCAGCAAATCCAGGCTACACAATTATAGCTGATTGGGAGATATCTGGCAGAAACCCACTTCCCCCAAAGATTGGACTATATAAGGAAAGTGTCGATAAAATGCACCAGAAGGTGTGGAATAATGCTTGCTTTGAGGCAATGTCAGCAAAATATTTGCAAACAAATCAAAATGAATGTCTAGAAGCATGCTTAGTAAAATCAAATCAAATCCTGTTGTCTTCTTAAAATGACTGCAAGTAATCTAAGGCCTCATCTGCACTAGACATTTAAAGCCATATCATGCCACTGTAAACAGTCATGCCCCCCCAAAAGAATAGGGGAACTGTAGTTTGTTGGGTGTGCTGGGAGTTCTTATAAGATCCTTATTGCCCTCAGAGAGCTGCAATTCCCAGAGCTCCCTAGGAAGAGGAATTGGTTGTTAAGCCACTCTGGGAATTGCAGCTCTGTGGGGGTGGAAATTTACTTCTTAAGAAAGACAGCTAAAAATTCAGAAAGGCTGCTGAAATATCTCTGAGGAGCCAAAGGCCCCAAAGGGAGTTGCTGTGAATACAGCCCTATTCTGAAGATGAGTATACGCAAGAAATTCAGGACGACTATCACAGCCACTATATGCCAGCTCCAGACAAGTTGTCCCCATGATTGAGGGGGCCGGGCACATGTTGTGTGTGTGTGTCACATTGTCTGGAGGAGGTCAAGTACTCTGGAGGAGCTGGCCACCAAAGCTGTGCCACAACTCAGCTCTTGGCCTCCTTCACCCCCTCAACGTTGAGGGGACTGGCCCCTTTCCAACAAATATAGATGGGCCAAAGATACCTTGACTCCCTAGATTTGGCACACATGGCCCTAGACACCTAATTTACACAGCAGTTGTGCAATGAATGATTCACTCGAGGATGCTGAAAAGGCCCATAATGACACACACATATAAAGGAGTACTTTCCTTAACGCACATTGATCACTCCTTTTAAATTTAAGATAACAGTATCATTCTAAAGAGAGGGATATGTCCAACTTTTTCAGATGTGTGCCTATGATTGGACTAGGAATCAGAGGATAGTTTCTTAAGGCTAGAATAAAAGCAAGTGGTCTTGGGTATGAAGCAATAAATTCCCCTCAAAGTGCACAGTTTATTGTATTTTTGCAATTTAGCTGAATGGAACAATGAATAAAGTTTATTCTTTAGCTACTATGGATAATATATATCCTTTTCTCTTAATAATCAAATTGCATTAAGGTAGAGGCTATTTACCAGATATGGAATGTAACTGAACAACAGGGAGACTATTTTAAAATACGTACTAAAAAAAAAAAAAGTAACACAACCAAAACAGCATAGATGAATAATACTGGAATGATGATATTTAGAACAATGTTTTGGATTCTCTTTACTGCTTCCATTTTAATAGCAAGTTTCATGTATATTTTAACCACCAAAGAAATGAACCTCCGCAACAAAGGCAGACATAGAAACTGTTTAAGCACTATCCTGCTCAAAATAAGAAAAAGCTCCATGGGTATTGCAACCAATAAAACCAGCCATAATGCTTTTCTTCTCCCTTCACTGATGTTAAACACTGCAATAAGATAATGTCCTTACGATTTCCTAAATCTCCTCAATAAGGAGGATATTACCTACTTATTTAATTATTGAATCTCCTGTGACAGAGGAAGCTTTACTAGTAGCAGATCTAAGTCTACTGATTTATTTTCCCTTTCTCATTAAAGTGCTTTTGCTTAATAATAGCTGTAAGACCCACTTGGCAATAGAAAAGCAATGGCAAATACTGGCAGAAAGTTGGGATTGATAAGGGGCAGGTGTTATGTGGTATTTATTTAGCACCAGAACTACACAATTTGTGGTCTAGTATTAGTTCCAGATTTTGTGCAATCCTTGGATCACAAGTCACCCTTACTGGACCCCTCCCCTGAGTAGAGCCCCCTCTCCTTTCTACTGGACACTGCACTTTCATGTGGTCTCCCTCTGAGTCAAGTCCACACCATTGCCAAGAAGTAGAAGGTAAGGCAAGTGGGTGGCTCCTGCCTGCTGCTTCTCATTTGAGGTTTCCCCCTACAATCAAGCAGTATACGCCTCGCACCATGCCAAAAAACATGGGGCACCTTTGTCTGGCAGCGCTGAGGCCCATATTTGGGGACAGCAAAATACCGGGGAAGGTTATATGTGGGCGCACTGGTGGAGCCAATCCACCAGCAGCACACCTCCCTCCATGCTGCTCCACCCCTCATAGAAAACCACTGCCAGGAAGCTATGGTTGTGGTTCCACTCCACCAGATCAGCTGCTTCTAGTTTGGCTCACCTAAAGGTAGGGAGACGTAGAGAAAGAAACAGTGCAGAAGCAGACCCAGAAGGCGCTTGGGGAAGGTCTTTAGTGGTCCATTTATGGAATGTGAGCTTTGGCAGATACACCAAGCCCAAGATAGTTCTCCAGGCATGTAAAATATCTCAGTAGAATCTCTGGTTTGTGGAGGGCAGGGCTGCTAAACCTGTGGGGTAGGGGAGCTGTCATGCACTTCATGGGACAATCTACAAACCACCAAAGAGAAATTCAAACAAATAGCCAGCACGTGTAGACACAAAGTCAGAAAAGCTAAAGCACAGAATGAACTCAGGCTTGCTAGAGAGGTTAAAGGCAACAAAAAAGGCTTTTATGGGTATGTCCGTAGCAAAAGGAAGAACAAAGAAACAGTGGGGTCACTCAGAGGAGAAGATGGTGAAATGCAAACAGGGGACACAGAAAGGGCTGAACTCCTCAATGCCTTCTTTGCCTCAGTCTTCTCCGATAAAGAAAACAATGCCCGACCTGAAGAATTTGGAGCAAATGATTCAGCAGAAGAAACACAGCCCAGAATAACTAAGGAGATAGTACAAGAATACTTGGCTAGTCTAGATGTATTCAAGTCTCCAGGGCCAGATGAACTGCATCCAAGAGTATTAAAAGAACTGGCAGATGTGATCTCAGAACCACTGGCAGTCATCTTTGAGAATTCCTGGAGAACAGGCGAAGTCCCGGCAGACTGGAGGAGGGCAAATGTTGTCCCTATTTTCAAAAGGGGAAAAGAGAGGACCCAAATAATTACCGCCCAGTCAGTCTGACATCAATACCAGGGAAGATTCTGGAGCAGATCATTAAGCAAACAGTCTGTGAGCACCTAGAAAGGAATGCTGTGATCATCAATAGTCAGCATGGATTTCTGAAAAATAAGTCATGTCAGACTAACCTGATCTCGTTTTTTGACAGAATTACAAGCCTGGTAGATGACGGGAACGCAGTGGATGTAGCCTACCTTGATTTCAGCAAGGCATTTGACAAGGTGCCCCATGATATTCTTGTAAAGAAGCTGGTAAAATGCGGTCTTGACTATGCTACCACTCAGTGGATTTGTAACTGGCTGACTGACCGACCCAAAGGGTGCTCATCAATGGTTCCTCTTCATCCTGGAGAAGAGTGACTAGTGGGGTGCCACAGGGTTCTGTCTTGGGCCCGGTCTTATTCAACATCTTTATCAACGACTTGGATGATGGACTCAAGGGCATCCTGATCAAATTTGCAGATGACACCAAACTGGGAAGGGTGGCTAACACCCCAGAGGACAGGATCACACTTCAAAACGACCTTGACAGATTAGAGAACTGGGCCAAAACAAACAAGATGAATTTTAACAGGGAGAAATGTAAAGTATTGCACTTGGGCAAAAAAAATGAGAGGCACAAATACAAGATGGGTGACACCTGGCTTGAGAGCAGTACATGTGAAAAGGATCTAGGAGTCTTGGTTGACCACAAACTTGACATGAGCCAACAGTGTGACGCGGCAGCTAAAAAAGCCAATGCAATTCTGGGATGCATCAATAGGAGTATAGCATCTAGATCAAGGGAAGTAATAGTGCCACTGTATTCTTCTCTGGTCAGACCTCACCTGGAGTACTGTGTCCAGTTCTGGGCACCACAGTTCAAGAAGGACACTGACAAACTGGAACGTGTCCAGAGGAGGAGCAACCAAAATGGTCAAAGGCCTGGAAACGATGCCTTATGAGGAACGGCTAAGGGAGCTGGGCATGTTTAGCCTGGAGAAGAGGAGGTTAAGGGGTGATATGATAGCCATGTTCAAATATATAAAAGGATGTCACATAGAGGAGGGAGAAAGGTTGTTTTCTGCTGCTCCAGAGAAGCGGACACAGAGCAATGGATCCAAACTACAAGAAAGAAGATTCCACCTAAACATTAGGAAGAACTTCCTGACAGTAAGAGCTGTTCGACAGTGGAATTTGCTGCCAAGGAGTGTGGTGGAGTCTCCTTCTTTGGAGGTCTTTAAGCAGAGGCTTGACAACCATATGTCAGGAGTGCTCTGATGGTGTTTCCTTCTTGGCAGGGGGTTGGACTCGATGGCCCTTGTGGTCTCTTCCAACTCTATGATTCTATGATTCTATGATACATGACTGTCAAGCTTTGTTTGCCTTGGTCTGATTTATAGATTTATTTACATTTCTGCCACTTTATTCCCAAAGGCAGGTCAGAATACATGCCAAAAGAGGACATAATCTCTTCTGCACGGACATGTGGAATGACAATATGAATCTGCCAGGGCAATGTAAGCACAAGGCATGCTTGCATGAGCCAACTACCTGTTTATACAATAGGATGTACTCGATGTTCAGCTAATGAGACTTTCCTTTACGCTACGCAGCTGTATAAATAGTGTCAGTTTACATGTTCCACCCCCTTCATATCTATTTCCTAGACTGGGCACACAGAGACCCCCCAGTCAGGATATGGCTTTTGTAACCCTTTTGTAGTCCTATGCTAAACTTCTATCATGCTATGAAGACTGAACTCTTGGTAAAAATGTTGCACAATTGTTTGGCTCTGCTTTGAAAAAGCTGGGGTGGAGTTCACTGTGGGAGGCCAGTTCTTACTACCGGCAAACTTATCATAATAAGAAATCAGGTCAATTAAAACTATTTCACAATTACTGCCCAAAATCTCTCCAAGCTTGACTTGATGTCCACTTTAGAAAGAAATAGATCTGAGCTTCCTTTTCACTTAACAGCTACTGCCTGCGTTCCTGCCTCCGACTACTCTAGATGGAAAGTCATATTAACTTTGAAAAGTGTTCCTGTGAATAGACTTTCAAGTCAATACACATTTGAAGCTATTTGTTTTCCTATTTTCACCGTGGTTGTTATGGAAATAAGATTCTTTCTGCATGCACTATGAACTGCTTACGCAATAAGACTGCAGAACCGATATCACGTATTTGACTAAACTTTATATATTAAACATTTATACCACATTGCTCTTGTCTCTGCAATAAGGATAAATATCTAAATTTCAATCATTAAAATATTATGTTCGTGATGCACCAGGAACAAAAAACCCCCCTTGATTTTATACTGAGCATGACTCTAGCAAACATGTAATGAACATCTGTACTGTAAGATGGATCACACTGAAATTCTCCTCATCTGAATGTCTCCCCAGTTGTTAGGATTCTGAATGATTTGCAATTATTTTTTGAAGTTGTTTCCCATGCATTAGCAGGTTTTGTTCAGGTCTTTTGCGCATGCAAGCTTTGTGGCAGTTTTTGGTTATGTCTTTTTCTCCCTTGCTTGTGGTTGATGTGCAGAAGCACATCTGGGCCTCAGTTAACACACTGCAGAAAGAGGAATACTGATGTAATCATTCAATCACATTGAAGATTTCTTTTGTGCACTGGTTTGCAATCAGGGTGCATTGGTAGTTGTGCACATTGGTATAATAAGTAACAGGAAAAGGATGGGAACTGAAAACTATGAGAGGCTGTTCATGCGCAAGCACTGAAATTTATTTTAAGAAATTGTCCAAGATATACCAGAAAGAGGAAAAGCTGAATGCAGGGCATCTAATATTTGTGGAAAGTGGGTTATAAGATGTTTTTGGTTTTGTTTTATTACCAGTATGTATTTTGTTTTGTACATTTTGTATTTTCATGAGGTAGGCGGAGACCTCCAGGTATCCCACCTGAGGGAAGGCAAAGCCAAGCCTATGCTGTTGGAGCCGCTCCAGATCTAGGGGCTGCACGTGTCCACGCAAAGGGCGCCCCCCGTTTTAAGCGGGGAGAAGTCATTGTATTTTCATGTTGTGAACTTCAGATGAAGGGCAGGATACAAATGTCGTAAATAATAATAAATGAAATCAATCTAGAATGAATCTATGGAAAAATAATGGAATTGAAGGGTATATCTGCTCATACCTAGACTGTAGCTAGGTATCCCAAGTTCAGTACTAAATAAAAATCTCCCTGGAAAGTACATTTGGCATGTTAAATATAAAGCTAAATATGCATAGCCAGTGTTGATCACTCATTTATTCCCATCAGAATAATGGAGAGATGGATACCAATTTCAATTGATGACCTCTTGCATGAGATGTGTGAGGATTGTCCTGCTAGAATAATGAGATCCTTAGTTGTCTATGCTGACATTATATGCATTGCCCCTCTAGATTTTCTCCATATAGATACCTAAAGGATCACTTCAGTATGTCATCCTACGAACACCAAAGACTGCATCTGAATGCACCTTGAGAGCAAAGGAAATAACATCACTATTAAGTTTTATTTGTTAAGAATATTTGTATCCTATCTTTCCAGTGGAATATTGCTCAAGGCTGCTGGCCATAAAAAGAAAAATCATCAGTATGACAAAATTAAAAAAACAAAACACAATAATCCATTTTTTAAAAAAAGATACACCAGCAATATCACTCACCAAACAAATAAACAGCACTAAAAGTGCAGACAAATCTATAAGCAGAAGAACACAAAACTGGCAAGCCAAGCTGGCCAAGACAGTCAAAACAGAAGAGGGTTTTGAAGGATGGCTGTGTTTTGGTTCACATATTGTTTCAGAAAATCTGAATTGGATATGTTCGGCTTTAAATGTGCACTGAATCTCTAGTCATGGTCCAGATGTTACCATAGCCAAAGTGTCCAGTGCTTAGCAGTAAAGAAATCGGGACCTTTGACATAACATAGGAAGCTGTCTAATGCTGAGTCAGGCCATTCGTCCATCTATCTCAATATTGTCTATACTGACTTGTAGTAGCACTCCAGATTTCAGACAGGGCTTTCTCTCAGCTCTATCTGGATATTTTGGGGGGTTGATACTGGAACCTGTGTTCATAGCAGATGTTCTACCACTGAGACGCAGCTCTCCCTCCAAAGCTGCAAAACACTGCACATTAAAAAGTACTATGAATATCATTAGTAATAGAAGTGAATTGAAGGAGCTATAGGTAATCAGAGGTTACATTACCTAGGCTATATTATTCTGTTTTGGTGAACTCCTTTTTGAATAGATCAATGTCACCACAATTGTCCTTTTTGTATGAGTGTTATGTGCCAGGGCCAGTGGAATAGCAAAGCATCTGTTCTTCCACTTAAGTGTCCAGGATGTGATTTCAGAAATAATCTTCCCCTTGCTACTTTTTTGAGCGAGCAACAATGTGACCTTGCTGTCTGAGTCATTCCTCTTCCCTTCTCTGAGCAAAGCTGGTATGAGACACATTTTCTTTCCAAAGAAATCTAGGCTCTTTGCAAGAAACATATATTAAATAAAGATATATGCTAGTCACTGCTGAAGCTTATGTCCACTCTCAAAATAACTTGTTTAGATGGCTGGCCATGTGAACAGCCTTCATTATGAATAAAGCATCAAAACCGCTGCATAGCCACTCGAGCTATTCTTTCAAATTGCAGCACCCATTACATGGCTGCCTTTAAAATAAGCAAAGATTGGATTCAACTGTTTGGGAGAAAATAGCCATTTATTGTGGTGTGTGTTTTGGGGCCAAGTTTCATTTTCCTTCTTGCAAAAACAAGATCTTTGTGTCTAGGTAACAAATGTGCAACATTAAATCATAACAAAAAGAATTGAGTTCTCAGTTTGGCTTGTACAAAACTGTTCTGTACACGTGGATTTAAGCTTGAGTTTCATTGTTTTTAACAGGCTGTTTAAAGACTGACCATATGTATCTTGCAATGGATATAGTCCTGTAGAGAGGGCTAAAGTCCTGATGCAATCAATGAGTGGACGGGGCTTGGGATAGCGTGCTCCATCCTTGACCTCCATGAACTATCTGTGTACAAATTTTTGTGTGTGTGCAAGCTGTGTGTATGCTGTCTTCATGTGATCTATGCCCTACACCAAATTCAGACAACATTACACCCACTCCAAGCATAAAAAGAAAAGAACCCATTAATCATCTCCACAGTGGTGAAACGACACACATGGAGGAGGCAAAGGTGTTTTTAAAACCATATAATTAATTAAAACCTTGCGTAAATCAAACAAGCCACTGTTTGCATCTCTTTCCAGAAGTCTGCAGGGATCTACAGTGGCCATCAAAAAGAGTCAACTAAAGTACTCAAAAAAATGAGAGGATCAAACAAGTTACAGCCAATTATTCTCTTGCTATTGCCATACAGAGGGGGTGGGGGTAAATGTGACCAAACTGAAAGCAGCATGGCCACAATAAACCTTATTCATGACAGTTAGTCTTCCCGAGGAGGAAACTATAGCCAGGATAAACCGAATTTAAGGACAGAGCTAAGCCAGGGTGGATGAGGACAGATGAGATGGAGGACAGGTGATAGACCTGCTGCCCTTTCACAATGAAAAGATGAGGTAGTTTTTAGACCCTTTTAACTCAATGGTTGCATGACTCAATCCATTAAGAAATAAGGAAAGCATTCTGGATGCAGTAGAGGGTTGTGTATTTTCGTTAATATCAATATAAGGAAATCTGTACTGAATCTATTGAAAATAATTACAGCCCCGAGTTTCTGTTCTTCTATGTTTATCGTAAGTGATGACATGAATACTCCAAACTCTTACATAGGCTATCATGCAACTGAAGTAATTCCCATAAGATCCCACTTTTCAACAACGAAGGCAGATTATTAAGTTTCCTCATCCTCCAAGCAAAACAAAACCAGCAGTTTCCTTCCCACACTATGAGAAGAGTTCAAGGTGAAAGAACAAATTTGTTCCAAACATCTATTGTTTCCTTTGACCTTCCAGTATACATAGAACCCGTTATTGCAGCTACCATTGCCACAGAATCAGTTTGTATTAGACACTGCCTACTCCACAAGTTGTGTATTGTCTTTTCAAACCATAGGCTATAATGCTCCAAAGTTCTGATAGGTGGCATGTTCAAGCTGTAGTGGGAGATGGCTAGAGGATGTGGCAAAGAGAAAGGGTCTTGGAAATGAGCTTTTAGAAGAAGAGTCTATGCATAACCCCAAATCAAGCCCCATCTCAAAACAAGAAAAAGGAGTGCCATTAAGTGGATTAGTTAGGAAAAGTTTTGGGCAAACTCCAATTACCTCTCATGCATAGGCTGTGCTTTTTTGGGGGGGGGGATGGTGTGCTGGTACACATACCTTGATAAATGTAATGTGGGAGCCAGCACAAAGTGACTACCATGAGCATCAAAGAAAGAGGTGGTGGTACTCTGTACAGTAGCCCAATAACACTGTGTTAGATCATTGTTTAAAGCATAAGAACCTAGTGCATCCAGGTTTGAAAAATGCCTTCGGGTGGTATAGTGTGGAGTACAGCTAGCTAAGAAATTTATACAGTGGTGCCTCGCAAGACGAAATTAATTCGTTCCGCGAGTTTTGTCGTCTTGCGATTTTTTTCGTCTTGCGAAGCATGGTGTCGGGAAAGTTTTGGAAAAGCTTCAAAAATCACCAAAGTCTTTAAAAACCTCAAAAAAGGCTACCACACCACGTTCTATGAGTTGCTCCTCGAAGTCAAGTCGCAACTGTATTAACGGTGTTAAGAAAAAGGAAACAAACTTGCAAGACGTTTCCGTCTTACGAAGCAAGCCCATAGCGAAAATCGTCTTGCGAAGTAGCTCAAAAAACAAAAAACCCTTTCGTCTAGTGAGTTTTTTGTCTTGCGAGGTACCACTGTATTCTCCTTTTGAAACTGGCAGTCATATTTGAAGATCAAAAGTTGCTTTATGAAAAAAAAAGTGGCACCTTCAAGAATATGTTTCAGAGTGGAACAGTGCTCCTGTTCAGGGTTCCAGACAAGCACACTCTTCTGAGAATACTCAACTCCATTCCTTCTGCCCCTCAATTTTCCCCTTTCTCTCCCTGACAAACAGTTAGCAATCTGTAGCCACTCAGCATTCTTAGTCATCATTAGGATTTTGGGGCTTTTAAACACCCCCATATTTTTTTCCTTCTCAATTTTTATTTTGTTTTATTTTGCATTTCTGCAAACATCAGGGTTCCCCTGAGTATGCTGATGCCTTCTCTTTGTATGTGGATGGTTAGGCTTGCCATATGTCAGGAAAATTCCTGACATGCCCTGATTTTCAGGTGTAAAAATGGCATCTGGGTGAATTTTGCCATTTGGGCTGCAGCAGGATAGGGATTTGGAGAATGAGTTCATTGCTCATAGATATTTTGAAAACTGTATTCTTGCACATACAATCAAATGAGCATGCACAACACCTTCTGCTTACACACCCATTGACTTCATTTCAGATCTGGAAACTAGGGAAATAGTACTACTTGCTGCGTACGGACATTGAAATGGCTCTTCTTTACACTGCTACTTGTCAATGGAACAATATGTTTCTCAGGTAGGTACAAGATAAACCGGATGTTCGGTTAATACATTTATGATTTCTTAAGCAAATCCTAGAACATCCTCTTTAAACTTAATCTGATTGACTCAAGAAGTAGAAAACAGACACTTCCCTTCGGAAATGGAACAACAATTGGCAAAAGGTTAAAGATGTTGAATTACAGAGATGTGCTTGAATCTATACGAATAGCAGAACGATTATAGAAAATTGTGGGTTCTTTTCAAAGAAGCAGGAACTGGCTTTTCTGTATCATGTCTTGTTATACAATTTAGAATGCTCCTATGGCAGCAGAATAATGAGCAGAGCATCCCTGTGTTTTGAAGTCCTACCATGTTTGATATGACTCACTTCTTAGTTCAGGGGAAGTCAGCACTGATGCCTTTCAGAATCCAGTTGTTGTTGTTCTATGGCTCTCAGCAATCCTGGTCATTGAACATGTTGACTGGTGTTGATGGGAATTGGAGTCCAAAAACATCTGAAGGGGGAAGCATAGTAGCTATCCCTGTCCTAGTTAATGTATTTAGGACCACAGCTTAAAAGGGCAAATTTAGGGAAGACTCTTTTTCAACTTCGCTCTATACTCAAACTGAAAAAGCAGTTGTAGGTGAAGAATGCTTTAGCAACACTAGCTTCTCCTGTAGGTGGATGAACTGTGCCAATCCTACAAGACTAACAGGATTCATATGGCATTGCAAATGTGCAATCCCTCATGTTGTGGCAATGTAAGTACATTAAGTTAAATTGAAGAAAGCACGACTTCCGGGTTGGCGCCACGGGCAATGGCGGAATCCCTCTGATTGGGAGGGATTTGCCCCGTGGGAATTTGGGTCTGGCCGCCACGGCGAAGGCGGAGACCTGCTAAAAAATCACAGGTGGGAGAAGCCTGTGAACGTGGGATTCGGCGGGCACCCTTTGTGCCTCCCCTACTCGCGGGGAACCCGGTTTCGGGGGTCCAGAGCGACGTGGGGTGAGTGGCACGGTGCTTCGAATCGTCTGCTTCTTCCACGGAGCGAAGCTGCATAGCTGTTGCCGGAGAGTGCTGACTTTTTCCTGTGGACAATTTGACTCTAAAGTAATTACCTGTGAGTAGAGCTGAAGTGGGAGAATTGGATTTTTAAACGTATAATTTGGCATCGAAACGGGGAGGTTCAATACAGGAAGTCCACCTCCCCCTTTTGTAAATAGACTGAAGCAATGAGGCTGCAAGCTGAAGCCTTGGGAAGCCTTTTGTAAAAGACCAAATTTTCATCGGTAAAGAACATTTAACCCCCCCTTGGAGGCAGGAAAGAGGGGGGGAAGTTGTGGACTGTGTATGCCTGCAGGAGAGAGCGAAGAGAGCTAGAATACCGCCGCTCTGACCCTGGAAACGGGCTGCTAGTAGGACTGATGTCTTTTGGAATGTCCATTGACAGCGCTTAGAATGTTCACTGACAGCTAGCTAAATAAGAGAAATACATTGTTTCTACTGTCTCCGGCTGTTTCTAAAAAGGAGTAAAAGTAACTGAAAACTGAAACTAACTTTGGATTGTTTGAACTGTGTCTAAAAGAGGACATTATTGATTAATATAAAATAACATAAATAGAAACTGTTTCCCCTTAGCGGAAGCTTTTGAAACTGGTTGTTTTACAAGAGTTGGGCTAGGGGAATTTCCAACTGCAAGATAAAAAATTGTGAGACTCTGGGACTGACCTTGAATCTTTTACGCGTTATGGCAAATGGAAAGGAAAAAACAGATCAGCTAACTGCTGAAAAAACATTAAGGTCTGGGAGGACTTGGCAGCAACCCAGGAGAGGTTCAGCATCAGGCCTTCCTGCTTCCTCTGCTGCTGCCTCTGCATCAGTACAAGCAAAACCAATAGGAATGTCAACAGAAGAGGTTTTAGTGGCTGCATTAGGTAAGATAAACGATTCATTGGAACAGCTTAATAAGAAAGTGGATGTTGCAACGGAAAGTATAAATAATTTGGGACAAAAGGTGAACACCAATACAGAAACTATCCAGAAATTGATACAGGAATCTACTCTGATACGGCAGACTGCGGAGGAAGCCAGGGAGGAAGCCGTCGCGACTGAATGTAAAGTAACACAATTGGATAGAGAGAGAGTCCCAGCCCTACAGAGGCAACTTGATGAACATAAGCTGACGCTTGCTATGATTGAACTTAAAGAAAAACAGACAAATTTGAGGATCAGAGCTTTACCTGAATGGGAGAAGGAAAGCTTGATAGACTTTTTTACACAGGAATTTGAGAAAGAGAAAGAGAAGTTTCAGGAGGAGACAGGACTAACATTGGTTAAGAAAGTGAAATATTTAGGGGTTAACATGACTGTTAAAATGTGAATTTATTAAAGGATAATTATGAAAAATGTTGGACTGAAGTGAAAAAGGATCTACAAATATGGACAAATTTGAAGTTATCATTGTTAGACTGAATTGTTGTGATAAAAATGAATGTGCTGCCAAGGATGTTGTTTTTGTTTCAAACATTGCAAATTTTGGATAAGATGGACTGTTTCAAGAAGTGGCAGAAAGATATTGTTTGGCAGGGCAAGAAGCCTCGAATAAAATATAAGATATGGCAGATGAAGTCGATGGACTATATGGAATTGGTGGAAATGACTGGCAGAATCCGAGACCAGGGAGAAGAGTCGGTGGAAGAAGACTGGAAAAAGTTTAAAGACTATTTATAGAAATATTGTAAAATTAATGAATGTTAGAAAAATGTTGGAATGAAGTTATATGGCTTTAGTAGAAATGCTATAAGGAATTAAGTATAAATAGATTAATAGAGTATTAAAGGGAAAAATAAGGTTAGAAATTGTTAAGATAATTAAAGGATAGAAAGTAGAGGAAGATGGAAAGGAATTGCTGAAACAATCAACAGAAGTGGAATACAAAAAGGGAGGTGTGAGGAGGTCACTGAAATAAGTGAATGAAAGATAAGATATGGAAATTGTTTGATGTTTTTTAAACTGTTTTTGTTTTGTTTTGTTGGTTTTAATGTGTTATGTAGTGTTTTTGTGTTGTATTGTATTTTTTTATTGTTTTGTGTGTTTAAATTTTTTATTTCTTTGTGTGTCGGAAAAGTAATAAATATTTTTTAAAAAATAAATTGAAGAAAGCAGAAATGTTTGTAGTAATTGGCAAGGGGTAGGTGTGAGGAACGAAGACATCTGAAAATTAACATTCAAAAACAACATTTAATTTCTAAAGTGAGGATGTAGTGAAAAGTATCTACTTCCCCATCCCTGGATTCCCTAAATTGCAAGTCATTCATTTTTTAAAAGTCAAATCTAAAACTATTTTATTTAATGGTGGCTACTGAGTCTAAATTGCAACCTGTACTCAGACATTGCTTATCATTTAGGCAGTGGTAGTTAGTGTCCATTGGGACTGGTAGGGTAGGAGAGAGGAAGGCCAACAGTAGGTGGAGCCATAGCCAAAAATAGGCAGACCCAACCATTCTTAGCATTGTTCCTTCTTAGTTCAATAGAAGCAACATATCTTCAAGAATAAGCTTCAGTATTGGATAAGTAATATGGAAAGCTTTTTTCATCCTGAGGGCCACTTTCTCAGATGGAAAACTTTTCACATGCCAGAAGTGTGTGGGGCAGAGACAAAAGTGGGCAGAATCATAAATCCACATGATACCTTTTATTCAGTAGACTAGTTTCTACACTGACTGTCATCTATCTGGAAGCAAGAGGCAATATTAGAATTGCGTATCAAGGCCCCCAAGCCACCCCCAGGAGAATAAAGACACAAGGACACAGAATTTTAAGTTATTGTTAATGCGCGAGGCTGAAAGGGAAGCCTCAGAGTCACGCCACAGCTTAAATCGGCCCCGGCCACGCCCCTGAAGCGACCTGATTGGCCACCTGGCTACATGGTGTGGCGGCGGTCTCCCACAGCATGACGCGGGATGCTGTCCCGCCCGCTGAGTGGGGTGGCCAGGAGGCCTGACCGCAACCCATCACCACAAAAAAGTGGAGCCAATTTCAAGGACACATTCCAGCCAAGCAGAAACATTCAAAGAGGGTGTGAAGCCAGGCCAGTAGAAGAAGTGATTGGGAAGGGAGTGTGGTCTGAGGCAAATACCCCAGGTCAGATGGAGAGGCTTGGGGGGCTTCATTCAGCTCCCAGGCCTGAGGTTCCCAACTCACACACCTTGTTTTTCCTTTGTGTTGCAAGGCTAATGAACCAACTTTCACTGTGCAGTTATCATTGGCTTCTAATTTTGTGCAAGCTTCCCTTCATAAATAATGTGAGTGCAAAAAATAAACTTGACTTTTTCAGCCTATCTAGTTTCCTATGAGGGAAACTGGATTGTTCTACCTATTCTGCGAAAGTAAAGATCACCCAAATTCTTAAACCTGAAGGGGTACTCCTGTGCTCTTCTTAGGGATAAGTGGCCCTGTCAATTATGATTCCCCTCTGTTCACTACATTTCCACGTCAGTTTGTGCCATTTGTTTTAAAAAGTTGTCTAAAAAAGTTGAAAATCAACCAGCATTTTAGTGCAAATCTCTCCAAATATACAAAATTCTGTATGCGATTTTGCTTAACGTATATTTTCACTAAGCTGTTTTTTCATGATACAAAAATGCATTGTATGTTCTTACCATATATATATATGCATTTTAATGCAATCTTTAGTATATGTCTTTATGCAAACTGAATTGAATTTCTTCCTCATCTCTAGGCCTCGTCTTGAAAACATTTCCTGGGTTAAGAACTATGAGAACTAGAAGAACTTGGGACAAAGTAACTCGCTCCAAACCTTAAGAATTTGCTTTTCTGAAACTCAGAGCTGTGGCTTAGCCAGGCTGTTTAATTAAGCGAAAGAGAGTGGGAATGACTACTGCACTTTGGTAATCCTGTGTTTTATTATGATAAAAATCATAAGAGGCCTTTATGTAGTTCAGGACTCTGTTTTTATTTCAATGTTATCTAAAAGAACCATTGCTACTAAACTTCCTGAAGACGTGGTTTTAAAAAAGTAAAATAAACACACACACACACACAGAGAGAGAGAGAGAGAGAGAGAGAGAGAAAGAAAGAAAGAAAGAAAGGGAGAGTCAGTCTTTGTATCACTTGGTTATCTTGCAGGACTTATTGCCTCATATTTAATAAACCACTTTGCTGTGTGTTCCTTCACTGGTAAGCAGTTATTGAGTCAAAATCAGAAGACTGCTATAAAATCAAATTGTCCCCTTTTTGTGTTCCAAGAAGGGAATGTTCTAATTGACCTATTGAGGGCCGCCTTCTCAACTGTAACTCTTTTTGTAGATGCTGATAAAATTCCAAGCATGCAGGGAACCCTTACAAGAGTCTGTCTGAACTCAGGTTGAGAAGAGAATTAGTGTGAAGAGCCTCCATAATCACTAGCTTTCGGAATGCTTTTACAGTTCCATGCTGTGGAGCTATGCCTCGGGCCAGACTTTGCAGGAACCAGCTTGTAACCTCAGGCTAAGGTGATGTGAGCTAGGTTAGACATTCAGCCCACATGTTTCTCATAAGAGAAAGACTAGACATATCATAGAAAGACGATATTAAGAGCTGCTTGATACTGAGTCACACCAGTGTGGTCCTTCTGCCTTAGCATCATCTACACCGAGTGGTAGAGGCTCTCCCAGGGAAGTCATGCAGAAAGAGAATGCTTTCTTACCTTACAATCTTTAGATCCTTCAAGATCTTAGAACATATTCTTTATGTGCTCTAAGAAAATATACTTGGTATGTATATCACTGAGTTCTGGTTACACATACAAATTAAAGAACAAAAATATTTGAATCCTACTATTTTCTATCATAACTAGTCAACTTATTGAAATACTTATTTTTTATTGATTCAGTTGGGTCCTAATACTCAAAATAGTTATGCCAGGGACAAAAGCAAAGTATCTGCTTGAATCTCTTTCATGTTTATGTGTTGTTCTTTTTTTGCTCTCAGCTTCTTCCATTCTCCATTTTGTTGCAGTCCAAGCTTGTTCAGCATTGAAGAGCTTGTCTGCAAAACTAGCCATCACCAACAAGCACACACTGACTTCTCAAGTTTCAGCTTCCTTCTGTGAGAGCTCTGCTGCTCCTGTTTCCAGTGATGAGTCATCAGCTAGCTTAATTCAGATCAGCTTCTGCCAGAGTGAAACTTTTTAAAGGTAACCTCTTTAGAGCATTCCAAATACAATGAATTCAAATATACATTTTATGTACATTAAATATATAACTTTGACATAGATCACATCCATGCAATACATGGCATGCCCCCAAAGAATTCTGTAAACTATAGTTTGCCCCACAACTCTCAGCACACTTAACAGACTACAGTTCCTAGGATTATTTGGGGGAAGCCGGGTGCTTAAAATATATGGTGTATATGTGATCATAGTGTTGGGTGGGGTCTTGTAGGCCATCCTCCTCAATGCAGAGCGCCCCCAACAGTTGGCTATCCATCTCTGTTTGAAGATCTAAGCTAGGGCAAAGAGGTCCAGCTTTTTGAAGTTCCAGCTACGGCAAAGCCATCACCCCTACAACTAATTGGTTACACTGTAGTGTAAACTGTCAATAAATTTATCCTAATGCTCAATTGAAATCGACCTTCCTATAACTTAGGGCCCATTATATATAGCCCTACCTTCTGGAGTAGGAGAGAACAAGTCTTTGCCTTTTTACAAGGCAACAGTCCTTCAGGAATTTGAAGAGCACTATTTTAATAGCTGCTGAAAACACATTGTCTTCCAGTGGAATCAGTTAACACATTAAGTTTTGCAGGGGCGGACTTTGGTAATATGGCATATGAGTGAGGACAAAATTTTGTGGCTTCCCTCCTAAATATTTCTTATTTCTGTAATTCATTTGGGTGCAGTTGCTTTTTAATGGATCTTTTCCGTAGGTACCTGTATAGTAATAGTAATAATGATGATGATGATGATGATAATAATTATTATTATTCCTACTACTTTTGTGCTTCCATGGCTAGGCACCCTGTACGTGGGAACTGCCCACGCTGCCCTAAACCCAGTGCTGAGTTTTGAGAGATCTTAAAGTTAGATATTAACTAACAGCAGTCACAAATTTTAAAGACGGCTGCTTCTTGGGAGAAAAGCAATGATAAACCTAGACAGCATCTTAAAAAGTAGCGATATCACCTTGCCAACAAAGGCCTGTATAGTCAGAGCTATGGTTTTCCCAGTAGTGATGTATGGAAGTGAGAGCTGGACCATAAAGAAGGCTGATCGCTGAAGAATTGATGCTTTTGAATTATGGTGATGGAGGAGACTCTTGAGAGTCCCATGGACTGCAAGAAGATCAAACCTATCCATTCTTAAGGAAATCAGCCCTGAGTGCTCACTGGAAGGACAGATCCTGAAGCTGAGGCTCCAATACTTTGGCCACCTCATGAGAAGAGAAGACTCCCTGGAAAAGACCCTGATGCTGGGAAAGATTGAGGACACAAGCAGAAGGGGACGACAGAGGACGAGATGGTTGCATTGTGTTCTCAAAGCTACCAGCATGAGTTTGACCAAACTGCGGGAGGCAGTGGAAGATAAGAGTACCTGGCGTGCTCTGGTCCATGGGGTCACGAAGAGTCGGACACGACTAAACGACTAAACAACAACAGAGTTAGATAAACTGACTTGATTGGTATTTGGAATGGGGGGGGGGAGTTCTGAGTTTTCATGTATTATGTGCAGCCTGTGCTTTTCAAAATATCTTTGCTGTGTCTGGGAAATCATTGCAGCAGAACAGCTGTGGTTACATATACACGGGCTGTACAATTACTTCAAAAACTCTGGCAAATATAATTGCTGTGCAGTTGGAAAGGAGACACACGATGGCTTTTCAGAGCCCCAACTTCATATGGCACTATGCAGCCTCACGATAGCTGGATGAGCTGCTAGTGTGGAGATTGATTCATCTCTCAGAGTGTAAATTGCGACTGACGTTTACAAGGGATTCTTGTTGCTACTGTCTCTTCCCCTTCCTGCCTGCCGGCCTGTGCAGAACAAACAGCTCAGCTTCATTGTCCTGCCATATTTTAGAAAGTTAAAGTAAACACTGTGATCATGCTGTTTACTTCAATATTGTGCCAGCGAAACAGCAAATTGGCAGTCAGCAGTCATCAGGCAGCCAGCAGTAAAACTATACAACAGTACCGGAAAGCTGCAAGTATGTCAGCCCGTTTTATCCCTAATATAGGAGGGGAAATTCCCAAACATTGCATTTCAATTGGCTTCTTTGTCACCTACTGTTATTCAGTCGAGTCTGAATTATTTTTCTGGATCTGGGTTATCTGCTGCACGGAAGTTCCATTTCTCTGTAATTTAGATGTGGTTTATATTCATACCTAAAGCTATAATTGCAATTTAAAGAAGCGGCTCAGTCTTCTAATCTGAATTCGTCATCTGACTCCTTACCATCCTCTTTCACATCCAACATCACCATCAGCTTTCTTCATGCTTTTAGCACACACATGAACACACACATTATCCACAGCAATCCTCTTAAAAATGTGCACCTATGAGATTTGGGTGGCTTTGTTTTCCCCACTATGTGTGACAGAGATGGGGAACCTGTGGCCCTCCAGATTATGTTGGACTCCGAATCCCATAAACCCCAATCAGCACTGCCAGTGGCAATGGATTATGAGAGTTGTAGTCCAACAACGTCTGGAAGGACAAAGGTTTTCCACCCCTGATTTATCCCAATATTGTGAGCAGTGTTGGCTTTCTAGAGCATTGAACAGGAGTCTTTCCATCCTGAAAACTCACCCATAGCTCCCTGGTGCATTTGGCAACTTTAGCAATCACCACATGAAAAGAGTAACAATAAGATTAGGATATATTTATTCATGGCTCATCTTACAACATTTGTTTAGATGTGACCTTTGCTGGTGTCTTTGGCTTCATCTGCTCTTTTTATATTTTTGATAACTGCCTTATTAAAAATGCTTTTTAAAAATTTGCAGCATGGTGCTGCAGAACTTGCACAAGAATTTTTAAAATAAAATTTGCTATTAGCTGCAAAAATGTTGAGATCTGTTCTTAAGATCGGAAAAATGAGACTCTCGGAGAAACAAAAAAGACAGATCCTTCCATCTCTACTCAGAGGAGACTCATTGCAATGAATGGGCCTATGTTAGTCATGCCCTTTCATTTCACTGAATCTGCTCTGAATGAGATTAACATGGGACACAACACATTGATCTTTAGATCCCATTCCCTGCTTGAGTTATCCTACTCGACAAAGTCCATTTCATGGACAATCTGGAGAGGACAGATTGCGTTATTGAATCACTGTCTCTTTAAAGAGTTAAGAACAGTTTCATAGCAGTATACACATTGAATGAATTAAACTGACAACTGTCGGTTCAACCTCTTTTTGCTTTCAAAAAAATCATACAGATCCTTTGTTTAAAAAAGGTTGAATGTTACTTCTGAAACCAATAGCTACTACAGCTTCCTTGATTATATCAACACAAAGCTCCAGAGTTAAGAGTGGAGAAGGGAGGTATTTAAATAACATCATTAAGGATATCATTAAAAGCCAGCTATTACTGAACAGGTGCAAAATTGTTAAATTGCTGCTAATGACAGCAACAGTGAGCGTTGCCACCTATCTAACTAACTTGCCTGCACTGTGTGTGTCATTTGGCGAGCTGCGGCTTATATACGTACATGAAAGAGAATCTGCATTGATGATAACAGAAGGACTGTTGTACTAGCAAGCAAACATTATAAATTGAAGAGGAACAGGCATTTATCTCCAGAAGCCCTTCCTAGGAAAAAAGTAGAGGAGAAATACTCACACTCCAAGATCTAACATATCATTAAGTCACAGCATTGCTCCACTTATTTTAGCTTCAAGCTAATAACTAACCTGACTATCTTTTAATCCTTTTAAGATCTTATCCAATTAAAAGCAGATGGTAAATATGTTCTTAGAAGACTACAAAGAAGATTAGCTGAGTTGTGCGATCCACTGCCTTCAAAAAATGTCCTTTTTTTGCTTCCCAAGAATATTTCCTGCACCACCGATGAAAACCAACGAATGAATAAAGAACCCATCCACGTGATGCTGACACAAAACTTCACACATGCACTATGCAAAAAGAGGAAATAACATTACCCCCTTCTTTCCTCCACCTCTCCCTCCACAAACTCACAATGCCTATGATAACAATGTCTCTCACCAAATGTAACCAACCTGTAGAAAAGAGTATGAATTGAAAACAGAGACACTATACAGTCATACCTCGGGTTAAATATGCTTCGAGTTGAGCGCGTTCGAGTTGTGCTCCTTGGCAACCCGGAAGTAACGGAGCGCGTTACTTCTGGGTTTCGCCACTTGCGCATGCGCAGACGCTCAAAATGACGTCATGCGCATGTGCAGAAGTGGCGAAAAGCGACGTGCGTATGCGCAGACGCGCCATTGCTAGTTACGTTTACCTCTAGATGCGAATGGGGCTCCGGAATTCCTGAAAAATTTTCAGTAAAAACCATTTAAAGAAATTTCCTACTATCTTACCCACCTTCACCCAGAAAGCTTGGGCAGCTGCTGGGGCTTATGAACTCTGGCAGGGACCACCACTGATGCTGGCCCTGGGAGCCACCAACCTATATAACTCACTATGGGGTACTGTGGGGAAATTTAAAATGGTGTCCTGGAGTTCTCTAATGCAGGAGACGATTCACCTTGCCAAAGCCAGTGAAGATGTTCTTGACCATAAACCACAATAAAGCAGTGACCAAACAACAAAAAACACAACATATCCAAAATAAAAAAGGCTAGGCAAACAGAAACAGTTCAATGGGATTTACTCCCGTAAGTGCAAATAATTCATCCTTTAAAGTAGTGTGAGAAGAATGAAACAATCTCTAGCTAGCACCTAAAAGCACGTAACCTTGGGAAAGTACCCACAGCCACCACTGAAAGGGCTTTTTCTCCAGTCACTACCTACTACCAGAGCAATCCCAACCCCCGTCATGCCAGGCTTGGGCAAGGCAGAGGGTTTGAAATGACCAGAGGTGTCCATTTGCCCAGAGGCAGCAAATTTCAAAGGCCAGGTTTTGTATGCTTAAATTTTATAGTAGCAGTGCGTGTGTGTGTGCATGCAGTGCTTTGTTCTGGGAGGTACGCATTTTGTGAATCTTTGTACTTTTGTTCATTTACTGTATTTATTTCCCCCGATTTGAACTATAAAATGTTGATTTTCTTGAATCAAAATGACAGTACCCCTAAACATTTTTTTGAGGAAAAAACACATTGTGTGTGTGTGTGTGTGTGTGTGTGTGTGTGTAATGTATCACATTTGTTAATGTTAGTTTGAAACTTCCCACAATCCAGGAGCTTCAGATTTCAATGCTCTACAACTCCCATAATCTCTGAGGGGCACAGCTCAGTCATTCCTGGTTTCATGGAATAATTCAGCATGTATTTGGCTCGCGTTAGTTATTTTGCTGTGTGACAGAAGACGCCCCCTTTTCCTTTCACACAGTGGTGAAAATAAGGGATTTGGAGTAGTAACAAATTCATGTGATCACATGAAAATTAAAGACTCATCACTTGATGGGCTCTTTTCTTTTCGTTTCTCAATGACAGGAACATGATAGGAAAAATTGCTTTCAGGGTAACTCCATTCCAATAAAATCCATTCCAGTCAGCCATGTAGGCTATCACACAAATATAGTCATTGTCCTCTCCTTTTCCGTTATAAACAGAGATTAGACTGACTATGACGCTGACTAGAAACAGCATCATTTTGTGTAATATTCCCCCCCCCATGCCTTTGTCACTATCAGATTTCTAGAAGCTATGAATACACAGGCAACCTAAAACTCAATTATCTTTCCATAATTTTTATTTCATGTGTTTGTTGACTAAACTTGGCCCAAGGGGATGGATTAATACAGTTAGGTGATTTATTGTTCTGTCCTTGATCCTGTCATGTCTGGATAGCTCAGTTGGTTAGAATATGGTCCTGATTGCAGGTTTGATCCCCGTACAGGACAGCTGCATATTCCTGCACTGCAGGGGGTTGGAATAGATGATCCTCAGGGTCCCTTCCAACTCTACAATTCTATGATTCATTGTGTTTTGGGAGGGCCATTTTGTCCACCTTGGGGCTCTTTTCTTTTGTCCATGCAAAAGTCTGCTTAGGAATGCATAGTTGAGTATTAGTATTCATGGAAAATAGAAATTATTTCAGTATTTATGGATAAGGAATGGGTGTAGGGGCAACATGCTCTATCCCAATTAATTTGAATGTCTGGAATGGATCCCTGTAACTCCCCGTATATTTATTATTCACAGATACTGAAGAACTAAAACACTTGACATTTAAAAACAAATGGGTCAATATGGTTTCGGGAGTCATGGACAGAAAAACTTGCAACCCTCTGGGCACTTTTCTGGGAGCAGGCCTTATTGAACAAGGTGTGACTTTTGTCTGATTAGAAAGAATAGGCTTGCTCTGGCAGGGAAACAACAGTGGAGCAAGTATGAATGGAACCCCCCACTGCGGATTTTCTCTCATCAGTTTTCACTTTCCATTTTTATTTAGGTGAAATCCAGTGAGAACCTGGTGGGACCCCTCTAAGAAAGTGAGCTACTTTCATCCATTGCATTTGATCTTCCTGTGAAATCCCCTCAGGTATTCTACATGAAGGCAAACTCTCAAAAATTAATGCTTTAAGTGAGGGGAAAGAGAGAGGGGTCAACACCAACAGTCGGAGACCATCCTGACTTCCTAACCTGAGTCCTCCTATCCGGGGCTCTATTCAAAAGAAGCAAAGAAAGAGGAGATGCATCAAAATGATGCCAACAATTGAATTTCATCAAATAAGAGAGTCGTTATAGAAGACTGAAAAAGCCCCACATTTCTTTAGAGAGATGTTGGCTCGGTAGGATATCCGAAGCAATCTTCAACTGAAATAAATCAAGCCTTTCAGTATTTTATACAAAATACAGTCATACCTTGGATCCCGAACACCTTGGCACTCAAACGTTTTGGCTCCCAAAGGCTGCAAACCCGGAAATGAGTATTCCATTTTTTGGAACCCAAACGTCCAACGGGGCTTCTGTGGCTTCCGATTGGCTGCAGGAGCTTCCTGCAGCCAATCAGAAGCTGTGTGTTGGTTTCTGAATGTTTTGGACTTCCGGAACTGATTCTGTTAGACTTCCAAGGTATGACTGTAAATAGAATCAGAGTTGGAAGAGACCACAAGGGCCACCCGCTGCAATGCAGAAATCTTTTACCCAGTGTGGGGCTTGAACCCATGACTCTGAGGTGAAAAGTCTCTACCAACTGAGCTATCCCAGGCTTCATTTGTTATAGTTTTTTAAAGAACAGTTTTGAGGCTGTGCAAACCACCCCTCCCCACACTTTCTTCTTCTCATGACTTTTGGTGCTACCTCCCCATTTAGCCTCAGGGATCCAGCCAGCTAGCCAGAGCCCACATCAGAATACTCTATTCCGTTCCCAACCCATCTTTTCTGCTTTTCATTTCCAAGTGACTCTACCCCCCCCCATGGCCACTGAGCATGCTAATTCCTCACTGATTTGTTTGTGTGTCTGTGGGTTAAACCACAGAGCCTAGGACTTGCCGATCAGAAGGTCGGTGGTTTGAATCCCCACGATGGGGTGGGCTCCCGTTGCTTGGTCCCTGCTCCTGCCCACCTAGCAGTTCGAAAGCACGTCAAAGTGCAAGTAGATAAATAGGTACCGCTCCAGTGGGAAGGTAAACGGCGTTTCCGTGCACTGCTCTGGTTCGCCAGAAGCGGCTTAGTCATGCTGGCCACATGACCCGGAAGCTATATGCTGGCTCCCTCAGCCAATAAAGCGAGATGAGCATCGCAACCCCAGAGTCGGCCACGACTGGACCTAAGGGTCAGAGATCCCTTTACCTTTTACCTATGTATGTGTGTGAACATTAATCTCTTAATTATATTTAAAAATATTTCTCATACTCTGCAAACCCTAGGGTTTCCCAGAGCATGCTCATTCCACCCTGGCTTTTTTCTTTCACAGGTCCCACCTGGGTCCCAATCCTGTCAACGCTCACTACCTGAGCTCATTAGCAAAGGGAGATACTTTGGTGACAAATTTAGTTTTCCACAAGTCATTCAAAAATACAGGAATTCCAGGAACAAAGTCTAAAATAATCATGTGACCTTCCTGTGTCTACATCTACAAATCATGCTGGAATGACAAGGTTGTCAGAAGAAGAGATTGCTAAGGATAACCCAATAAAATAAAATAAATAATGATTTGTAAGGAACTCCATGAATATTAGCTTGCTTACCATAACATCCATTTCTGTCTGGTTTCTCTATGCCGGGCCCACTGAATCCTGGGCTACAAAAACAGCCTTGGCGTCCATTACGAACTTCACATTTTGCACGCTCATCACATGGGATGGTACAGTTCTGGGAGGAGTAGCTACTGTCCAGCAGTGTGGACATGAACACTAAATGGAATTTAAAAGAAATGTGAGTTTTGTCTTTGAGTTCTGAAATCAGTTGTAGGCAACCATTAAGTTGAAAAATCTTATTGCTAAAGAGTCCTGTAGAACAAGGCTTGAAAACAAAATTATAACTGCTGAATGAATGATTTAAGTTCAAATATCTAGGCTTTCAAGTATGTGGATTTGTCTTTAAAAGCATCAGCCTTCAAGTACGTTCAGTAAACACAAAAATACTGCACATCAAACAAGGCTCCACGGTATTTTTGAATAAACTATAAGTGTTTAACTCTACCATGTTTCCCTGCACAGGGCAAAAGTGGCAAATAGTTCTTAGTCCAAAGAACACAACAGAGGAGACAAAAAACATTGTGCATCTGCAGGACACCTCCCCTCCCTGCAACAAGCATTTTAACATTACTTTTTAATAGCCCTAGTCCAACAATGTAACTTCATGGAAGATTACATTTACACACAACAGCAGTATCATTTCGGAACACTTTCCCCGTTTTTCAAGGCTACAGTATGACTATCTGAGCTATTTGCTTCATCTTGAGTGTGATAATGGAGCCCAGGCCGATTTTCAAATTCTCCTTACGTCTGGTGATTGCAACGGGTTTCAGCATTATGAAAGTTTGCTTTTGAAAACATTAAGTATAAATTCATTTCCCCATAATGGCAACCTTTATTACTATTTCACATAAGCCACTCTGAGCTTCCCTTTCTCCCCCTGAAGAGTGGCAAATCTATTTTCTGAATAAATAAATAAATGCATTAACACAAAGGAAAAGGAAACAGAATGCAAACAACACAGACCAAGCCATTTGCTCAGACGAAATCCCTGTAACTTCAGGGGAGCTTACTATCTTTTAAGGGTGCTTAGGATTGCAGCCTAAACTTCATAAAGTAAGCAGTTGTTGGACAATACTCTCCTAACTAACCCTAATATTACTTTCTAATATTTGAATCGCCATCTTAGTGCTTTATGTCCAAGATTAATTACTGCAGGAAAAACAAGAAGTAGCTTTCTATGAATAATAATGTCCAAAAACATTTTAAAGGTCATGATTATACAACTTTGTAAATATATAATTCTGTTCCCTTCCTCTATTACATTATGCATTATTTATGTGCTTCTTCCCTACAGAAAACCTCTTATTATTATTTCTGAATCTGGCCATCTGTGAGATGTGGCCTTGGTTTAACAAACTGGATAATATTCACATTCACCACTGCCGCCGCCAATGCAATAGCATTTCTGTCTTCTCAAGGTCAGAATTCATTTGAGCTCACGGGATTATTGTCGTCAACTTCTATGCATGCCAGTCTTCTGCAGACATTAGAGTTTCTTTGCCAAGGTGGTTTTGACAAATCTAGCAACTTCCAAAGCTGGACCTGAGAAACTACTTGAGATTCAGACCATTGGTCCATCCCAGTCCTACTTGAAGATGCCAGGGACACTCTATTACTGTGCTTTGGTTGTCCCACATGGATCTCCCAAACTTTCTCTTCTCTATTTCCACACCCTGCCCACCAGTTTTGTCTCTTACATCCAACTTAACCATTCATGAAATAAAATTACCTACCTAGGACCAGTAGAAGTTTCATGGGTGGTGCTTCTAAGAAGTGCTCAGTCTTGAATCCCTTTGTAACAAAATATCTGGTCCTGCTGGAAAATGTATGATCGTGGGCTAAAGGGTTGCACATGCCCATTAGAAGAGGGGATCACGGTGAAATGCCAAAGCTCTTTATTCTGCCATTTGCCTGTCCGTATGCTTCTTCAAATATTTTGAGGGAAGGATGAAGTGAGCTAAAATGCTGAACAGCAAATCAGCTGGAGAGCAAAGTAAAGGAACTGTATAGAAAATTTGATCAAACAGATGAATGAATATGAGTGAGGATAGGCGCAGGAGACAGGCATGAGTACAGAGTTTAAGGAGATGGAGCGTTAGGGACTAACAAGAAGATTTAAGAAAGATACAGGGATAGAACCAAAGACTGAGGATAGCACAGTGGATGGAGATCACAATGGACTTGGAAAGCTGTGGGGAGTAGACCAGGAATGAAAAATGAGCATTAAGAAATGGTGAGGCAGTTACCAGGATCCCACCAGCCTTGCCTGACATGGGTTGAGCAAATCAGAATTCTAGCACCCCAAAAGAGTTGGTGAAATCTGTAGTTTGCTTCCGTGTCGACTGCTTTCCTTGGCTATCCAGAGATGTCCCAATCGCAGTCTGAAATTCGGTCACTTTAAGAGCAGCAGCATGAGAAGGAGGCACAGGAAATCCACTGAGATTTCTTTTGTGTGGAAAACAAAGATATAAAGCCATGGGAGGAAGGAGGCAGGAAGCCAAATGTGCAGCAAGGAATTTCAGGACCAGCAGGGAGGCTCAAAGCAGGGAGGTACGTGTTAAGGCCCTAAAGGGGTGATGTAATCATAATTAGAGGATAAGTGGCAAAGAATATTGGGGGTGGGGAGAAGATGAATTTTGCTACACCTAACAGAGAATGGGGGGGGGGGATATGGCAACATAATGCAGGCAAGAACACGTCCAGTCTCTTTCACTTGGATATATTTTGCTTCCTGCTATACACCTTTTTCAAATTTTGTATTCTATTATTACTATCATTGAAAATATATTTCTATCCCACTTGTTTATGGCGGGAAAAGGACCTTGCTGCTGCTGCTGCTATCTTATAGTACCCTTGATTTCACTGGAACTCAGCTGCAAAAACATGCAGTGCTCAAGGTAAGATGATGTGTGGAAAAGAAATGCTTAGAACTTTTAGGATTACTTGAGTGTCTACACACACACACACACACACACACACACACACACTATTTTTTCCTACATGCTGAATTTTTCTGTACTGTGTTGGATTTAAAAAAAACCCAAAGTGAAAATAGTGTATGAAGTCAATAAATGATATTATCAGGGAGTGCACAGTTCCCAAGAATAGATCCACACAAGTTTTTCTTTTGAGGATAGGCAGCAACTGAGTGTGGTGCTAGGTGTGGACCAGCTTCACAGTCATGGGTGACTTTGCATTGTGAAAACCACACTAGTTATAACTCCAAAAGAACTGCTGGAAGCTCCTGTTCTGATGGCAGGTCAGGCTTTAGACTTTGGAGGCCTTCAGCACTGTTTACCGGACCTCATCTTCCATTGCACCTGAAGGCAGGAGGCTAGTTTATGGGGCATCTATGGTCTACATGGTACATACAGCTCTGTCTTCTAACAGCTTGCCAGTGCTATCTGCACATCAGGCAGCAGAATGTGAGGTGTGGTAGGCAGACCCTGAAATACCACACCTGTGCTCTCTTCACCTAACAGCTTGTCTTGGTAAGCTTGGCTCCATCCGCTGGGTCACTTTCTCCTCTAACATCCATAGTTTATGCCCCTAAACCTGACTTGTCCCTAGTTAGTTTTTCCTGATGAGGTGAAAGAGTTCTTCCTTCTGGATCTCTGAGAGCCATATCCATCTGGTCACCACAGAATTCAGGCCTCTCAGATCCATCTACATGACCTTCTCTCCTACGTTTATGGAAGACAGGAGCCCATTTGGGAGGGCACTACTGTTTTTCTGAAAAAAGATTTTCTGAAAGGCTATGCGAGACAAAACACATCTCACAACTGCAGCCATTCTGTCACTACACATGGAAGTTTGCCAACTCTGTAACAGCAGGCAAGAGCCACAGTTACAGGAAATCTCTCTTTGCAAGAGAAAATTAGAAAGTAATATGAAAACAGTGTTTCCTCTTTCCACACCTACTTGGTAGGCTGGAGGCCGCAAGCACATTTCCCTCCATTTTTAAATTCAGCTTTCTTTCTATCAAGGTGAAACTCTCATTGCCTGCATCAGACTACAGTGTAGTCTGCAGGCATAGAGTGGAGAGAAGCCATTTCTACTTCCATTTGCTGAGGTTGCAACACCTGCCATGTTACCCAGGGTTGAATTATTTAGCCAGAAGATGGGACGGCTTCTGCTGGTGGCACACTGTTGTCCCCCGGCACCACAGCACACAACTGAGCAGGTGCTGGGCATGCTCTCTTGCACTTAATTCTCTTTCAATACCCCCCTCAAGGCACTAATGTGTCCTCACATCATGCAGCAGGGAACTGTTCTTATTTCCCCAAGAACCAGAAAGGTTGTTGTTGGGAGTTATTATGGCAAGTATTGTGTAAAATATCTTCCCAACCATAATATCCCAACCGTACATGGGTGTGGTTATGGAGGATGCTGAAAACAGCAACTTCACACCTCACCTTCCCTTTCCCCTCTCATAACACAAACCTTGAGACATTATAAATTTCTCACCATGGTGGGGACCTCTAAATTTGGGAGCCTTTCTGCTTGTGTAAGCTCCCTCCACATTTTAGAACCACAATCTTCCATGGTCCTAAATTGAAAAGGGAACCTTGACAGGTAAACAGCCTCCCAACTACAGAACAGAACCCCCCCCCCCCCAACACAGCTCAGAATGGGTGATGAAGACAGCCTGGGAGGATGAAGTTAGCATACTCATCCCAACTCTTCCTCATCAAGTGAGGGATCTAGGATGGGACTATAGTGACTCATGTGACATGACATCATTCTGCATCAAGTTTCCCCGTCTCTGCTTTGCTTGATTGTCTGGAACTTGCAGAAGCAAATAAATGTGAAGTGAAATGACTCAACTTTACCAGGAAGTTTAGAGGACATAAAGTTGTTCTTTGTAAGAAGTTCTACTTCTGGGATGAAAGCTGTTGTAGTCCTGTGCAGCCAGCCACAGCAGAGCTCAATGGAGGGAGAAGCCAGCCAACCAGCCGAGTCTCAGGGGGTATTCACCTGGAGGCAGAGTCTGTATACAACAGGCGTAGGCAAACTCAGTCCTCCAGATGTTTTGGGACTACAACTCCCATCATCCCTAGCTAACAGGACCAGTGGTCAGGGAAGATGGGAATTGTAGTCTCAAAACATTTGGAGGGCCGAGTTTGCCTACACCTGGGATACAAGATTCAGTCCAGTCCTACGGGCAGGAATATCTCAGTTCACATAGCCAGATGATCCAGGGGTTAAAAAAGGCTGAGGAGCCAAGATCACGAGAAGCAAGAAGCAGCAAGGTCTGGCCTGGAATGACAAATGTTGTTTCCAGCAACTGACTGGGGTTGGAAACCCTGCTTAAGAAAGCTGGAGCCAGCTGGTTCTCATCAAGAACAAGAAGACTGATTAGCAGCAGGTGGAGGCACATCATCTTCTGCTCCTTCAGGCTGCTGCTCAGCAGGTGAAGCCGACTGCTGGCCCATGACAAAAGCACTTTCTGATAGGTGCTTCCTGTCTGGGTGGGTGTTGCACTAATATCCAATCTACATCCAGCTCCACTATCGCTAGCTTGATGTGCCATTTCAATAGACTGTATCAATTTTGACCCTACTTGTTCCGAGCCTTCTAAGAATTAGGTGTAAGAATTGGCTTGTGTCTCTCCACAAAAAGATTTCCCCAAGGAATCACGTTGTATTCTTGTGCTCCATGACAGACATATTTCTAATCTCTTTTGCAATGGGAAACTTACCATATTGGTTAGATATACACATGCACAGGAACTGTTCCCTGTGTATTTTCAGTAGTATTTCAACAGTATTTTTTGAGGACCGACAAAGAGGAGGAAAGCACATAAGAAGCTCATAGGTGAAAAGGAGGGGAAAAAAAGAGAGAAGATCTTGATGAGGAGCTTAGATGAGCTGAGAAGGTAGGAATGAAAGGTGAAAAGCAGAGAGGAGCAGGAAAGGGGTCAGCTCATAAAACCATTAAGGATAATATGAGAAGCTTACATCAGATGTTAGCAGGCAACGGGGAGCCAGCAGAGATGACAATTTGGGGAATGTCAGAGCACTATCTTAATGGAGGATTATTTTCACAACAGATTAGTGGTAAAACTGAATGTTGAGGGTATCAGCTGGAGCCTGAAGAAAATGAGGTCGCAGTAATCAAGGATGAAGAGGATGATGGACTTGACAAGTTTTATATTTTTTGTGGTGAGAATGAAGAGGAAATGGAAGATTTTAGAGACATTTGGGAGATAAAACCACCTGGATTTAGTGATAATATCTACCAGTATATAGGGATAAAGAGTGGAGTGACACATGAGAAGGAACAGTAGACCATGTGAGAAAATGCCTTCGAAATCTGCAATGTTGCCAAGACTTTCTTATTGCTGTGAAATCTCAGTAGCCGCTGATGGGGGAAAAAAATCCCTGATGCAGTCAGAATCTGCAAAACTTTAGACTTGGGTATAGAGAGAAAGAAAGAGAGTCATTTCCAAGAGTTGTGTAATTTTTTGCAAAATGGTCTCAAGGTTAATTATATATTAGGAAATGCAAGGGACAACTGTATTGCCAGAGACAGTAGAAATTCTGTGAAAAACAAAAGTAACATCTATTCACATTAGTCTCTTGCCCACTTCATTGCTATCTTTAATTTGAGACTCTGTATAGATTCTTCAGAAAGTAAGGCCAGCTCAGAGAAAATGTTTGATGGTGATTGTCCAATAAGCCCAGGCTTCAATAAACTAAATTTCACAATCTCAAGGGAGAGTTTCTATCCCATTTATCAAACAACGAGAGATACTCACTTAGCTCACAACACATGCAGAATCTGGCCTTTGCAAATTCCCATATGAAATTACCTGATTTACACATCTCAGAATAATGTGTCAATTGGCACTTAGCTAATTGATCTAATGTTGAAAAACAGTTGTCAGCAGTCTAAATGTATCAAAAGATGAATTTAAAACTTTATTTTGAGAGAAAACACACATTTGAATATATATTTGGAAAGAATGCACACTTCACAATTCATTTTAATTTGGGTTTCAAAGTAGTTTGAGGGCTGTTGTTGCTTTTAATGCAGATTAATCTGGAAGTAGCAAATAATGGAATCATGTGTAAAAATATAGACCAGAAAAAGAGCTGTCCATCCTTCTATGTAGCATAGCAATCTGTTTTGGGTTGTCATCAGTTATTGTTGTTGTTGTTAATGTTATTGCTTGTAGTGCCTTCTATTATGTTTTCTATTGATTTATATGTTTATTGCAGGGGTTGCCAACCTTTTTGGACCTGGGGGTACATTGTGAGAAAGGGAGTCAGTCACAAAAAGGCTGTCATGGAGGCATGATAGGGTTGCCATATTTCAAGAAGTAAATTATGTCCTCCCTCAAAGAGGGCACGTGTTGCGGTGAGACCTGGAGACTGACCTCTTGTGTTGTGGGTGGGTAAGATTGGTCAGCCACAACACCCGAT